CAATCACCTTCTCTGTTTGAATATTTATAGACGATATTAAAACCTAGCCATACTGTAACTCCATTTTGAATGAGATATTTGTTGTTTGATCTTTTGTATGTCTTATCATATGCCGTTTGATACCATTAAGTGTACTCATTACATCTATGGCTGGTATGACACAAATTATCACAAATAAAACTGGTAGAATCAATATGCAATAAGAAATAAATAATGTGTCATCAAGCTTGTAATGTGTGTGCGCATTGTTTTGAACATGGTCGTGTATTTTTATTAACCTAATTGTAAAACATCAGCATTCCTTACATAACGTCTCCCAACTCTTCGCTGTTAGCATTTACCTGTATTGCATGACAGGCCTAGGTTTCTTCAGATTTTCTATTATTGGTTGTTGGAAGTTTAATACTTTGATACAATCATCACACGAGATGAGTATACACCATATTAAATGTATAACAGTGAGTGTGTGAGTTAACGCCGCTTTTAACAGTAGTCCAGTTATATCGCGGCGTGTCAGCTTAATGTGGGAGGAAAGCCAGAAGTGATGCAGGTCTCAGTCGTTTACCACATCGGTGAACCCACAAGCACGGGCATGGTGCTGACAAACCTAGAAACATAATCGAGAAAAACCCCAATCATAGGTTTCTGGCGTGCCCATTGGACGCAACTCTGCACAGCGAATCGCGGCGCCTTAGACGACAGGGCCACACGTGCCCCCCCAATTTATAACAGGATGTAAATGAGCGTTAAATCTAACCAAAGGTAAATATAAAACGTCCACGCCAGATAATATATTGTCTCGATTGTCCGACGATAAAAGGCAATTATATGAATTGATCACTGAACATCAGTAATGATACCAGGTGTCGCGAAAAGGGTAAGCATGTCCTGCCCAAGAACAAAATCACAAAACGAATCTGAATTAGAATGAACCGTGTTCCAGCATATACGACTTGTATGCTCATTTCCTTTTAGCAGCACTCTTTCTGGTCGTGTTCACTATAAAGTAATAGTATGTCTCATCTACCGTTTAACCCAAGTAATGTTTCAACACTCTGCATCTTTCAGATATCTAGGGGAAGTCGGATTGTAAGTGATTCACTTCGAAAGTGTTCTCAAAAGGGGATGTTAAACCAACATCCAGTGTAGTACATACAGAACGTGTTGCAGGTGTTAGGCCGCTGTAAGAACATGTAATATGGTGCTTAAAACTCCTCAAACATTGGACGACATGTGAAAGTCCGATCCCCTGTAAGCACAGGGGAATTATAAGTAAAAGCGGTATAGGAGAGTGTATAAATCGCCTCACAAAGTAACAGGAGTGAAGGGCCGTCCCTGAGACGTCCAGCAATGTAACCTTGTGGACTGAATGTTCCGCAAACACCTGAGAGGATAAAGGTAATGGGGCCTAGGGTCAGATGTGTGTTTAAGTAATAAAAACATGGCCAAAAACCCGTGTCTCTGGACACTCCGAGATGGTTGTCGTTTCTTGTAAACAAGGCATTTAAACATTCCCTGTAGATTGAAGGTTTTTCTGAAAGTTGAGTTGACTTTTTGCTTCCTACGACCGCAGTTGTTTGTTTTGGCGCCTGCACAGGATATCTAAACATGTGAAATCTGTATTGCGACTGTTTTGCGCAACACAGAATTCAATCCCATCGTCTGTGCGACTTGCTCATAATTCCATTGTAATCTTCCAGAGAAGCACAATGCGCAGTTAGGTGGCGCTGATTTAATGCTGGAAAGTCAAACGAAAACACAACCTCTCAAGTTATTTTCCTTTTTTTGTCATTTCCTCCTAAAAAATACCGATTTAAAATAATGGTCTTCAATAGAAAACATATTAATTATCCCGAAAAACGTGCATTATATGTTGGTTTACGTTAAGGACTATCAGTCAACGTTGCCCAGCCATGTTTCTTCATCTGGAGCCAAGTTGACATAAACTGACCCGCTGACCAATTACCGCAGTTTAGACGTTATGTGAGGTAACTGGTGTTCTTTACCCTTCTATTATCTTCAAATATGGCACCTATCTGAGTTGCTACTGATGTTTGGTAACTTAGCAACTAATACCCATTCTCGGAACCAATGATGGTAACACGTTATAATCATGCATGTGCCGTTACATCTGTATCTATCCTAATATTACACATATATCACTGTTACTTGTGGAATAATAAAGGTAACTGTTAAAAAAAAAAATCAAATGTTTTCACATATTCCAAATTCACATCATAAAGCATGGTTATGATACTAAATAAAAGCATAACCCTTTCCATGTTCTACCCGTGAAGATCCGGGGTGGAATAGGTCTTCAGCAACCCATGCTTGCCATAAAAGCCGACTATGCTGGTTGTAAGAGGCGACTAACGGGATCAGGTGGTCAGGTCAGGGATCGACTTGGTTATGATATTAATCACTGAATTGTCTGGTCAAGACTCAATTATTTACGGATCGCCGTCATATATCTGGAATTTTGCTGAGTGCGGCGTTAAACAACAAACTAACCAACTAACCAACTTTCCATTTTTATCAGAAAGCAGAGTCGATTGTACGATTCCGACTATATCATGAGCGTGTGTTTGTGAATCACTATTAAATAGCAATGATACCAGGTGTTCGCGAAAAGGTGAGCGTATCCTGCCCCACCGGTGAAGATCTATGGCCCACAGTCTGGTGCCCAATTCCAGTGTTTGTAATTAATACCGCGTGCGAAGATGACACATTATCTCTGTATTATTTGGGTCATCATTAACTAACTGATTTCTCTACATCCTAACAAATTTATTAAGCAGACAAAATTGATATGGAATGACTTGAATCAAACGTTTTACGAATTTAAACAGCTTAGGCAGCTTCTCTTGTAGTGGCAAAAGCAACATACGCGTATTCATATCTAGTGTACCCACTGCTCACTGCTATCTTAATACCTTAATAAGGTACTGTTTTCTTCCTCGTATAAGAATCATAATTGTGAGTTTTTCATTTTCTGGTATGATTTATTCAAGGCATCAATGAACGTAAATCGGGTGTTGGTTAATGAAAACAGGGGTGAGGTGGTGCGATCTGCCGATCAGTTCACACGATCTCGCCGAAGTTAATGTTAACACAACTGAATGAACTAAAGATAATTTATTAAATATATTAAAACACAGTGAACTACGTTTATAACGAACACGCTTATAACGAACTGACGGATATAGCGAACTTATTTTTAGTCCCGACCATTTATTGTATATATGCTGTATGTATGCTTATAACGAACTACGGTTATTACGAACTAAAATTAGTGGTCCCCTCGAGTTCGTTATAACCGTAGTTTACTGTAGATTAAACATAACCCAGATATACACTGAACAATTTGCATAACCATGTTGTGTAAAAACAGGACAAACTTGCGTGTATACGATAGTGTGCAAAGAGAGAGCTGCGGTACCCTGACATGGAAACGCATCGTTATAACATGATCGCGAGTGACGAACTACGGATATAACGAACTGTCGTGGTCCAATGCAGTTCGATATATCCACGTTTGATTGTATTAAGTCAATGTCGTGTTTGAGACGCGATGTAAGGGGAACTATTCATAGATAATATTCTTTTTGTAATTTATTCTTTTCAAATTTACGAAAAAGATTGCAGTTTGTTATAGTTTTAAAGAAACACTGATCTATGAGTATTTGCCTATCGTCCTTTCTTTTTCATAGTCATGCATAAATAATAGAGCTATAAAACGTATATTTGATACTTTTTAAAAAAAAAAAGGTAAGGTAAGTGAAAAGCTAAACGCTAGTCTCGACTCAGTAGTATTTCTGTGACTGGCTAAATGGTTTATGTGCACCAGTACTCAAAATGTATGATAAACTCTAAAGATATATTATCCCCACGTGTTACTGTTTCAACCGGTTAATCCCTGTTCGCCTTATTTTGTTCTTTACACAAAGATATTTTTCATTTTGACGCGCCACATTTACGTTTTGAAAATTATAAAATCATAACCCTGAGCATAGCCATAAAACTATCTCCATACTGGTCTAATAATACTCATTGAAAAATACATTTATGGTATATACATATTATCATAACTGTTGTTTACCGAACGCCGAATTTTTTATAGTTTTTTGTGTGATTATTTTGTTTATACTTCATTTCGGAGAGTGTCGCTATGCGTTTACATAGATGAAAAGTAAATATGCCTTGAAATATATTAATCTTTCTAATACCTAGCCGTGTTCAAATTAGGTTATTCCACGTATGTAACGGTCTGTAGGCCAAGCGTTTCAGCTCGCGGTATACCTGGCATCCTTCAAAGAATAAACATAGCACGACCGTTTCATTTCACTTCATGTTGGCTAATTTAAAACTTTAATCTGCTTCTTTACATTGTGTTACATTGAAATTTCAGAACACAGTGTTAGTTCATTTATCGGTCGAATTGGTGGTATTGATTACATTCTGCAGGTGGCTCGGCACGAAAATACATAGAAAGCTTCGGTTAAGCGTTCTGCATTACTTACCATCAGCCACAAAGTGTTAAAAACCTATACATGTGTTCACACATTGCCACAAAGACGATCATGCCACAGTGTCACTACATCGCCGACCATTCTCGGCGAAGCATTGACATGTGAACGGGATTCGAACCCAGTACATATCTCACGTAATGATGTGAAAAAATGACGTCTTTGTCACGCACACCACGTCGTCAACGCTGACACCGACACGGAGATCTTCATCGATGTTGACTCACCACACGTCAAGCTTAAGGCTATTCCACACAGGAATTCAATGTAAAAAAAGTTAAATGCTAAAATCGCGCAAAAAAATACAAGATTCGTCCCTGCAAGCGTTACTGTAACAGTCTGATTTGATGTCAACAAGACAATTGAAACGTTTGTGGAATTTCAGTGTGACGCTCCTCCGCGCATGCGCCTGGTTGTTTACGGATTGAGGATATAAAACGACAGTTTCGACGAAGCACAGCATTCTAGATTTGCCATCGTGAGGAATACATCAAGTTTCATCTCTCACGGTCTGCAACATGGATTTATTAACGTTTCTAACACTGGTTACAGTTTTTGCATATTCCCAAGGTAAGTGGTCTTAAATATCAATTACATAAGTGAATTAAATATGGTGGGGTTTAACTTCCAATCAGTCTAGTTGATACAGAATATCTTCTTTCTCCTTTAGTTTCATATTCCACTTGCAGAGGGTGATTGGAATGGTTTGGTGACAGACTCATTCACAGATGCTCAAGAGAGCAAGAATTGTTGTCACATGTGTTCCGTCTCTGACAGAAACGTAGGCCTAGTTATACATCTGATGATCGCCTTTCAGTGGCTATTCAGGAAATGATGTTGCGAATTGATCAAAACATGCATTTATAGACTCGTGATTTTGTGAAAGAAGATCTCCGAAAAGTAATTGAAATTTCTTGGAAGGGTTCATATCAGTAACTACACATATTCAAGAAACAGAACAGGATTGACCTACAGATTTTGAAATCCATTGGTCAATTCATAGTTTTTTGTTATTTGGGGGCCTTAGGCCAAGATGCGTGTATCGCGACGTTTATGTCGTGTGCACATTGAGAAGTTGATTAAAGTGTCTTTTATAATTAATTTTAGCGGTATGTTTTAGTTTTAATTTTAAAGGCATGGGAGTTGGAAAAGGCCTTACACTGTGTGGTATTGTGTTCAACTGTTGGCAGCTAATCAGCCAGTCAAAGGACGTGGGGTTCTATAGGAAGTGCATACTTTCAGAAGATCACTTATATTCTTACGAACCATAATTCATACGTTGGTATCATTGAAAAGCTGAAGGGTTTTGGAAACTAAAGTATTTCGGAGACACCCTTCATTGCATTAGAATAAGAACCATACACGCACAAAGTGAGCCATGAAGGGAAAGTTAAAAAGTTGATACGTTATATTCTACATCCGCATTTGTTATGGATGTTTTATCTTAGTGAGACAGCGGCATTAGAAGTGATAGCTCAGTTTCACATTTAGTTAAAGTCATGATATTTCTCAACCTCTTTCAGCTCAAGCACAGTTGGTCATGCCTCTCTCAGTTTTATCCCTGAATTGTAGTCTGAGAACATTCGCGATAACCGCGATAACCGCTAGTAGCGTTGTTTTTATAAACCCAGTATTAACTAAACCTAAACCTTTCCCACACAGGTCATTGGTTTATGCATGCACGACTTTGAGCCATCACTGCCATGATGGATTTGTGGGATTAATGGTATTGATATATCAAACAAATCTCGATTACCGAACATACATTGAATCCGGTGATCATCTCACAAACGTATGGAGTATATTTCAACCATCTTCCCTGAGGATATTGGAGATTAATTTAATCTGGTGATATAAATGTGAAGATTTGGAAATGTCACCAATGTGCTCCAGCACGTGATCTAGTTAGTACGTGAGCATCGCGGTGTACGTGAATCAGAGCACTGTCTTGCTAGAAACCTAGGGCCATGTTCAAGAATATACAGGGAGAATGGAACCTTGGTGAACGCCAATTTTTGAACTAACAAGAACGCACGAGGGGGGAAAAGGGAAAAAGGGGGAAAAACTTACCAAGAAACACCAGGATAGTCATAGCTATAAACATGCTGCCCTAAACTTGCAACCAAAATATACTTATAAACATAGCACATGCTTGTTTCCAGTTTATTCACCTGATGTTTTAAGAAATAAGTGAAATGTAGTGTTTGACTTTCAAATTCCTTCACTTACCCTGAGATATGAACGTTGTTACTTAATTGTAAAGACACATCTAATTTCGGGATGATAGGTTTTTAAATTGAAAGCAAGAAAAAAGTGCTAAGTTAATAATAGTGAAGAAAACACGTTTACTGATTGTTAATATCATACCTTTAATATGTTCTCATTTTAAGATTGTGAACGTAACCAAACACATGTTATCTAATATTCCTATTTGTACATAACATCAGGGATGCGTTAGTATTGGTATTATATCAGATATAACGCTTGTTTCAAATTGCACTCATGACTACCAAGATCGATCTGAGAGACATTCAGTTGAAATCAGAGTTAGCGCGACAACAACTGTACCTCCGTAACTTTAACAGAGACAACGGAGGTCGTAGCTGCAATGTCGTTATGTGCATGGGAGATGTGGTAGTTGTTGTCAATAGCCCACCTGTAGACGCAGGGGTGGACTGTACTCTACAAGGGATGTTTGTCCAGCTATGACTTGTGGTCAAGTACATTACATAGGCAACACCATGCCAGGGCTTGCTGATCTGACCACAGGCTTGTGAGCCCTATTTGTTTAGGTTTTTCTCAGTTCTCCGTCGACAAACATTGCCGGAGACTCAGTGATTGTGTGAAAAGTGTTATACATGTCGGAACATGAACAGAGTTGGACAACTTCTGACTTCCTGAATGCGTGACAACTTATAAACATTCCCAAACTTGTACATACTTCTTGAGAGTCCCGTTATAGGTAGAAAACAATATCCGATCAGCCCCCAGAAAAAAGCAAGAAGCGCGTATATGTGTTTTGTCTCATCTACTTTCCGCATCTCTACGTATTGTTAGGTAGCCTAATGGGTAATGCGTTCGCTCGTCACACCGGGTTCGACTCCCCACATGGGTTCAATGTGTGAAGCCCATATCTGCTGTCATCGGTCTCGATTTTGCTGAAATATTGCTAAAAGCGGTATAAAACACACTCTAGGAAGAGAAAAGGGTTATGTAGGGTATCAGAACTACAAGGAGTTGTACAATGTACCAGTACTTTTTTACAACAAAAAGCTTTTTCAAATATCAATGCATCTTCCTCTAAATTTTGGGACACATTCTGAAAGTTTATTGAGACAAATTTAGCAATAGACCGGTCATTGGTTCGATCCTCGGTCGCGTCATACCAAAAGACGTTAAAAGATTGTACTTGTTACTCTGTCTGGCGTTCGGCATTAAGGGGCTAAAACAAGGACTGATCGGCTTATAGGATACTGTGTCTGAGTGGGCATCCGTGTTAAACTACGGTACGGTACAAGCAGACACACACAAACGCGCGCGCACACACACACACACACACACACACGCACGCACGCTCGCACGCGCGCTATGCAAGTGCAATAATCTGGAACGTGTGTCACCTTCTGTAGTGGGGATGTAGTGAGGGAGTGGATGAGTTGTTTAACGCCGCTAAGAACAGTATTGCAGTTATATCACGACGTGTCAGCTTGATGTGGGAGGCAAGTCCGAAGTGATGCAGGTCTTAGACCTTTAACACTTTGGCGAAACCCATGAGTAACATAATCGGGGTGAACCGGGATTCGAACCACCAATCATGCCCAAGGGAGGCAACTCTGCACAGCGAATAGCGTGCTCCCCGTGGGAGTGGAGAAGTGCTAAAACCCTCTTTAAACCCCACCGCGCACTGTATAAAGACGATGGGGCATAATCTCAGACGAGTAACTTGTCTCTGTATCCAAAGTAATAGTTATGTATACTACCTCTACAAAGTTAAGGATCACCCGATTCTTTCACATTACTATAGTTAATCTGTCATGTCACGTTATATGACAGAATCAGGTAGTCCTCGACCTTTTTAAGTAGGTAAACGTCTGAAACCTGCATCACTTCGGGCTTTCCTCCCACATTAAGCTGACACGCCGCTATATAATTGGAATGATGTTAAAAGCGGTGTTAAACCCAACTCACTCGCTCGCTTTTAAGAAGTATAGGTTGCATCCATGTTAAAACGATTAATTACATTTCAAGACTGAACAAACATAAAGTTATTCCCGCCACAGTGATTTTGTCAGTTACGTTCCAGGGGCAGACAACCAAAGTAATTTTACAACGAGAGTCCCAATGAAATATAAATGTAAATATAATACACCACACTAAGAAACGTAAAAGGTATTTCGTTCCTCCGAAGATAAGACTATCGATAAAGCCCAGAAGCTCAAAGTGAAAATTGTGTGAAAATTGTAAATGTCCTTTAAGACATATTTCATTACATCGCCTTTTTTAAGTTCAAATGTGGCTTTCCATTAACAATTTCTACAAACCTGACTTCGTGTCACAGAAGATCAACGAGGAATACAATAATAGTAATATTTTATCGTTGTCAGAAACGTAAATAAATATCTGTAATTATGAAACATGTTACATTTTGTTTTTGTGAGTAAACGTTTTCTATTAAACAGAATGTTGACCTTGACAAGTTTCTGAAAATTGGTTAAAATCTGTAAACGTCTATAATTTAATAAACAAGAAACCTAGGACAGTTAACAGAGATTTCAAAATCCAGAAAGGTTTCCATGACTTCATCATAAGATCTCTCGTGGCAAATGTATGTTCAAATGATCAGGATTTCCTTTTTTTGGGTAGTATCTTGTAGCAGAAACATGACAACCAGCTTGCTGATCATGGTCTTCTGCCTAGCGCTGCGACCGTCGTATATATCTCTTATATAAACACACACTGTCGATTATCGTAGCACTAAGGGCGCTTTGTGGAACGCAACCCAGCATTTTTAGCAAATCATTTGAACCTGCTTCAGGCGGTCGTCGCCATATGGCTGAAAAATTGCCGATGCGGCGTAAAACTTTAACTCACTCACTACTTCGGGCGGTTAGGTAGCGGAGTGGTTAAATCGCTCGCTTGTCGCGCACAAGACTCGTCAATCACTCTTGAATACAATATACGAGCCGATCGTAACTTACATCTAGTCGTATATACAAGTGAGCGAGTGAGTATGGTTTTACGCCGCTTTTAGCAATATTTTCAGCAATATCACGGCGGGGGACACCAGAAATGGGCTCGTACATGCCAAGTGGGATTTGTCATTTATTATTGGGGTGGGGGAAGATTTGTCATAGGAGTGTATCATAGTTTTGCTGACCAATAATGTGATCTACAGTGTGGTAGAGCAGTGTGTGTGAGCTAGGATGACCTACGCCATCCTTAATCAATAGACATCGCCTGTTCACCGTCCTGTTTATCGAACGCGAAGTCTTTCTTTATTCTCCCCGCCACCCTAGTTTGTAAAGTCATCTCTTACTTTAGACAACCAACCCTACAGCGGAGATCGAACTTCCCGCTCAGCAGAAACAATTACTAGAATTTGCGTAACAGGCTTGTCGAACAAACATGGCGGCGTTGAAATAGAGTGTCGTCTGCTTACAAACATCTACGTGATGTCTTTGTTTGCGGTGTGAGTTTAGCCAGGCCTTCATATCCAACACTCCGTGTTTGTCCTCTCCTCAACAGAATAAAGTATAAGGGTTGTCTATAAACTGACAAACGGAGTTATATTTGTTGAAATTATTTGCGGAATTTCTCGTGGGATCGACAATGGTTGGACTACACAAGTAAAATGTATTTATTGAGTTAAAGAGGTTTAAATAAATACAAGCTATGCTCTTGTCAAAAGGGAACGGATATTCCGGTTGGGAGCTGTTACGTACATGTGTTTATGCTGATGCGGGTGTGATAATATTAACATAGACTAACATTAATAGTTCATCTGATAATGACATTAACATAACTGTATCCTGTCCTGTCACATCTTATACAGATATTTGAAATAGTCCTCAAGATTATAATAATGAATATATTACCTAAAGTCATGGCCAACTATCGCATTATGAGTGATACCAATACATGAGTGAGTATGGTTTTACGCCGCTTTTAGCAATATTCCCGCAATATCACGGCGGGGGACACCAGAAATGGGCTTCACACATTGTACCAATGTCGGGAAGCGAACGCTTTAACCACAAGGCTACCCGACCGCCCCTACAAATACATGAAGTGCGTTTACATGGTGTTACAAATAGGTTCGCCGTCCCCATACCAAAATACATTCATCGTGGTCATAATCCAATGTGAAGCAGTCAGCAATATTCTAGATATGCAATAATGGATATATAAAGAAGAAATATTAACCTAAGCCAAATGCATGTTGAATTTATGTATTCGTTAGTTTTGGTAGTAGTTGTTGTAGCAGTTTATTATTTGATCACGATTTAATGTGCTTAATCCTCGCACATAACCATCAATACCCTCAGGTAGATTTAAGTAATTTATATTTGATGTATGGATGAGTGGTGACATGATGACATGGCTGGTATCGTAAACATGGATATTTCAGCATTGCACAACACGACTGTCTGGAACAAAATTGAGTCTAGGCCAAACAAACCAGAGGTTCATAACATAAGCAATGTCCCACGACTACCAACCCAGTCACATGAGTGACCACTCGATGTGTTTACTCTTATGACAAGCTTAGGGCACTGGGGACGAAGTCGAGACCGGATTATCAACGGGGCTACCGTAAAATAATGTGACTTAATAATACAATGGTGCAGAAAGGATGGACATATCTGTTCCATGGCAGAATAGAATGAGAATGCAACAGCGCTTTACATAAGGCTGCAGACCCATGATGATCCGGGGTAGAATAAGTCTTCAGCACCCAATGCTTGCCGTAAAATGCGACTGTGCTTGTCGTTAGAGGCGACTAACGGGATCGGGTGGTCAGTCTCGCGTACTTGGTTGATGCATGTCATCGTTCGATGCTCATGATATTAATCACTGGATTGTCTGGTCCAGACTCGATTATTTACAGACCGCCGTCATACAGCTGGAATATTGCTGAATATATAATTTACAGACCGCCGTCATACAGCTGGAATATTGCTGAATATATATATTCAGCAATATTCCAGCTGTATGACGGCGGTCTGTAAATAATCGATTTATTATTATTATTGAAAACAAAAGGAGAAACACTTTTGATATTTTCACCACCAAGAATACCAACAAACAATTGGGTACACATTGAACTCGTCTCATTAATACAACGTCAGTTGTCAAGCATACCGCGTTATAGATAACAGAGTATGTTTCATTTGTTTGAAAAATGTACTGGCAATTAAAACGACCGATGCTCAGATGCCCGAGAAATATTTCCTTCTTTTTTAGCGTAAATTTAGCCTTCTCTTTGTCATGTAGAGACTCTTCCTGTAAACAAAATATTGAAATTATACTATTATTAATACATGTCACCTGGAACAAACAGAATATTGAGTATGACGTGTCTGCATTGTGTCCTCCAGCTATCAAGTGCCATGACTGCACCAGCTGGAACCCCTACTGCAGGGAGAAGGTGAACGAGCCCTTCAGCGAGGCCGTCGCCACCGTGGACTGCGACAAAACCAAGACATGCTTCCTCAAGAAAGAAGAAAGTGGAGGTTGGTTAACTTGTCAAATGAATTTGAATATCACACAAAGATGTATTATTTAGTCGTGAAAATGATACTGAAATTAAAATTTGAAGTATTATCTAGTCACATAAAAACAAGAGTCAAGATAAAAAAAATATCTGAAAACATAAAACGGCAAATACATCATATTCAGTTTAAGCAGACTTTAAATACATGTATTTGACTTTAGCATACCGTGTACTAAAAAAATAATTTTTAATGTTTGAAATTTTGAGAAAAATATCACATTACAAATCCTGTTCTAAGGTTATAGTGAATCAGGTGTTGTAATCACGTATCATTCATTTATACCCTCCGCTCGCAGTTATCTCCCGTGGTTGCACTGACTGGTGGATGGAGACTCAGGTGGATATCAACTACGAAGGCTGCCAGACACAGACGGTCAAGTGGTTAGGGAAGCAGACGTGGTGCTTCTGTAAGTCCGACCACTGCAATGGCGCCTCTGTCGAGATGCTGGAGTCCGGCATTCTTCCTCCTCCTCCTCCATCGGCACCGGAGAAGGCAGAGAAGAGCAACAGGATACAGGTAGGTGGAGAGCATATTAAGATAACTGAAAACTCTTAAAGTGATAAAAATAGCGTGTGAATTTGACTGCCTGGCTTGTAAATAAAAACGACAAACCCTTTCCATATTTGAATCTTTGGAAATGTCCTCCACGTGTCTTCATGAATCCTTTTGAAAACTTTACTGAGGCCTTGAATGAAGTAACGCAGATCACTCAACTTTCAAGAAAGAGGCGTATGAAATCATTGAAATGTCCGCAGAAAGAATACACTCGATTGTACCTCAAAGGTTGTAAAAAAAATGTTGACACCAAAAGTTGGAGTTGCTTGAATATTGCTCAACAAAAAGGGAAAGTTTACTACCATCCTTCTTTTCGTACAGTCTTGTGGAGATTTGTTTCTCACTCTGAATCTTTATGCATAGATCTATATACACCACAATAATGTTGGTTGAACGCACACTGGTCAGTTGAGCGCCATTTGGTCTGATGTGTAAATCATTTTGATCAACTGACTAAAAGAGGCAGCTTCATATGTTGATACAGAACGTTACGGCTTCCAATCCATAATTGTCTTCGACAGCTCAGATCCAGTTGCACAAAGCCATCTTAGCGCTAAGATTACCTTAAGCCTATATTGAAGTATGGGAGTTACGATCATCTTAGCGTTAAGATCGTTTTGTGCAAGTGGACCCTGGTCATGTTGTTGATGGAAAGTATTACGTCTTGTTATAGGATGACGGCTGGAATGGGTGGGAGTTCTCACAGGACTGGCAACAGTGGCAGAAGACGGACGACTCATCTGAGGTAACCCGAGGTCCTTCATTGCATACATCCTTGTCATCTCTGGAACCACCATGCACCATGCAATTTGTGGTAGACTCCCCCTTTAACCCTTCCCCTTGTACTGTGCGCTGGTACACAGTCTGAGCAAGTACAATCTGTATAGTTGAACCCTTTCCCTTGTACTGTGCGCTGGTACACAGTCTGAGCAAGTACAATCTGTATAGTTGAACCCTTCCCCTTGTACTGTGCGCTGGTACACAGTCTGAGCAAGTACAATCTGTATAGTTGAACCCTTTCCCAAAAGGTGTCACTAAGTACAACCAGAATGCATAAGAATTTACCTGTAGTAGGCTTCAGTTTGCGAGTGAGTTTAGTTAAACAGTTATTGAACAGTATTTCAGTTATATAAAGACGTGTTAGCTTGATGGTACTTCAGTTAGTCTTGAAACATACAATAGAACTCTTCTCAACACTATGTTTTAGTACACATGGAATTCATATGAAAATAACATCTCGTAGTGCTAGTCCTCAAACACTTTGTCCAGTACTATCTGAATGTGTTGATACATAAAGAATCCATAAGGAGTGACGAGATGAGAGACGACATAAAGTAGACTCCTTTCCCAATACTATTCCGTAGTAAACATGGATTTCATAGCAAAGTAATAACATGAACCTATATTTCTAGGAGTGGAAGAACTGGAACGAGATGGTGACAGTCCCCTGGAGCGAGTGGGAGCACGATGGCACTGGTCACAAACCAACAGAAGCCCCGGTGAAGGACACCAAACCAGACCAGAAGTTCGATGACGTGAACCCCGATTATATCCTTGAAGAAGCCGACCACAGTAAAGACCCCGCGTGGCAGCTGTGGTGGTGGCATGCCGACTCTGACAGGCCCAAGTTCAACGACTTCGAGAAGACCTGGAAGGCGCCCACGTGGGTGGAGAACAACGACGGTCAAGGCTGGGATTTCCCCATCACTGCCAGGGAGGAGGAAGTGAAGACACGACCCACAACTACAGAGAGGCAGTGGACTTGGGGGAAAGGATGGGGACACATCTTCCCCTGGTGGTCCGGTAAGAAGATCACGACCACTACCATGCGGCCTCGCTTGACCTCTGCTTTGTGGACGGAAGCCTCTACTGCTAGCCCTGTAGTGATCCAGAATGAAGCTGACAACACGTTGCAGGAGGTGGTGGAGAAGGAGGAGAAAAACGACGTGGACATCACCAACGACATCTCTAACGCTGGTGAGTTGCACATGGCCTGGTGTATATAGTGGGATCAGTCGTGTCGATTTGAGTAAATAGATCATTCGCCTGCTCGTCTTCACTAATACTTTATACTGCCATTCGCTCCCCCGTGGTGATTTTGGGTCGGAGTGTCCCCCTAGCATCCAACGCTTGTCGCAGGAGCTGACCTCAGTTTTTTAGTTTTTTAGGAAGGCTACAATGTATAACCTGGATGAAAGCGTGTCTTCGTGTTCCGACGGCGTGGTTGTTGCTCGAGCTATCAACCACTGGTTTGGAATATTACTTAGTGTAATGAACAATATTGAGGGAGAGGGGGAGTACACTCTAAGTTGGAAGAACTTGTCCCCCAATCCCCTTCACTTCTTGTGAATAAATATGTTTAAATCAAATCAACAATATTGACTCACTCGTAACTGAGACGGGACTGTGGACACCAATTTACAATGTGTCCCCGTAACCATATTGTGCCTTGTACAGATTTATATTTAATTTCTATTGTTTTTGATATTAAGAAAATATTCACCATTCAAATTCGTATTCAACTGACCTAAAATATTCATCAAACAATGGTTATCAAATCAACTGAAAAGGAAATATATTTATTTGTATTCAAATCAAGGGGCATATGTTATCCATGTTAAATATAATCGAACAGAATAAAAGTGAAGGGTTGTAAGACTGGTATCATCACTGTTGGATAATGATTCTTAAACACATGCTCATGATACAGTCGGAATCGCACAATCAACTCTGCCTTTAGCAGAGATGTCTTGTGGCTATGAAAAGGATATTGTCGCTTTCATCTACTGTCGTAACAATAATGTCAAGAGATGACCAACATATCCAGATGTGGACATTCATACTCTGCCGTGTTGTGTTCCAGAGTTCTTCTGCTGGGACTGCTACAGCGACAGCCCTCTCTGTGGCACCAGGGTTGACACGCAGAAGGCTCACTACCTCGGCAAGACGCCGTGCCCCAGCACCAACAAATGTTTCGTCAGGAAACAAGGAGACGGTAAGTCATTTCTGGCTAGTTTTCTGTTTATATCCTCTGTCACCAATGTAACACATTTAGGACTCTGATGACCTCGGGTCGCAGGCGCCATACCTTACTGTGCAGACTTGCATCCCTCGGATAATCCTCGGTTCGAATCCCAGAGTGATTTCCAACTGTCAGCATCACACCCGTGATGTAGGGTTTCGTTAACGTGACAAATGTCTACGACCTACGTCACTTGGGCATTCCTCCCACAGTAAACTGGAATGCCGAGATACAACTGAAATACTGTTTAGAACGGCGCTAAAACAAACAAACTCACTCTGCATATCCACTCGCCCATATACAAGCATCAGGGTGTCAAATAATACAGAGTGTCGCGTTGTTCCGTTGGTATACGTGACTACTAACGCAATGACAACATATATCAGAACGTTAATGTTAGAATGCCTGCGTTATTGAACATCTGGCTGTTTCAATCCAATCTTAAATACTTCAATGTCGTTAGAATATTCGTTCAGTCGAAAGAAAAAGTAATATTCCAAAAGAATTAGCAATTCGAAAAAACTACACTCACAAATCGTAATAGTACAGCGAGGACACCAGGTGTTCTCAAAAAGTGTGAATATGTCTTATCTAGACCCCTCGCGTATCAAGGCTGAAATCACAAAAGTGTTGGCCCTAGAAATAGAATCTGGAAATCATTCTCACACTGACACATTTCTGAGAAAAACTGAAAAAAACTAAGATGTCCTTAAATTCCATGTGAACAAAGACAAATACCTATTTCCAACATAAGGGAACACTGTTTAAGTTACACTGCGAGAACACATTTCGCGAGCAGGCCAAAAGATTCGACAACCTTGACATACTATCAGATTCTTATGTTGTTTTGAAACCCATCTTCCTTGTGTTGAAGTTCCACAGTGAATTCCGTATTGGGTAACGTTCACTCTATCCGTACCTGTTCTATTTTAGAAAGTTTCTGAAACAAATCCTTCAAAGACAATTGTAACTTTGCTCACAACACACGGAAATTCTATTAGACGCCATCTTGGGGTGAGGATTAGGCCTCATCAAACGCTAGTCCTACCATACAAAGTATTCAACATGGCGGGTAGCCAGGCCACAGTTTGGACAGCGCGTGCATGGAATGCCCAGCGCCACCTAGCGGGACATACAGGAAGCTAATGTCCTTCATTGTCCTGGTTTCAATTTTAAATCGGATATTTGGTCAAACTTCTAAGGAGAAATCAAATAGTTTGGTAAACTGTCGTAACGGACAAACATTCGTAGTCGTTGAACAAGTCCGCACTAAGCTATCTGTAAATGTTCTCAAGTTGACAGAGTCGAGATAGGCATGTCTATGAACGAAGATATTCACGGTAGTATATCCACTGACCCACAAAGTCCAGGCGTGTTATATAACTACATTTAGCCGTACAGCTCATGGTTAGTAAATAGGTAGGGAGTATTTTATTTAAATAACATATCTCACAATAGTTTAGTCTGCGTATAAATTATTGTGTGCCATTTCAATGTTCACAAAATTCATTTCTAAGTTTGGGCGAAGTGATAAATTTTGGTTTAAGCCGTCTTCTTACCCCAGCGCGGGTCAATGCCAATTCCTCGTGCTGATAATAGTGCACCGACTCTGATAGGAGAAACAACATATACTTTGATAATGCAATGTTACCTAACGGCATATATGTATACTCAGTCTATCACCCTGGTGTGTCTGTTCTTTGAGGGCGACCTTAAAGTATCGCCTCGTGTTACACCATGTATAAATCTTATCTCCCCAATGTGCACCTTGGGCTACCTCGGTTTCATTGAACAGGGTCCAAAGTTCAACGTACCTGCCAAATACCAGAACACTGTAGAAGGTCCATAAGTCAATCCGTAAAACCAAAGCAAAGAAACACATATCTTCACAACTCGAAGCATTAGCCAAGTTATGTAACATTGCCTGCCAATGCTACTTGTGCTCGAATGTCTTCCCTGTGCGTTTTTCACATCAGAAGGGTCAAGCGAGGGCTGACTACATGGCACGATGTTAGAGTGGCTGTTTCCGTAGTCCTTTCATTTAGCGAGACTTAATATTGATTGCTTGTTAAATATTTCTAAATCATCTTGTTTGATCTAAATTTGCTTTGCAATATATTTCTTTCAAATTCGAACGGTTCATACATAACTGATTGAATTACATTCAAATTCGTTAGTATTATTTAGGAGTATTACTAACGGAGTCGGGTGGTTTAGGCTCGCTGACTTGGTCGATGCATGTCATCGTATCCCAGTTGCGTGGATCGATGCTCATGTCAATCACTGGATTGTCTGGTTCAGAAATGATTATTTACAGACCACCGCCATATAGCTGGAATATTGCTGAGTGCAGCGTTAAACAACAAATAAACAAACAAACCTACTCTTGTGGACCCGTGAAGATCCGGGGTAGAATAGGTCTTCAGCAACCCATGCATGCCGTAAGAGGCGACTATGCTTGCCGTAAGAGGCGACTATGCTTGCCGTAAGAGGCGACCATGCTCTCCGTAAGAGGCGACTATGCTTTTCGTAAGAGGCGACTAGCGGGATCGGGGTTGATACATGTCATCGTATCCCAATTGCGTGGATCGATGCTCATGATGTCATCCATCGGATTGTCTGGTCCAGACTCGATTATTTGTCGTCCGCCGTAATATAGCTGGAATATTGCGGCTTTACACAACAAACATTATCCTCATCACATCCCCTATTCTTGTGTCATAGGTACTTTTAAACTGAACAGGACCGCCTCAGTGGTCTAGTGGTAGAGCGTCCGCCCGGAGAGCGGAAGGTTCGGGGTTCGATCCCCGGCCGCGTCATACAAAAAGACGTTAAAAGATGGTACTTGTTGTTACCCTGTCTGGCGCTCGGCATTAAGGGGCTAAGACAAGGACTGGTCGGTTCGGAGTCCGTATGGCATGGTATCTCAGTGAGCTAGCACTATAAATCGGCATTAGTCCGGACTAGTACAAGCAGCCACACACACACACACACACACACACACACACACACGCGTGCATGCACGTCGCTATATAAGTGCAATAATCTTGAACGCGACGTTAAACCCAATTTCACCTCACCTCACCTTTAAACTGAACAGAACAAAACTGAATCCCACGACTCTGAACACCATGTGGTTGAACACTTAGTTCAATCGTTTCTATATTCCCCATGTAATGTCCCTATAGCTTAACTCCCCTAGTTGTGACAAGCTTTCACATATGCGTAGGACGCTTCAACGTCGTTCTGGTTTCAACATCCTTGTGTAAACCCCATTTAAAGTCCACGCGGATTATAGAGTTCGACAGACAGCGACAATATAGTGTCACAGTGAGAGCCTTAAGCGAAGATGTCGCAGGCTTTCTGTCTTTTCGGATTACAGAAAAACAAAAGCAGAGACTGATGTGACGTCCCTGTCTTAAACCATGATTATGTAACAGCTACAAAACAAGAGATGTAAAACAGTCACAAGGCGCTGTTGTCTTTGCCTTTCTTAGATATATTTGGTGAGGGCCAACGGTAAGCACGCATCGCCTAAACGTGTATCATGTTGATGACTACCTGTGCCAGGGTCAACTGATTATGGCCTTCGGTGTGACGGCAATTTATCCGTGTCGTGGGTTTCACGATAAACCTCTACGTCATTTAGATCGTTCCTCACACATTAACTTTGCAATGGCGGATCCAGCATTTTTAAAAGGAAGGGGTCCAAAATATCAAATCCTCTCTCACTTGGAGGGAGGGGTGGGCGGGTGCGGGGTGGAGGGCGATCTCTACAACATATATTGGTTATAAAGGGAAGGGTCCCCCCTCTGGACCCGCCTATGCCTGACACTAACAAAGACAAGGGCGGATCCAGAATGTTTAAAGGTTGGGTTGGGTGGGTTTGGGGTCCAAAATATTACGATCCTTTCTCAGTGGTGGTGAGGGGGTGGTGGGGGTGGGGGTGGATTCTCTACAACATTTGGGTTTGGGTTTTAAAGCCCCCGGATCCGCCTATGCCTGACACCAACTAAGATATGACACCAACCAAGATATGACTATGATACAGTTCCCTCACCCGTTGTTTCCTGTTCATTGTATTACACATGTCTTCCTTTCTGTTCGTGCAGGATGGAACGATAATTTTCATAACAACAGACGATGTTGATGCATGAACTGATTTTATTTCTCTCCCAACAGTTACCTACCGCGGCTGCGCTGACGGGTGGACTAGCAGCGTCATCAAGCACGACTACGTGGGCTGCAGAACCCAGATGTTGTGGGGGAAACCGGTTGAGTGGTGCTTCTGTACTGCGTCTCTGTGTAACGGAGACTCCATGGATGACATCAAGATAAAATACCTCAACCCCAACCCTCATCCATTTAAAGGTGAGACTTCACGAGACGTCAGTCAATCATCCGTGAAAATCCGAGAGAATTCAAGTTAGGCTAAATAGTTCTAGTTGTGAGACGGGTAATCATCACGATCTTGTTAATTGTGTTCTATTGGTTGACGTCGTAAACACTTGAACTCGGTTACCGTCCTCAAGATTGAAAGACGTCGGCGTATCATTTTTCTTATCCCATTTATCTTACATTTGAACATAAAAGAACATTTCATATAGTTAGGCAACCTGTTAATTTGTTTCATTTCTCACAAGGAAACGTATCTACGACAGCGGGCCCTGACAGCACCACAGGCTACGACTCCGACAACACCGGTTCCTCGGACACCATCGCAGAGCTCACCACAGAAGACCAAACGGCTTCCGACACAATGTCATCTACTTCCGAGGATGACATTACGAAGGTCACGGACGGCTCCAGCAAAGGGGAGACAACTGAAGACAAGCATTCATCGCCCTTCCTCAGCCTTCTGGGCGTAAAGGAACAAGCGTAAAGAGCATCGAAATGGACTAATCAACCCTTTGTATTTCCTCACGGCCTTGTAATCGTATACTACTACCGAGTGCTACAACGGATACATCAGTAATGTACACCGTAGGCAAATTACCTATTTAAGCTTCTAGAAAACATCGCTCGCGTAGACAATGTTACACTACTGATTACTAGTTCTGAGGGAACGCCAAACAATAATATTCAGCTGTGATTGTCAATGTCAAAAACCTTGACCTTTTGATTGTTTCCGAGCATGAGATATGAAAACATATATTCTATTTTGCACTCGTGCTTCGGCACTAAGCTCACATTTTGTTCTGTTTGAGTAAAAGCTGAGTTTATTTGTGCCACCTTGTACAACTTTAAATGTATGTTTGTATGTTGTGCTGTTGTCGTCTGTAATCGCCCATTGTCAAGTCACAAACACATGTATATATTTCTCTTATCTTGATATGTACATAACGTATAAAATTCTACTATTTTATCCACAACCAAGGATTTTACTTGGCCCTGTATTTTTCTCGTTCCCTGGTACTGTTTAAAGCACAAATTACCTGTTTGAACCGTGATGTATCGTGTGTGCGTCTACATATTGTTATTGTCTTGCATCCGTTGCGCTACAATCATTTTTTCTAATTACCACTTGTTTTACTGAGTGTGCGGGCAGTTTACTGAATAGCGTCACGGGGCTTGATTAACGCTGCGAACGAGTGTGTACAGAGTTCATCACCGTAGTTATTCTCACGATCATGAAATGATTGTCTAGTGGTCGAAAGTATGAGCACCTAGTACAAAGTCAACTATATCATCCATCTAAAGAAAGTGCCAATACTCCCTCACACCCAACATATATTGCAGCACCAATTCGCCTTCAGCATATCAAAGCATTACGTAATGCTATGGAAGCAATGTTAATTTAAGCCAATATACTAACAGGGAAATATATACCTTTTAAAACAACCGGATTTCGACATAAAGTGATTGTCCGTTCCCGTCCACGGGTCAACCCATGATAAGTCGAGTTGAGAGTTGACAGCATATACATTAGAAACTGATATATTTCGCCGTAGGATAATGTGCTTCCTATTGTTAGTGCAGGCGCTTCCTGGTTCCTGAACAGCAAAACTATTTATGTCCTGTACGCTTTTACACAACTGCAGCTTATAACAATACAATACACAGGAGAGACGGTCGTCCTTTGCCGCCACCATCCCTAATGACGTACGTCCACTACATCCGCCATATTGGTCAAGCCTGTCATATTTGTTTTCGTGTTTCCCCGGTGGTTAGGCATGTGAGAAAACTAATCAATTGCGGTTGTCAGTTGAAGTGAAATATAAACATCGTATTGACACAGGCAGGTGTACGTGGACAGCAGACTTCTGACCGCGCCTTTTGCCCGACATTTTTTACCCTGAGACGTTGACGCTGGCAGCAACACGTTTCCTAAAAACAAGGCAACGATCTAATTAATTACCAATTTCTCATTTTAAGGTTTTGAATGTGGGTTGCTCATAGCCTGTCAATTTGAAAACCAAATTCTGAAAAAGATATCGTTACATTATCACTACAGCTTGAATTGTTTCAACATTTTGATACAGACATTCTCCGAAAGTGATTTCTAATACAATTGTTCTTCTGTCGGAAACCATTACCCGTTCATTGTTACGTGAAGTCTACGACTGCCATCAACTCGTATAAAATGACATAGCTTAGTGTTGGTCCCAGTCCGAAGACCGTATTTTATGGGTCCAGATTTTGACAAGCTAATCTCTATGACTGTTATGTCATTACCAGAAAACATACTTTTCTACCGTCTCCCTCAAGTCCAAGAGACCATGATGTCGGAACGGTCACAATCTCTAATCATATACCGTATTTCCTCTATTAGACGCCAGGGCTTCTATTTATTTCGGACAAGCCTTTGACCCGGCGTCTATTGGAGGCCCAGCGTCTATTGGAGGCCCGGCTTCTATTAATACCCCAATTTCACTATGACCACGATTGTCCCGAATCGTCACGAAATGGAAATATTTTGTGTTTGTAGATATCCGTAGATATATCTCAATCAAGTCTCGACCCGGCGTCTATTAGAGCCCCGACTTCTATTTTTTGCACTGAACAATTGACCCGGCGTCTATTAGAGGCCGGCGTCTATTAGAGGCCGGCGTCTAATAGAGGAAATACGGTAAATTATCGAGCTTACTGGCTTGCAGATCGACCTTATGGTTCGGCCTTGTCCTGGAAACAATGGTTTTCAGTGGTTCGGCTGTGGGTCCTGGAACACATTCAGTTTGGTTTTCAGTGACGTGCATCTTAGTTAACCGCATTGCCGTTGTAGCTTAGCGCTTGTGTACATGGCTGAACATGCTTGAAACTGTTTATCCCAACAAGGAGCGTCTGGCAGGTTATGGAGCTATTGCTGCTGTTGCTTGTGTTCAGTGTATCAATTCAGTATTATAAGAGTGTGTTGTTTCGTGTCTTGTCGTTGATTGGTGCAAATATATTTAACATATTTGCTGGTAACACAACAGGTGAGAATGTGTATTTGTGCCGCAACAACAAGTAGTGTTCTGTTTGTTCACAGCTGGGACTGAGGGGTCGGCAAGGCGCGTGGTATGTTTTCACTGCTTCTGAGGTACCTTGGGTACTCCTGATGTATAGATACATCTCAAACGGACAATTCGGGGATTGTGTAAAATAGACTTATCTATATGTTGTAGATATTTCCGCGATTATTGTATGAATGTTGTTTGTTAATCACTTGTTTGATATATTATTTCATGAATGCACGTGCTTCAAATGTAAATAATCATCACTATTAGACATATGTGTATATTTGACTATATATACTTGTTTATATTTCTATGGGAAATAAATCACACATACATACACTATATATAGAGTCGTTTTTAATGTTGACGTCGCATAGAGAGTGAGTTGGATTCAACGCCGCTTTGATTTGTTTGTTCGTTGTTTAACGCTGCACTCAGCAATATTCCAGTTATATGAGGCGACTAACGGGATCGGGTGGTCAGACTCGCTGACTTGGTTGATGCATGTCATCGATCCCAATTGCGTGGATCGAAGCTCATGATATTAATCACTGGATTGTCTGGTCCAGATTATTTACAGACCGCCGTCATATAGCTGAAATATTGCCGAGTGCGGTGTTAAACAACTACTCAACCCACGTAGCGGGTGTCCTTTGACGTTGGCGTAAACGTCTCCTTGTCCTGTCTCAGACGTGCTCTGCGGATTAAGGTCATGACTTGTGGCTGGTAATTGCATTCTGGGGATGTTTAAATTTGCTTCTGGGGGTCGTCAGTCATGATATGTGCACGATGGGTTCGAGCGTTACTGCCTTGGAAAACGTGGACTAGAATGGCGCAAACGTTTGGTGCCTGTATGCCGTCTCGGTAGTACTGTCCAGTGGCATTACACAAGGCCACGTCTGAATGGCGTTGTTATAAAACAACTTAGCGCTTCGACGGTCATAAGTTTGTGTAAAGGTATGGGAGTTACGTTCCCTTTAGCGTTACGCTCACTTTGAATAAAGGCTTCCAGGTCAGTAACGTGAACTCCCACAGCCCGTCGCAAGTGAACACGGATTTAATGGTCTGTTTAGGCTCGATTTCTTAAAGCCAGGTTTCTGATGAATTGATCCTGGACTTGTTTTGTTGACCTGGGGCGCCCTGTACGGAGCCGATCATTAACATTTTGTGTCTGCAAAACCTGTTCCAAAGTCTGCAAATCACAGACTGTGATACACTGAGCATAGGGGTTACCTCTCACTCGGTTCCACCAGTTTGAAGCATGCCAGTAGCTCCAAGCATTCATCACATTGTAGGCGACACACACCCAATCTGATCACAAATACTGCATTAAAGCAAGAGTAGTAGAGAGCTACTGTAGATAATGGAAATCAACAATACTTATTGCTCAGAACTAAAATCTATCTCTGGCAGTAATTTTTTTAAAGCTGATCTTTCTTCTGACGACCGATCATGACATTTATATTCAATGATCCCCTACTTGTTTTGGAGAGTATAGACTAACCAACTCGAACGCTGAATTACCGTTTATCTGTACCCCCTGAATAAATACTGTATGACCTCGTCAAATGCTTGAGGTAAACACCATTCACTCACTCTGGACAGATAATCGTTAATTTCTCAAAGCTCATTGGCTATTATCTATTTCTTACAAAGAGTACTATCAGTGGTAGCTTGTTGGTTGTTCTCTCATAGGGCTGTCAGTGAACCATTGTGCATCTACATCTCATTCACAGCTCAGCTTTCAGCACTGGTCAGCAGTACAACATCTTGATTTAATGACATCTCAAAACAAGAAAACATGGTGGTATCCTCTGTCTTCGTCAAACCCAAAATGAGAGCTGATGACTACCTTTGAAACGTAATGTCACTGTAGGAAATATAATAGTTTAATATTTCACTTTCCTTATATCCAAACATGGCTGGGGTATCAAATCTATCCCAACACAATTTCATTTTGTGAATACAACACTTAGTTCCCCTTGTTTAATTGTGCTACAAGAATGCTAACCAAAAGAACAAGTTTGTTTGTTTGGTTGTTTGTTGTTTTTAACGCCGCACGCAGCAATATTCCAGCTTTATGACGGCGGTCTGTAAAATAATCGAGTCTGGACCAGACAATCCAGTGATTGACATCATGAGCATCGATCCACGTAATTGGGATCGATGACATATATCAACCAAGTCAGCGAGTCTGACCACCCGATCCCGTTAGTCGCCTTTTACGACCAGCATAGTCGCCTTTTACGGCAAGTATGGGTTGCTGAAGACAAAAGAACAAGTGTCTACTGTCAGTGATCTTGTTCAGTCCTCACCCTTTCTGCAACAGGTCACATGAGCATACATAAGCAAAAGAACAAGAAGAAGATGTTTCCATGTTTTTTATCTCATACCATCAGTACAATGGTGTATGTACAAATACATATTACAACGTGATTACACATGGATAAGATACTTCACAGAACAAATATCACCAGCCATATCAGACTAAATGCAACAAAGTAGCCCTGCAGTTCATCTGTTTGTTTCATTGTGTTTAAAGCCGCACTCAGCAATATTTCATCTATATGACAGCCGCCTGCAAAAAAATTAGGTCGGAACCAGTCTAGTTATTGACACTATAAGCATCGATCTATGTACTTGGGATAGATACATGCATCAACCAAGTCAGCGAGCATGACCACCTGATCCCATTTGTCGCCTCTAATGACAAGCCTGGGTTGCTGAAGACCAATTCTAACCTGGATGTTCACAGAGGCCCTGCACTTGACACACACATACAACTGACAGTGTGTGGAAATATGTATACAGCCTCAATCAGGCTCAAATAAAGGCAAAGCATTATATTGCACATGTTATAGGATGGTACAAAGGATACAGAGGGGTACAGTCATCATAGGGGCCGAAAGAACTGATTTCTTTCAGGAAAGAAAATTCTCGTGGTAACCTCACTTTATCCCATCCTTTCATAATCACATCTGTAACTTCTTGTAAATATAAAATGTCAATGCAAGAGAAAATTATCTCAATTATCTGCCAAACAGATTCCATTGGGAGCAAAAGGCCAAATAGTGGTAAAGAAAATGTTGGAATCAACCCTGCGTCTTCAGTTTGACAAGCAAACACTTCAACCACTTGACTACCCTACACCAGTCTTTAGAAGAATGAGTGGTGTATTGAGATCTGTTCGAGATCCCACCTGTTTCAACATCTGTACAGAAGAACAAGGTTATTGCACTTATACAGCAAAGTGTGTGGCGTGGCTTGGCGTGGCATGTGATGTGGTGTATGGTGTGCAGTGTGTGGCGTGGCGTGGCATGATGTGTGGCGTGGCGTGGCGTGGCATGATGTGTGATGTGGTGTATGGTGTTGTGTGTGTGGCGTGGCGTGGCGTGGCATGGTGTGTGATGTGGTGTATGGTGTGGTGTGTGTGGCATGGCATGGCATGGTGTGTGATGTGGTGTATGGTGTGGTGTGTGTGGCGTGGCGTGGCATGGCATGGTGTGTGATGTGGTGTATGGTGTGGTGTGCGTGGTGCATGTCTACTGGAACTTGTCCAGACTACTGCCAGCTTCATAGTGCCAGTCAACTCAGATACCATGCCATAGTTTTAACACAGATACCCCACTCAGACACAATAAATTGACTCCAAGCTGACCAATCTTTTTTTTGTCCCCTTAATGCCGAACGCCAGGCAGGGTAACTGTATAGAAGTAAACAGCCAGAAATCGATACACTTAGTCACGATTCATGTGTTCATGATTCAGGAACATAATTTTGATAGCACAAAGCATAACAATATTTGTGAACTGTCCTTTCTGGATGCTGTCCAACAAAACTAGAACGTTGCTCATTATCATTCGTGAACCATTTACTGTGCAAATACATGTAGCAGTGAGTTGTTTCAACCATGTACACCTTGCTTAATTACTTAATTTTAGTACAAACATTGATTTAAAAACCAGCATTAAATCGGACAATACCAGTTCTACACAGATCCTTGTGATTTCTTCATGAATTTGCCAGCTCAGAAAAGATGCCCTTAGGTTTATTGTTAGCGTCATCCTCCCCGAGCGTGTCCACAGCCATCTGTCAACACAAAGACAAACACGGGTTATAAACATTATTGTTTTATGTGTGAACGGAGAGGCTGGGGAGAATGCACAAGATTTACTTTTGCCCCGACACGACCCCTCCACAAGTCACTGTCTAGCTGTATCTGTTGACAAATCAACAAAGACGGATTTGGCCGTAAGAGATTAGCTGTGAGGCTCGTGTTGGATGAGGGTGATTTTTTTATCGTTTTCATTCCGATCTGGAATCAGCGCCTTTGGGAAACAGGAAGCCTTGGGACGTAACTAAGAAGACAATGACGTATTGAAGGGGGACATGGAATGGTTATTTATACAGTAGAGGATGTCTGGGAAGGTGGTATTTGTTGAGGATCTTAGTATTAGCTTTGCTTTCTCATCACAGGAAATGGCATTAATTAAAACTGTCACTGTGAAGGAAGTATGGTAGGGTAGAGGAAGTGTACTCTTGCACCAGTCTCTCAACTCATGTCTCTGAGCGGGTATGGCCGACGTGCAGATATCAGAAACACCTCTAACTATAACAGTATTACAGACTGGAGACATGTTCCTTCAATCTCATTAAAATCAGATCTTAGTTCTCGCTACCGCTAAACAAAGCTTTGTTTAGCGGTAGCGAGAACTAAGATCTGATTTTAATGAGATTGCATGTTCCTTATCACAAAGTTATTTATTCTTAATTTTTTACATGAATATATACGTTTGGTTTATGTAAAAATATTAATATTTTTTAATCAAATATGAAAGTCAATTGAAAATATGTAAAGTATTTTATTTGGAACAAACATTCCATGTGATTTTATAGAAATTATTAAAACAAATTTTTAATTTTTAATCAAATTAGCCAAATAGGAACTCGTATTGCAAATTCTTCAGATGTTTCAGATCTAACTCCAAGAAGCATTCAAACATTCTAAGTGCATGCTTCAGAATGGGTGACAATTGCAATAAATTATCATGAAACTGTTCTGGGTGAACAATACCTTCCAAATGGCGTGCTGGTTTTCTTGGGGAATTAGTCAGCAAAGAGCCGGAGTCACAGGAGACTAATCACAATGTTATTTACAAGAACAATTAACAATGAGCAAGTTACAATATCTTAGAAAATAAGTGAGGGGGCCACAGAGAGTCGGTACAACACTCTGGGCTGTGGGAGAGAGGTCTGCTTGGTAAGAGAGTCAAACCCCTTCTCTGCCTAAACCTGGTTACAGTATGTATTTAACAAAAAATTGAACAATAAAAAGGAATAGGATTGGTTGATACACAATTGGTTGTGCCCTATGCTAAATGGATGGCTAGACAGAGGGGAATACTTAATCCTGTTAATCCTGTTGGACTGGCACTAATCTTGTTGACATATTTACTGGATGCTTTGGAAAGAGATTATGGTGTCACTATAGACGAGGTTGTGTTGGGGCTAATCCTTAATGCACTATAGACGAGCTTGTATGGGTGCTAATCCTTAATGAGTCTAAATTGCTGAATGTTATTCTAATATAGGTGATGACAGATTTACTTAAATAAAATAGTTCAAGGTAATCTATAATCTCCCCAATCCCATCGGCATCTATTCCAAATCTCAAAATTCCCAAATTCTATATAAGCAACCCCTAAAACCCCCCTCTTGGGTTGCACAGACCACCTTCGCCCCTTTCGGAAACACATTAAATGGCCTGGCCGGGCCCGTGTGCGAAATACGCATCAGTCGGAAAGCGCACGTTAAATCTCCAAAGTAAGTAAGTAAGTAAGTAAGTAATCTATAAGACTATGTAGACATATCTTTTGTCTGGGAGATGGGATCTTGATACCTTAGGCTAGCATTTATCTAAAAGCTTCAAATCTATTAAACTATGTAGACATAACTCTTGTCTTATTGAATAGTATGTCTAGATGCGCTCCCATTACCTTAGGCTAGCATCTATCTAAAAAGCTATAACTGAAACTACTGATATTTTATATATACATTTTACCTGATGATAAATATTACTTGCTAAACTATAATTATATGAAATGATGTATAAATATTACACCATGATAACTCATAAAAGCACTTGATGTGGATCTAATTATTATAGGATAACTTAGTATAAATGTTATACCATGATAAAATTATAAAAACCAAAATATTTAGTCAAATTATTTCATGCTGGGTAACAATATTTGACAAACAGGGAGAGCTGCTATTTTAGTTTTAGTTACTGCTATTTTAGTTTTTCCACTTTGGTTCTTGTAAGAAATATGATACAAAGAAAGCAAGACTTTATTTAAATATAAAAAAGCATAGTGCAATGAATTTAAGTTAAATTATAAAGTAATAATATAATGTACCGTAAGTTGAATATAACGTAATGCAAGATAATGTTTGTTTGTTTTGTTTGTTTATTGTTTAACGCCACAGTAGGTAATATTCGAGCTGTAAATAATCAAGTTTGGACCAGACAATCCAGTGATTGATATCAAGAGCATTGTTCAACACAATGGGGATACGATGACATGCATCAACCAAGTCAGCGAGCCCGACCATCGAATCCTGGTAGTTGCCTCTTACGACCAGCATGGGTTGCTGGAGACCTATTCTTTCCCGGATCTTCACGGGTCTATAATGTAATTTTAATACAATGTAATATAAGGTGAATGTAATGTGGATACAATCATGATAATGTAAGTTAAATATAATGTAAACTGAATATCAGGTAATGTGTAATATGAATAAGATTTAACATGATTTAATAATATGTGATTGAATATAATACAATGTGAATATAAAGTAACACAAATAACATGAATGCCCTCTGACTACCTTGCTGTGTGTGTTACCTGTCTGGCCTCTGACTACCTTGCTGTGTGTGTTACCTGTCTGGCCTCTGACTACCTTGCTGTGTGTGTTACCTGTCTGGCCTCTGACTACCTTGCTGTATGTGTTACCTGTCTGGCCTCTGACTACCTTGCTGTATGTGTTACCTGTCTGGCCTCTGACTACCTTGCTGAGTGGCCCCTGACTACCTTGCTGTATGTGTTACCTGTCTGGCCTCTGACTACCTTGCTGAGTGGGCTCTGACTACCTTGTTGTGTATGTTACCTTTCTGGCCTATGACTATCTTGCTGTATGTGTTACCTGCTGGCCTCTGCCATGTATGTTACCTGTCTGGCCTCTGAATGCCTTGCTGTGTGTGTTACCTGTCTGGCCTCTGACTACCTTGCTGTGTGTGTTACCTGTCTGGCCTCTGACTACCTTGCTGTGTGTGTTACCTGTCTGGCCTCTGACTACCTTGCTGTATGTGTTACCTGTCTGGCCTCTGACTACCTTGCTGAGTGGCCCCTGACTACCTTGCTGTATGTGTTACCTGTCTGGCCTCTGACTACCTTGCTGAGTGGGCTCTGACTACCTTGTTGTGTATGTTACCTTTCTGGCCTATGACTATCTTGCTGTATGTGTTACCTGCTGGCCTCTGCCATGTATGTTACCTGTCTGGCCTCTGAATGCCTTGCTGTGTGTGTTACCTGTCTGGCCTCTGACAACCTTGCTGTGTGTGTTACCTGTCTGGCCTCTGACTACCTTGCTGTGTGTTACCTGTCTGGCCTCTGACTACCTTGCTGTGTGTGTTACCTGTCTGGCCTCTGACTATCTTGCTGTGTGTGTTACCTGTCTGGCCTCTGGCTACCTTGCTGTGTGTGTTACCTGTCTGGCCTCTGTCAACCTTGCTGTGTGTGTTACTTGTCTGGCCTCTTGACTATCTTGCTGTGTGTGTTACCTGTCTGGCCTCTGACTACCTTGCTGAGTGGCCTCTGACTACCTTGCTGTGTGTGTTACCTGTCTGGCCTCTGACTACCTTGCTGTGTGTGTTACCTGTCTGGCCTCTGACAACCTTGCTGTGTGTGTTACCTGTCTGGCCTCTGACTACCTTGCTGAGTGGCCTCTGACTACCTTGCTGTGTGTGTTACCTGTCTGGCCTCTGACTACCTTGCTGTGTGTGTTACCTGTCTGGCCTCTGACTACCTTGCTGTGTGTGTTACCTGTCTGGCCTCTGACAACCTTGCTGTGTGTGTTACCTGTCTGGCCTCTGACTACCTTGCTGTGTGTTACCTGTCTGGCCTCTGACTACCTTGCTGTGTGTGTTACCTGTCTGGCCTCTGACTATCTTGCTGTGTGTGTTACCTGTCTGGCCTCTGGCTACCTTGCTGTGTGTGTTACCTGTCTGGCCTCTGTCAACCTTGCTGTGTGTGTTACTTGTCTGGCCTCTTGACTATCTTGCTGTGTGTGTTACCTGTCTGGCCTCTGACTACCTTGTTGTGTGTGTTACCTGCCTGGCCTCTGACTACCTTGCTGAGTGGCCTCTGACTACCTTGCTGTGTGTGTTACCTGTCTGGCCTCTGACTACCTTGCTGTGTGTGTTACCTGTCTGGCCTCTGACAACGTTGCTGTGTGTGTTACCTGCCTGGCCTCTGACTACCTTGCTGAGTGGCCTCTGACTACCTTGCTGTGTGTGTTACCTGTCTGGCCTCTGACTACCTTGCTGTGTGTGTTACCTGTCTGGCCTCTGAATGCCTTGCTGTGTGTGTTACCTGTCTGGCCTCTGACTGCCTTGCTGTGTGTGTTACCTGTCTGGCCTCTGACTACCTTGCTGTATGTGTTACCTGTCTGGCCTCTGACTGCCTTGCTGTGTGTGTTACCTGTCTGGCCTCTGACTGCCTTGCCATGTATGTTACCTTTCTGGCCTCTGAATGCCTTGCTGTGTGTGTTACCTGTCTGGCCTCTGACTGCCTTGCTGTGTGTGTTACCTGTCTGGCCTCTGACTATCTTGCTGTGTGTGTTACCTGTCTGGCCTCTGGCTACCTTGCTGTGTGTGTTACCTGTCTGGCCTCTGTCAACCTTGCTGTGTGTGTTACTTGTCTGGCCTCTTGACTATCTTGCTGTGTGTGTTACCTGTCTGGCCTCTGACTACCTTGTTGTGTGTGTTACCTGCCTGGCCTCTGACTACCTTGCTGAGTGGCCTCTGACTACCTTGCTGTGTGTGTTACCTGTCTGGCCTCTGACTACCTTGCTGTGTGTGTTACCTGTCTGGCCTCTGACAACGTTGCTGTGTGTGTTACCTGCCTGGCCTCTGACTACCTTGCTGAGTGGCCTCTGACTACCTTGCTGTGTGTGTTACCTGTCTGGCCTCTGACTACCTTGCTGTGTGTGTTACCTGTCTGGCCTCTGAATGCCTTGCTGTGTGTGTTACCTGTCTGGCCTCTGACTGCCTTGCTGTGTGTGTTACCTGTCTGGCCTCTGACTACCTTGCTGTATGTGTTACCTGTCTGGCCTCTGACTGCCTTGCTGTGTGTGTTACCTGTCTGGCCTCTGACTGCCTTGCCATGTATGTTACCTTTCTGGCCTCTGAATGCCTTGCTGTGTGTGTTACCTGTCTGGCCTCTGACTGCCTTGCTGTGTGTGTTACCTGTCTGGCCTCTGAATGCCTTGCTGTGTGTGTTACCTGTCTGGCCTCTGACTGCCTTGCCATGTATGTTACCTGTCTGGCCTCTGAATGCCTTGCTGTGTGTGTAACCTGTCTGGCCTCTGACTGCCTTGCCATGTATGTTACCTGTCTGGCCTCTGAATACCTTGCTGTGTATGTTACCTGTCTGGCCTCTGTCAACCTTGCTGTGTGTGTTACCTGTCTGGCCTCTGGCTATCTTGCTGTGTATATTACCTATCTGGCCTCTGTCAACCTTGCTGTGTGTGTTACCTGTCTGGCCTCTGTCAACCTTGCTGTGTGTGTAACCTGTCTGGCCTCTGACTGCCTTGCTGTGTGTGTTACCTGTCTGGCCTCTGTCAACCTTGCTGTGTGTGTTACCTGTCTGGCCTCTGGCTATCTTGCTGTGTATATTACCTGTCTGGCCTCTGTCAACCTTGCTGTGTGTGTTACCTGTCTGGCCTCTGTCAACCTTGCTGTGTGTGTAACCTGTCTGGCCTCTGACTACCTTGCTGTGTGTGTTACCTGTCTGGCCTCTGTCAACCTTGCTGTGTATAATACCTGTCTGGCCTCTGACTACCTTGCTGTGTGTGTTACCTGTCTGGCCTCTGACTACCTTGCTGTGTGTGTTACCTGCCTGGCCTCTGACAACGTTGCTGTGTGTGTTACCTGCCTGGCCTCTGACAACCTTGCTGTGTGTGTTACCTGTCTGGCCTCTGACTATCTTGCTGTGTGTGTTACCTGTCTGGCCTCTGACTACCTTGCTGTGTGTGTTACCTGTCTGGCCTCTGACTACCTTGCTGTGTGTGTTACCTGTCTGGCCTCTGACTACCTTGCTGTGTGTGTTACCTGTCTGGCCTCTGACTGCCTTGCCATGTATGTTACCTGTCTTGCATCTGAATGCCTTGCTGTGTGTGTTACCTGTCTGGCCTCTGAATGCCTTGCTGTGTGTGTTACCTGTCTGGCCTCTGACTGCCTTGCTGTGTGTGTTACCTGTCTGGCCTCTGACTACCTTGCTGTGTATATTACCTGTCTGGCCTCTGTCAACCTTGCTGTGTGTGTTACCGGTCTGGCCTCTGACTACCTTGCTGTGTGTGTAACCTGTCTGGCCTCTGACTGCCTTGCTGTGTGTGTTACCTGTCTGGCCTCTGACTACCTTGCTGTGTGTGTTACCTGTCTGGCCTCTGACTATCTTGCTGTGTGTGTTACCTGTCTGGCCTCTGACCACCTTGCTGTGTGTGTTACCTGTCTGGCCTCTGACTGCCTTGCTGTGTGTGTTACCGGTCTGGCCTCTGAATGCCTTGCTGTGTGTGTTACCGGTCTGGCCTCTGACTGCCTTGCTGTGTGTGTTACCTGTCTGGCCTCTGACTATCTTGCTGTGTGTGTTACCTGTCTGGCCTCTGACTACCTTGCTGTGTGTGTTACCTGTCTGGCCTCTGACTGCCTTGCCATGTATGTTACCTGTCTTGCCTCTGAATGCCTTGCTGTGTGTGTTACCTGTCTGGCCTCTGTCAACCTTGCTGTGTGTGTTACCTTTCTGGCCTCTGACTACCTTGCTTTGTGTGTTACCTGTCTGGCCTCTGACTACCTTGCTGTGTGTGTTACCTGTCTGGCCTCTGTCAACCTTGCTGTGTGTGTTACCTTTCTGGCCTCTGTCAACCTTGCTGTGTGTGTTACCTTTCTGGCCTCTGACAACCTTGCTGTGTGTGTTACCTTTCTGGCCTCTGACTACCTTGCTGTGTGTGTTACCTGTCTGGCCTCTGACTACCTTGCTGTGTGTGTTACCTGTCTGGCCTCTGACTACCTTGCTGTGTGTGTTACCTGTCTGGCCTCTGTCAACCTTGCTGTGTGTGTTACCTTTCTGGCCTCTGACAACCTTGCTGTGTGTGTTACCTGTCTGGCCTCTGACTACCTTGCTGTGTGTGTTACCTGTCTGGCCTCTGACTACCTTGCTGTGTGTGTTACCTGTCTGGCCTCCAACTACCTTTCTGTGTGTGTTACCTGACTGGCCTCTGACTACCTTGCTGTGTATGTTACCTGTCTGGCCTCTGACTTGTTCATATCCCCGCGGCACAGGATCAGGTTGATGAGCTGCTCGAGTCGAATGTCTGGGTTCTTCTTCACCAGACCCTGGTCAACAACAACAACAGTATGTGTGAGTGGAGAAAGTATTACACCATAGGCAGGCATCATCACAGCTTTATCTTAGCAGAATTATCTCAGCGGCATTATCACAGCAACATTATCACATAACTATCTTAGCACATAACTATCTTAGCAGCACTTTCTTAGTAGCATTACCACAGCATTATCACAGCTGCATTGCAGCACTATTGCATCACTATCTTAGCACTTTCTTAGCAGTATCTTAGCACTTTCTTAGCAGCACTATCTTAGCAGCATTATTTCATCAGCATTATCACATAACTATCTTAGCAGCACTTTCTTAGTAGCATTACCACAGCATTATCACAGCATTGTTAACAGCACTATCACAGCACTATCTTAGCACTATCTTGGCACTTTCTTAGCAGCACTATCTTAGCGGCACTGTCTAAGCAGCATTATCTAAACAGCATTATCACATAACTATCTTAGCAGCACTATCTTAGCACTTTCTTAGCACTTTCTTAGCACCATTATCACAGTATTTTTTCAGCAGCAGTGTCTTAGCAGCATTATGTAAGTAGTGTTATCATAGCACTATCTCACCAGCATTATCACAGCACTAACTTAGCAGCACAATCTTAGCAGCACTAACTTAGTAGCACTATGTTAGCAGCAATATCTCAGCAGCACTGTCTTGGCCACATCACAGTGAAGAGTGTGATCATGCTGGAGCAGACATATCTGTGGTTGATAGTGGAGTCACACATTAATCTTAGTATTATGAGTTAATGTCTTTGATGTAGTTTCTACTGGCCCACCCTCCTACAATGTTAACCAGGTCAATGTTGAACCTATGTTCCACTTACTGTGACTTCCAGTGACAACATGGAGTTATCTCTCAGTTTTAGAACTTCAGCCAAGGAGTAGAGCACATCAAATATGGAGTTGTCCTGTAAAACACAAGCAGCCAGTTAAATTACAGAAGTAGAGTAATAAACATTGACAATGATTTACATCTGTGGACTTCTTTACAGCTGTCATGTCTGAGAGTAATCAAATCTGGACCAGACAAACCATGGTTACTAGTAACAACCCGTGCCATCAAGGAACAATGACACACAATCAGGTCAGTTTAACATTACACAAAGTCAGGTCTCAAGTAAGACAAGCATAGAGGACGTACTCTGTCCTTCAAAAGCTTATGGATGAAGATGTCACTTCAGGCGTGTCAGTGTGAGTGGGTGAGCAGCACCATGGTGAGACCAGCATGGTTTTACATTGTGACAGTTTGGTCGGTGTGTTACTGTTGTGAGCATTACACGACACAGATACACTGCCTCTACAGCTACAAAGGGAGTGAGTTGGGTTTAACGCCGCTTATAACAGTATTCCAATTATATCGCTCGATGTCAGCTTAATGTGGGAGGAAAGCCCCAAATGAGACGTTTACCACTTTGGTGAAACCATCGAGCAGGGGTATGGTGCTGACAAACCTAGAAACATAATCGGGGCGAACCAGGATTCGAACCCACAATCATTGGTTTCTGGTGTGCCCAAGGGACGCAACTCTGCATTGCGAATTGCGCCGCCTTGGACGACTGGGCCGACCATGCCCCCTGCTACCAAGGGAGATCACTCCAACTGCGGTACCTGTTTGGGGGAGACGTGGTGGAACAGGTCCTTGAGGCAGGTGGCCTCCTTCAACATCTTGTCTGCAGATTCCCGCCTCTCCTTGTAGTTCTTGAAAGACAGTTTTCTGTTGTAAAAAAACTCTGCTTTAGCAATATGCTATCAACATCTGTTTTGGTACCTATAGAAAGGTTCTCAGAAATAATGTCAAAATATGATGAGTGAATTTCCTTTAATGATTAACAAAGAATACATATTTATTACATTAATTACATTTATTACACAGCCGGGGCTTAAAATAGCATGACAAAAACAAGGAAAGCTAACAACCTGCTCTCCTTGTATGACAACATACTTTCATGATATCAATGTTATTGTACTTAATTAATGTGGTCGTGGTTACAAAAATCACTCATAAAATCCAAAACTAGCCATTCCCTACAAGATGGTTTTCAAGGAGCTGGATTGAGAGAGTATAGTTTTACGCCACTTTAGCAATATTCCAGCAATATCACAGCAGGGGACACCAGAAATGGGCTTCACACATTGTACCCATGTGGAAAATCGAACCCGGGTCTTCAGCATGACGAGCAAACACATTAACCACTACGCTACCCCACCGCGCCTCAAGGAGCTGGAAGCAAGTGCGTAGCAATTCCTCACCTCGACAACAGTGCTCGCAAATACTCCGTGAGTATTTTCCTCTGTCCAGTCGTAACCAACATGTCAAAGTTTTTAGGTCGGAGATGCAGAAAGTCTTCATTGTAGTCCGCCCATGTTGCACATATTATGTCTATTGCATTGGAACTGGCCATCCTGCAACAAGAATCAGGGGTCTGTGGAGCCATGCAAACAACGAAACACATCATCAACGTGACTGCTACTGTGGAGCATGTTGTACATGTATCATATGGTGCCTGCCAGTAGTGAAGTCGTAGCACTTGTACCTCCATATTCCCAGGGTATGTTTCATGATGACAACTGACTGACAAGAATTAAGCCAGGACTGAATATGACAAATGATACTGCCAGTAATATGGTATGTAGAGAGACCACCTCCGTAAACTAGTGGATTAAGTGTCTGCCAGGTAGAAGACGGTAAGTGTTTCAAACCCCGACCATGTCATCCCAAATGACATTTAAAAATGGTACATGTTGTTGCCATGCTGGCCTTCAGATTGAAGGTGACAAAACAACACTGGTGGGCTCGGAGTCAGCATGCTGTGTCTAATTGGGGTTTTCATGTTAAACTATGGCATGGTATCTCAGTGGGCAGGCACTATGAAACTAGCATTAGTCCTGACTAATTCAAGTAGACACAGACATAAACAGGCAGACACTGACACAGACACACACACAAAGACACACATGCATACAGACACAAACACACACAGACAGACAGACAGAAAGACACAGACACAGACATGCACTCACGCACGCATGCATGCATACATGCAACGCACGCACAATCGCCTATATAGTCTTGAACAAATGAAACCCTATTTCCCCACATCTTATGTCATGACTCAGTCAAAGCATGATGTACTTGAGTAATGTTTGATAATCAGGAACATGCAATCATTTACAACCAGAACAGTTTGCTAGGTCTGGCATCAGAGACCATCCTTAAGGTCTTAATAACATATGTATCTGACAGGGGTGAAGGTACTGAAACAACGCATGTTTCTCTCTTTTTCCCAAAGGAATCTTATCACCAATATTGAAAACTCGACTGCTTTCGTGAGATAAATATCTTCTCAAAAGAAAAATGTCCATGAACAGGACATAATTACTTACAAAAAAGCTTGGACATGTACAAGCCTGTTTTCCCTAATGCCTTTAGATATATAGACAAGTAGAGACATGATTGGCAGAGGGCTGCCAGTACTCACCAGGCTCGGGTCATCAGTTCATTCAAACAGTTGCTGTCTTTCAGATCGATGAAAAACTCATCCAGAATTATCTTACAGCTGAAACACATACAAGAAGTGAGTGAGTGAGTGAGTGAGTGTTGTTTTACCCTGCAGTTAGCAATACTCTAGCCATATGATGGTAAACTGTCAAGTCTGGACCAGGCAAACCGGTGACTGAGCACAATGATCCATGTCACTGATGTACCAGATCCTCATTTTCGTCCACTCTTACAACAGACATGAGTGAGTGAGTGAGTTTGGTTTTACGCCACTTTTAGCAATATTCCAGCAATATCACGTCAGGGGACACCAGAAATGGGCTTCACACATTGTACCCATGTTCGGAATCGAACCCGGGTCTTCGGCGTGACGAGCGAATGCTTAAACCACTAGGCTACCCGACGGCCCCTCAACATACATGAGGTTGGGGACCTGTAAAGTCCCCGAACCCCAATCGGGTCCAACACAAGAAGCCATAGGCGTAATGGTGATCTAATATACATACATATATCAGCAGCTCTATCCACAACAGTTTAAAGGTATGAGATGAGACTGCATTTCTTTCTCTGTTTATTGCTTTTTCGGTTCAGATATATTTAGACTACTAATGTACCAAGTGTGTGGAGTAATTTCCAACTTCAGCCTAGGTCCACTGTCTGAAAGATAAGCACTTCAGCCTAGGTCTACTGTCTGCAAAATAAGCACTTCAGCCTAGGTCTACTGTCTGAAAGATAAGCACTTCAGCCTAGGTCTACCGTCTGCAAAATAAGCACTTCAGCCTAGGTCTACTGTCTGAAAGATAAGCACTTCAGCCTAGGTCTACCGTCTGCAAAATAAGCACTTCAGCCTAGGTCTACTGTCTGAAAGATAAGCACTTCAGCCTAGGTCTACTGTCTGAAAGATAAGTACTTCAGCCTAGGTCTACTGTCTGAAAGATAAGCACTTCAGCCTAGGTCTACTGTCTGACAGATAAGCACTTCAGCCTAGGTCTACTGTCTGAAAGGTAAGCAACTCAGCCTAGGTCTACAGTCTGAAAGATAAGCTCTTCAGCCTAGGTCTACTGTCTAAAAGATAAGCACTTCAGCCTAGGTCTACTGTCTGAAAGATAAGCACTTCAGCCTAGGTCTACTGTCTGAAAGATAAGTACTTCAGCCTAGGTCTACTGTCTGAAAGATAAGTACTTCAGCCTAGGTCTACTGTCTGAAAGATAAGCACTTCAGCCTAGGTCTACTGTCTGAAAGGTAAGCAACTCAGCCTAGGTCTACTGTCTGAAAGATAAGCACTTCAGCCTAGGTCTACTGTCTGAAAGATAAGCACTTCAGCCTAGGTCTACTGTCTGAAAGATAAGCACTTCAGCCTAGGTCTACTGTCTGAAAGATAAGCACTTCAGCCTAGGTCTACTGTCTGAAAGGTAAGCAACTCAGCCTAGGTCTACTGTCTGAAAGATAAGCACTTCAGCCTAGGTCTACTGTCTGAAAGATAAGCACTTCAGCCTAGGTCTACTGTCTGAAAGATAAGTACTTCAGCCTAGGTCTACTGTCTGAAAGATAAGTACTTCAGCCTAGGTCTACTGTCTGAAAGATAAGCACTTCAGCCTAGGTCTACTGTCTGAAAGATAAGCACTTCAGCCTAGGTCTACTGTCTGAAAGATAAGCACTTCAGCCTAGGTCTACTGTCTGAAAGATAAGCACTTCAGCCTAGGTCTACTGTCTGAAAGATAAGCACTTCGGCCTAGGTCTACTGTCTGAAAGATAAGCACTTCAGCCTAGGTCTACTGTCTGAAAGATAAGCACTTCAGCCTAGGTCTACTGTCTGAAAGATAAGCACTTCAGCCTAGGTCTACTGTCTGAAAGATAAGCAGTCTACTGTAGCTCTGCCTGGTCAGTTATCATCCATCTTCTCACCACAATCTGCTGATCTGTGAGAAGGTGTCAGTCAACTGCTGGAAACTATCTCTCCTGATGTCTGTCTCTTCTTCCCCTTCCTCCTCCTCATACTCATTCTTCAGATAACGCATCCGAAGTTGTTTCATGTACTCCCCAAAACAAAGGCAGTTGTTAGCATTGGCAATCTGTAAAACACCCAAAACAAAGGCAGTTGTTAGCATTGGCAATCTGTAAAACACCCAAAACAAAGGCAGCTGTTAGCATTGGCAATCTGTAAAACACCCAAAACAAAGGCAGTTGTTAGCATTGGCAATCTGTAAAACACCAAAAACAAAGGCAGTTGTTAGCATTGGCAATCTGTAAAACACCCAAAACAAACTTTTTTATTAAACCCTATAATATTACCTAATTTTGTCCACTTGAATAACAGCATCATGAAAAACAGCCCCAGCAAAACGTGCAGAAGATCTTTCCAATACATCTTTTTTATATGTACACCATATGCAAATGAAGTATGAGTAACTCACCACATAATGTAGAAAATATTTTTGCTCATTTCTGTTTCCAAGATGTCGCTCTTTGAAGTTTTTGATTTCTCCTGAAATTTGAAGAAAACATTTGAAGATTCTTCAAAATGTCCATTACAAATTCACTATTCCTAAAAACATGTGATGACTCCAACATGTCCAATACAATGTCACTATTCCTAAAAACATGTGATGACTCCAACATGTCCAATACAATGACACTATTCCTAAAAACATGTGATGACTCTCAAACATGTCCAATACAATGACACTATTCCTTAAAACATGTGATGACTCTCCAACATGTCCAATACAATGACACTATTCCTCAAAACATGTGATGACTCTCAAACATGTCCAATACAATGTCACTATTCCTAAAAACATGTGATGACACTCCAACATGTCCAATACAATGACACTATTCCTAAAAACATGTGATGACTCCAACATGTCCAATACAATGACACTATTCCTCAAAACATATGATGACTCTCCAACATGTCCAATACAATGACACTATTCCTAAAAACATGTGATAACTCTCCAACATGTCCAATACAATGACACTATTCCTCAAAACATGTGATGACTCCAACATGTCCAATACAATGTCACTATTCCTAAAAACATGTGATGACTCTCAAACATGTCCAATACAATGTCACTATTCCTAAAAACATGTGATGACTCTCCAACATGTCCAATACAATGACACTATTCCTAAAAACATGTGATGACTCTGCAACATGTCCAATACAATGACACTATTCCTAAAAACATGTGATGACTCCAACATGTCCAATACAATGTCACTATTCCTAAAAACATGTGATGACTCTCAAATATGTCCAATACAATGTCACTATTCCTAAAAACATGTGATGACTCTCCAACATGTCCAATACCATGACACTATTCCTAAAAACATGTGATGACTCTCCAACATGTCCAATACAATGACACTATTCCTAAAAACATGTGATGACTCCAACATGTCCAATACAATGTCACTATTCCTAAAAAACATGTGATGACTCTCAAACATGTCCAATACAATGTCACTATTCCTAAAAACACGTGATGACTCTCAAACATGTCCAATACAATGACATTATTCCTAAAAACATGTGATGACTCTCCAATATGTCCAATACAATGACACTATTCCCAAAAACATGTGATGACTCTCAAACATGTCAACTCTCAAGACAGGGACTGGTCAGCTCTGAGTCAGTATACTGTGTCTGAGTGAACTGGTCAGTCAGTTCCTGTAGGCATGTAGTGATCTCCATGTTCACTGACCTTCATACTCAACAGCATACTGGCGCAGTTCATCAGCAAACAGCTCCAATACTTTCTTCACTAGATCTTGACTTATCAGCTGAGCCACTTGAAGCTGAAGTTGTTCAAGGAATAACCAGGTCATTCATTTCTACACAACACATGCTGCTCTACTTCGTTCTGCATGAACATTACAGACAAAAGACATTTTGAAGAAATGTAACTGGCTGCTATGGTTGTCCAGAGTAGTATGAGAGTAAGTGTTTATTTGAGAAATAAATGACGAGTGGGAGTCGTTTATCGCACAATAAAACACTGCAGGGAGAATAAACCATGAGGGTTTAAAAACATTGACCCCTATTTAAATAATGATGACTCCCCAAATACAATCCAAAATCGGCAATGTCGGACAACTCCATTATATGTATCAGGGGTTAAGTTTGGTATTCTCACAATTTTCACGTCAATTATCTGCACCTTTTTTCCCCAATACTGATTGTCAATATCTCTCCTACTTTTTGGTGCGATCGGTCATTGTGTTCATCTACATCTATAGTGAACAACTCATTGGACACTTCCCATCCAAAAATAACATCGTCAAAATTTACGAAGTCATCAAGTTGCGAGCGCATGTTCAAATCTCCAGAAATGACATCATGGCAGAACAATGTTTTATCATTTAACAAACGATGCTTGTTCTCCTTGTTACTTGCGATTTATCACATAGCTATGTGATATATGTAGTTTAGCACATTGGAGCTATAACGCAATGACTTTACTACTTACATTCTGCTCCATCATCTGGAAGATAATGACAGGGAGGGGGGTGTTGTAAAAGCCGTCCCCATCTGCCTCTGGCTGCTCATCCTTGAACCAGTCCTGCACACAAGGGTAAACAATACAACTTTAACATGCATATCAATACCACATACCGTCTTCGACGTAATAAGCGCCCCACACTAATAAGCGCCCACGGCGATATTTGCAAATGTAGTGGCTTGTGAACAATCCCAATTAGCACCCCTTCCGATTGATCAATGTACACAAGATTTATTTATTCGTGTAAAATACGCACTCGAGTGTAATATGCACCCTTAATTATGGGCAATTAAATTCTGGAAAAATAAATCTGTCGTATATAAACATTTCAGGCTGTCACCAAAATGATATTCTAATAAGAGCCTCCTATTTCTAATTTTTAGAGCACCCTGGGCGCTTATTACGTCGAATACGGTATATGTAAAAGGTAATGGAAAAATATATACAGTATTTGTACTAAACATGCTTCACACAAGAACATTTAAGGACAACATCCTTTGAGTGTCTGATTAAATCTATTGAGTACAGATTGGTAGGTTTACAGAATGAGATTGTGAATGAAATATTTTGCCACTTACAGCAACATAACAGCTCTAACCCTGCAGTAACACATACCATGATACCCTCCCTGTCTGGGTATGACGAAACACTTAATAGTGAGTGAATGAGTTTTATGCTGCTTTCAACAATATCCAAGTTATATCATGGCATGACAGCTTGATGTGGGAGGAAAGCCTGATGTGATGCAGGTCATAGATGATTACAGTTTTGGTGAAACCCATGGGTATGGGCGATGAAAAACCTAGAAACAATCAGGTGAACTGGGATTCGAACCAACAAACACAGGTTCCTGGGCTGCCTAAGGGGCATAACTCTGCACAGCAAGATCCAAGCCCCTGAAACACAAGGAGTGTCTGCTACATACACTGGGTACATGTGAAGAGGACTGACCTTGTAATCTGACTTGAGGGCATTTCTTGTCCACTCTGCTATGTTGGTCTTCATATTCTTCAGATAACTAGAATAGAGAACACAAACTGTAGACACTGATCTCTGTTCTCTACAACAGCCTCATCAGTCAGGAGCACATGTATACATGCCATAGTGTAGTAAGCATAATCATCAGAGTGAATGGGCAAGTGCTACACTAAGTGGGTACCCGGTAGGATGAGATGGTAATATGGTTGTTAACCTTCTAGCGCCTCACAGGCAGCTTGGGTTGAATACTCCTCAGGGAGCTGAGAATGAAAATCGAGTGCTCACTGATCAATTGACCGGGGTAATAATAGTGTAGCGCTATGAGCATCCACTTGGTGAATGGAATCTGGTGCATTATAAATGCACTTATTATTATAATTATTACTCTTCGCTGTCATGCCCACATTACAGTTTTCTGTCATGCCCGTTACAGTTTCCTGTCATGCCTGTTACAGTTTCCTGTCATGACCCTTGTTAGACTCCTGTCATGCCCATTTTATTTACTCACTGGTTCTGCAGATCCTCTATGACGCTGTTTTCAAGAAGAGGTCCCAAGCCTAATTCTCGTGTGTCGATATTTAACCCTGGATGTCGCAACAAGTCCGGCGAGCTACAGAAACAACAGGTTTTGTGATGATGACAACATGCAGTTTACAAAGTATGTAAAGTATTAGACCCAGGTGCCAAAAAGGGCTCTACTTGGGCCAGTATTAGAGCTTAGCGCCGATAAAGGCTCTAGTGGGACAACATAACATTGTGGAAAAGGATATCTTGACAGTATACAGTTGTCAAGTGCCAGTTTTGTTTTGTTTTATTTTCTCTTTTTACTTTTTCATATCCCCCATTAATCCCAGCACAGTGATGTTCAATGTTAAATAATCATGTCTTGTCACTTTGACATAGCTATTGTTTTTGTTCAGTTGGTGCAGTAATTCACTGACAGAAACTTGCCTTGAAACATCAAGCACTTACTCATAAGCATGGACCCACTGTAGAAGGGAGACAATCTCATTTCCCTCCAGTTCCTGGTCAATCAACTCCACCAGCTGAAACAACAGAAGCACACTTCACCACTACACACACAATGCTTGAGTTTACTTAAATAAGGGGATACTGGTGTGGGTTTTTTAATTTGCAGGTAATATTGACCTAAAGAAACTGGTTTCAAAGGATTTCTGGGCCATTAACTACTAATTCTACCATGAATTTGTTAAACATTCGATTTTGATTGGTCAATCAGAGGTATCATTTCACAATAAACCCCCTCTGATTGAAACTGCTGCATCACCGGTGAAAATAATATTCATAGAATAGTACTTTTTTTACAATCATTGTCGGTAGGCGTTTTAAATAATTACCGTATTCGACGTAATAAGCGCCAAGGGCGCTCTCAAAATTAGAAATAGGGGGCTCTTATTAGAATATTATTTTGGTGGAAAAAAGAGAGTTGAAAGATAAATGTCGTGGTTTATGCAGACACACTGAAATGTTTATATGCGACAGATATTTTTTTCCAGAATTTAATTGCCCATAATTAAGAATACATATAACACACGAGTGCGTATTATACGCGAATAAATAAGTCTTGTGTACATTGATCAATTGATCAATCGGAAGGAGTGCTTATTGGGATTGTCCACTAGCCAATATATCAGCAAATATCGCCGTGGGCGCTTATTAGAGCGGGGCGCTTATTATGTCGAATACGGTATATGTACAATCATATGCTGCAAAATATAAAGTTGCGGTTACTACGATATTCAAAGGATGTCTGGCAATATTTTTTTCAAAGGCTGTTGTCGGTTATTCTATCAATTCTAATCGACAACCCACTCAAAACACTGGACTCAACCCAACCCATGCCGCTTCACTCAATATATTTTCTAACACCAAAGAGTTTGCATTTTATTAGGCCATGGTAGAATGACGATAAACATGCTGTGTTTTCAATGTAGAGCTAAGTTACCTGTGGAATTAACTGTGCTAAATTTATCATTTGAAACCTCACGCTGTGCATTCGCTTCCAAATTCGATTTAGCGCTGGTAAATCTACAGGTAACCTAGCTCTACATTGAAAACACAGTATGGTTATCTCCTGAATAACACAATGCCACATTTAATCAAATTTGGGATTAAGAGCAAAACAATACTTAACATCCAGAAAATAATTGATATGCAGTGAAAAAAACAGAAGATTCTAATCCAGCACATATGCCTATTCCTTCTACAATGTATTAATACCCAAACATTTATTTTTTTAAATATACCAATTTAACAGGTTAATTTCATTGCTTCAGTTATGACGATCCCCTACACTTACATGCACTCCGAGGGCCTTGTGATACATGTGGACGTATCGCTTGACTATGTGGTAATCAGGAGGGAAGACTGGCGGCAACAGAGTCTGCAACACAATGAGTTCCTTTGTCATGACAGTACCAGACATACACGTGTACACCTGCAGTGAATGGCTCCACATTCTAAATATTATTAACAGGTTGACACTACCAATCATACAATAATGTCTACCAATCAATACTATAAACCGTAGAGCATAGAACAAACCGTCCTATTTAATCAGGGACTAATATTATCACAAGTCACTCCCACCAAACCTACCTTGACCACCTTCAAGTTGTCTATCATGAGCTGCAGACATTCACTCTCCCTACTGACCCACCTTGACCACCTTCAAGTTGTCAATCATGAGCTGCAGACATTCACTCTCCCTACTGACCCACCTTGACCACCTTCAAGTTGTCAATCATGAGCTGCAGACATTCACACTCCCTACTGACCCACCTTGACCACCTTCAAGTTGTCAATCATGAGCTGCAGACATTCACTCTCCCTACTGACCCACCTTGACCACCTTCAAGTTGTCTATCATGGACTACAGACATTCACTCTCCCTACTGACCCACCTTGACCACCTTCAAGTTGTCTATCATGAGCTGCAGACATTCACACTCCCTACTGACCCACCTTGACCACCTTCAAGTTGTCAATCATGAGCTGTCGAGTGAGCTCCAGGTGCTTCACCAGCCACATCTTGTCACCTGTACGGTCATCCAACTGGTTACCCTCAATCCTGAAATGTTGAGATGACATAATGTAGTATTTAACACATAACTTCTATTTCATATTATTTCTGATAACTTACAAACTCTATTGATTTCATGGACTTCAGAAGTTCCTTCCATAAGGCGTGGTGACTGACTGTGACTCCTTCATGCTCTTCTAGCATTGTGCAAACAGAGTGCAGCCGTAGTGCAAGCTGTTCCCAGGCTGGTTGGTTGGTTGGTTGGTTGTTTAACACGGCACTCAGCAATATTCCAGCTATATGATGGCAGTCTGTAAATAATCAAGACTGGACCAGACAATCCAGTGATTAATATCATGAGCATCGATCCACGCAATTGGGATCGATGACATACATCAACCAAGTCAGCGAGCCTGACCACCCAATCCCGTTAGTCGCCTTTTACGACAAGCATAGTCACCTTTTACGGCAAGGCCAAACACCTGGGCTCGATTCCCCACATGGGTACGATGCGTGAAGCTCATTCCTGATGTCCACACACACACACACACACACACACACACACACACACACACACACACACACACTCACACACACACACACACACACACACTCACACACACACACACACACTCACACACACATTTTGGTGTTGCTGGAATATTGCAAAAGCAGCGAAAAACCAGACTCACTCACTCAAAGAAAAGCACTCCAACTGTTAAAAATCTTACCTGTATCTACATTCACAATTTCACGACATTGATTTCACTTTGAACTTTGAGAAACAGGTCTTGAGAAGATACTTTTGTTCTGACTGTCAATACTCTGATACATTAAGAAAAACTATGACTGTCATAACTACAACACTTTAAGACATTCTTAATCTATCTGTCATAATTCCCACACCTTAAGACACACAACATAATAACACTCGTAGCGCTACTATTCCCTCTAAACTATCAAAGTCCAAACATTATGACAAACTCTCAAAACGTCACCCTATGTTTACTGTTGTTCTCACACTGCTACACTCACGTAGCAGTAATAGACTCTTCAAACACATCGAAGCCCCTCTGCCTCCAATTCTTGGGACGTCCCGGTGGCATGAAGCCCGTCTGCTCCTTCTTCCTCCGCCAAGCCTGGTCCATTCTGAAAGATGAAACATCATATTGAGTAAACAATGTCTTTGTTTGTTGTCTAAAGACACACTCTGCACTATTCCAGCTATATGAGTGAGTGAGTATGATTTTACGCCGCTTTAGCAATATTCCAGCGATAATGAGCGGGGAACACCAGAAATGGGCTTCACCCATTGTACCGAGGGGGGAATCAAACACTTTAACCACTAGGCTACCCCATCGCCCTCCGGCTATGTGATGGCGGCCTGTAAATAATTCAGTCCAGACCAGACAAACCAGTGACTGATGTTTTGAGCATCAAATTATGCAGTCAGGGCACATTGTGATGGCACCATCAAGATCACTGAACCTGACCACCCAATAGATTTTGTTGCTTCCTACAACCAGGCGAGGTTGGTGGGGACATATTCTAACACAGTATCTCAAGGTGAGTTAGTGAGTTGGGTTTAACGCCGCTTTTAACAGTCATTACAGTCATATCGCAGCGTGTCAGCTTAATGTGGGAGAAAAGCCCGAAGTGATGCAGGTCTCAGACGTTTACCACTTCAGTGAAACCCACAAGCACAGGTATGGTGCTGACAAACCTAGAAACATAATCAGGGCGAACCGGGATTCGAACCCACAACCATAGGTTTCTGACGTAACTCTGCACAGCGCATCGCGGAGCCTTAGACGACTGGGCCACCTGTGCCCCCTGTATCTCAAAGGTGTAATAATGTGCTTCCTCACTTCAAAAGTGTACAATTCTACAATTGTTGTGAGGTGAAAAGGGATTTAACGTGCTCAAGATTATTGCACTTATGTAGCAACGTGCATGCACATGTGTGTGGCTGCTTGTACTAGTCCGGACTGATGCCGATTTATAGTGCCAGCACACTGAGATATCATGCCGCAGTTTAACATGAATACCCCACTCAGACACAGTATACTGACTCCGAGCCGACCAGTCCCTGTTTTAGCCCCTTTACGCGGAGCGCCAGGCAGGGTATCAACAGTTACCATCTTTTAACGTCTTTTGGTATATTGCGGCCGGGGATTAAACCCCCGACCTTCCGCTCTCTGGCCGGATGCTCTACCACTAGACCACAGAGGCGGTCTCTACAAATTAGTACAATTGTAGAAGGGAAGGTATTTTAACACTGAATGAAATGGATGGCGTGTTCAATGCCAATTCATTCCATAATAAATACCCCATCAAAACAGACTTGATAGGTCGTAATTGTGACATGCTTAGTGTGCACATTACAATTCTACTTCGTCAAACAGTGACTATAAACTACAAAACACACAACACTAAACTTTCCACACCTGCAACAGTGAACCATGTAATATTTTCACAGTAAACTATTAGTGACAGATTTCAACAGACACAGGAAGCAAAGAATGGCTTTTGTAACAAACATATTGCTATACGGAGCAATGTCACACACCTTATTGGGAAAAACATGGTGGAAGGGAGATAACTCACCTCTCTTCCCTCTCTATGAGTCTGAGAGCTGTAACAATGAGCGTTGGTTCACGCCTGACAGCTTTCAGAGTTTGGTGCAGGATTATAAACAGTTGTTTGCCAAGATCTTCTGACAGTTTTTCAACATCAGCAAAATACCTCTTTAATGTCTGAAATGGGAGAGAGATCAGAATGTCAGTCAGCGTCTACAGAGAGTTCATCTAATGAATGGTGTGAAATCTTGTGTCAGCAACCCTACCATCCCCAATTAAAACCTCATCACTAAAAGTATTTCCAATTCATCAACTATCATCTCACCTGCAGTTGTTCATTGCAAACAATGCCTAACAATCTTGCTTAGTCAGCTCTCACTTTTCAAAAAAGCGCTGCTGAGATTGCCCGAATGGGACATCACCAGTTTCCATGGAACATGTCACGAAACTGCTCGCATGCTTTCAACACAATTCTTGTGCTGACAAGAATTATTGTACTTATTTCAACGGTTCAGATTTGTTCCAATAATTCAAGCATTATTCAAACCTGTACACATTCGGACATAGATACATACAGACACAAACAAAAAGGTGCACAATCGAATTTGCATATACAAGGATGTTTACAGATTCCTTAATGTTAAAATTGGGGGTCTTCAGAAGCAATACACTCACATTATTATCAGTTGGGCTCTGGTTGGGCTGTCGGTGAAGTTCAAGTAGAAGGTCGTCTCGAGACATCTCAAGGTCAGCCAAGCTGCGGCAAACAAAGTAAACCATCTTTATTCAGGACTTTAAATGGTAAATGGTAGGATACTCTGTCTAACGTTTAGTGGACCACTTATATCGTCTTCAAATGGATCAGATATTGTTTCAATTACAAAATCACAAGAAACAGTGTCATAGTCATAGTCACAGTCACAAAATCACAGGAAACAGTGTCATTGTCACAGTCACAAAATCACAAGTAACAGTGTCACAGTCACAGTCACAAAGAAACAGTGTCATAGTTTCTGTTGTGACTGTAACTATCATGACTATGACCCCAAAAAATGTATTTTGCGGCTGTGACTGTGATCCTGACACGTGACACGTGAGTACAACACTGTTTCTTGTGATTTTGTGACTGTGACTATCAAAAGAAACAGTGTCATAGTCAGTCACAAAATCACAGGAAACAGTGACACTGTCACACTGCTTCTCAACATATTCTGATATGCTGTAACACTGATGCAATCAAAGTATAGTGGTGTCGTATGACTGATGACTATGATTAAATTGACTGACTGTTGTTTAACGCCACACTCAGCAATATTCCAGATATATGACAGAGGTCTGTAAATAATCATGTCTGGACCAAAAATCCAGTGATGAAAACATCATGAGCATCAATCCACGCAATTTGGATGCAATCTCAGGCAATCAACCAACCAAGTCATCAAGTCAGTCATTTAGTTACCTCTTACGACATGCATAGGTTGCAGGGGCCTACATTCTTTGCAACTCACTGTTTATGTGCCTGTAACAGCTTTCCCTCAGTGATGAGATCCCTCGTGCGGGACACACTCTCCGGAACAGTGAATATGTGCTTCAAGTTCTCCTGGGCTGCAGCAAGCTGATATGCAACAAAAAGTTGTCATTCAACTACAATTTGGGCTTCTTCTTCTTGATTCATTCCACAGTCAGCAATATTCACCCCATATCACTGCTACCTGCAGACAAGGAGTCTTGACCAGACAAATCAGTGGTTGATATAATGAGTAATGCTCCAAACCATCAGGGTACAATGACATGCAATCAATCTGTGAGTTTTAAAACCCAATCAATTCACCGGTAGTCACTTCTTATGACAAACATAGGTTACTGGGGACATTCTTTCACAGAATCTATTCTAATAAATATTGCATCAACATGGGTATTTCCCCTTCTCAAACACATTCTAAACATAACCATGTTCACATTCAAATATTATTATCTGACCCTAAATGACAAATAGCTGAAGATTTCTTCAGTAGTGACATATGTATTTGTGATGTAACAATGACTTAAAAGATCTATATGGCTGAAATAATGCTGATGCAACTTTAAATTTTAACTCACTCACTTAAAAGATCAATGCATAGCACTTGACAACAGGCTGATAGAAATACAGCAATGATAACTCAGAATATAAACATGATCAATAGTTGACATGAGTACCACAAAATCAATAGTGTCAATAGGTGCAATGAAAGGAGGTGAAATGGGGTTTAACGTCGCGTCCAAGATTATTGCACTTATATAGCGACGTGTATGTGTTTGTTAGGCTGCTTGTACTAGTCCGGACTGTTGCCGATTTATAGTGCTAGCTCACTGAGATACCATGCCGCAGTTTAACATGAATACCCCACTCAGACACAGTATACTGACTCCGAGCCGACCAGTCCTTGTTTTAGCCCCTTAATGCCGAGTGTCAGACAGGATAAGAACAAGTACCATCTTTTAACGTCTTTCGGTATGACGCGGCCGGGGATCGAACCCTGGACCTTCGTTTCTCCAGGCGGACGCTCTACCACTAGACCACGGAGGCGGTCTTGCAACGAAAGAAAAAACTGCAGGCAATAACAACTGCATAAGCATTGCAGCAGTTTTGTTAACCTCACCACTGGCATTTTAAATAACCTCATTACCATGTGTAAGTTACAGCCCTCGAAATTCACCCGAGTCTGATAGCCCAAGACTACTAAAAAGTGTTGAGGGCAAGTGAGTGAGTGAGTATGGTTTTACGCTACTTTTAGCAATACTCCCGCAATACCACGGCAGGGGACACCAGAAATGGGCTTCACACATTGTACCCATGTGGAGAATCGAACCCGGATCTTTGGTGTGACGAGCGAATGCTTTAACCACTTGGCTACCCCACCATCCCACTGAGGGCAAGTAATAGTTGACTGAGGATATGATTCTGAACCAGTTCTCAATTCTTCCAATTTTATACAAACTGCATCTGTATAAAACTTACAGAAAATCTAAACATAGCAAATATTTTTGTCTTGATTTAGCAGGACAAAAAACAAACTCTGAAGACTAGTAACATAAGCTTTACACTAGTCCTCTGGACTAGTCTTAAAAAAAGTTGTAAGGCTGCTGTTAAGGTGTCCCAAGCAATCAGCCCTAATACTGATAGATTTTTGTATGCCACATGGGGAGCATACCTGGCAGAACTCGGAGTTTTCTCTCTTCACCTCCTTCAGTTTGTCATGTAATGGCTGAATGGACCTGTAGTTTTCATCCACCTCGTCCAACCTGGTAGAAAAATAATACTTCAGACATGCGTATTTATATTACAATTGAAACCTGGGCTAGTTTGAAAATATCAGATGGAGTGAGTGAGTGAAGAAAATACTACAGCAACATGAATACAAGAACAAAATGAAAACAGTTTCACAAACATGACATGTATCACTTGCTTGAGGCATGGTATCCTGGTGTATAAGGTGAACTAGCACTACCAAGAGTTACCTCCTCCTAATGGAGAAAACATTACTATCAGGTGCGAGTGATTTTTCCGACTTTAACCCTGTAACGGTTGATACATAATTTCTCTGTAATTCTGCATCATGGCATGTCAGATTTACTTGTTCAAAATGTATGTTGCAATATTCCAGCAATATCACAGCAGGGGACACCAGAAATGGGCTTCACACATTGTACGCATGCCGGGAAACGAACCCGGGTCTTCGGTGTGACAAGCTAACGCTTTAACCACTAGGCTACGCGACCACGCCCATTGGGAAAGGAAGTAACCCTTTTACTGTTTATTCAAATAAAAACAGATTTCTTGCATTTAATTCAAGCTTCATTAATTCATTCATTAATTCAGAATTCTTGAATACAAGACAGGTGTCCTCATAAAGATCATAATCAACAGACAAGTTAAAAAGACTTAATATTTTTAGTAAACACATGTGAGAAATTGTTTATTTGTTTGGAATTCTTCCATGGATAATATCAAAATTCTGGACATTATTGTTTTTGTAAATTTTACAATAAATTGTATATTTATATACTTATCCTATCTCACACTATGCATTTCTCATTGCATAGTGTGACAAAGGATAAGTTTTAAAAATTGTAATTTCTACAATAAATTGTAGATATATATACTTATCCTATGTCACACTATGCAATGAGAAAGGGTAAGTCTAAAACTTTAAAAGTTTGCTCTCAGCATGCTAGCCTAGAACGGTGAAGTTAGTCTGTCCTTACGATTGTTTGATCTCATACACATCCTGCAGGGCGCTCTGCAGCTGGTTCAGTCCGGTCTTCACGCCGTCCAGCTGCGACTGTACAGCTGTCTTCAACATGGCCTCCACTGATGCCTGTGATTACACAAGCCATGTCAGTCTAACAACAACAACACTGCTTTTGCATGGGGAAACTTCGTACTCCATCCTAAATCTTCATTATTTTCTCCCTTCAGAAAACAATAAAGTTGTGTTTTGTGCCATTGAAAAGGAGGAAGGGTTAAAATATTTATTTACAGTCTTGAATAAAGTTTTCTAATTTGGAGATGAGTTTAGCGTAAACTCCACCTCTGGAATACAATAGCAAGACTCCCCACTTACAAACTTCCTGCTACTTTGGCCACTTTGTATTGTAGGTGTGTTCCTGTCTCAGAGTAACCTTGTGAGAGGTACTAATTTCAAGTGAAACTTACTAAGCGCATTTAAATTTGAATTGTAAGACGTGCTTGGAGGTTGCATCAAATGCTTCTTATACTATGACTTCCGTATTGTATTTTCATCTTTCTGGTATTTCTTGCATTTCATAAGATAGTTAAAGCACTTTCACATTTTCAAATGGAATTTCAGAGGAATGTTGCAGCTATGACACCATCACAGGCAGTAAGGGCACTGACACAAATCCATTCATATACCACTCTAGTGGTTATTGAAAGATAATTTTCTAATCTAAAACACACAAAAACACTTCCAGGTATTGATGATTGTTGCAACAATGTTGGGATTACTTTAAACTGCTTCTATATAACTCTAGAAGATGTCCATAGTCAGGATCAACAGGAGTCACTGGAACACCCCTTTTATCTGGGGAGACTGTCACGCCATCACCTTGCAGGATTACCGTGAACCAGAACCACGACCATCCCTCTGGTGTAGTTTATACTCATGAATGTTGATTTAACCAAGATCCCCGAGAGCCAGGATCGAAATATTTCACTCGATATGTATCCTTAATTCCCAACCAGGAAGTTATCATCCAGATCATCCAGGGGTGAAAGCATACTCTATCAAGCTGTCTGACATCTTCTCGAGGCAAGGGCGAAAACTGACTATAAAAGTCCAGTTTCCACCCTTGCCGAAATAGGCTGGAATTCTGGAATTACATTTTGGCTGGACTTACAAGTGTATGCATTGTTTAATCAAAATCTAGACATCCTGTTCATGAACAACATGGATTTCAATGTGCAGATTTTGGTCCACTGCAGGATTTGCAAAGCATGTGTACTGTCAACTGGGCGTCTACAGAAATTTTGTAAATCTTTTCATGTTTTCAGTCAATGTGCTCACGTGATTTGATGCACTTCGCGGGGTAAGACCCATTTTATTACAATATAGATCTTGACTATCGATCAGATCGTCTTGACTGGATGCAGTCATTTTGTTTGAAGTAAATATAAGTGATATGAGAGATGGAATCTGATTGGTCAATAGGAGGGACATAGAAGGGGACATCACTTGTAATAGCCACTGGTGGCTCTACGATCGAGCCTGGAAATTCCAGCTTAGTTTGGCAAGGGTGGAAACTTAGGGTAGTCACATAATGCCCTTGCCTCGGGAAGATGACTGTCCAGTGACACTGAGAAGACGTTGACAGCCCAAGCTGCTGGATCCGAGACACAGCTGACATGGAGTGGTTGCTGATGATTAATGCAGGTGGCAAACAAATCGATCTGAAGCATCTCCAATACTAACAGAAGTGAGCTTGAAAATCTCTGGATAAAGCATCCATAGGGATTATCCCTGAACCTCTGGATACAGTGACAGCCACAATGTTCCTTTTGCCTGGATTGCGACAGGCCTGAATCCTGGGATAACATCTGTTATGAGTCTCCTCCTCAACTGGTAAGATCCACTGCCTCCTGCTCGATGGTGTGTGATCCTTCTCTCATAGTGTGTGACGAGGCTATGATGAGGCATCTGACAGGATCCATTCCCAATCTGCCTTTACTACCAACACATTGATTTAGGACTTGCTTCATTGCTGCTGCACCATCTGTCAGTTGTGTGATCCCTCAGATGAGTTCCCAGGTATCTGTGTAGTTGGAACTCACCTAAGGCTCAGGATTACCACCATTCATTTACTAGGGGCAGATAATCCATAATTCCTTGTAGCTTGTTGGAGGTGAGGTGAAATGGGGTTTAACGTCGCGTCCAAGATTATTGCACTTATATAGCGACGTGCATGCGTGCGTGTGTGTGTGTGTGTGTGTGTGTGTGGCTGCTTGTACTAGTCCGGACTGATGACGATTTATAGTGCCAGCCTACTGAGATACCATGCCGCAGTTTAATATGAATATCCCACTCAGACACAGTATACTGACTCCGAGCCGACCAGTCCTTGTTTTAGCCCCTTAATGCCGAGTGCCAGACAGGGTAACAACAAGTACCATCTTTTAACGTCTTTTGGTACGACGCGGTCGGGGATCGAACCCCGGACCTTCTGCTCTCCGGGCGGACGCTCTACCATTAGACCACGGAGGCGGTCTGTAGCTTGTTGGAATTCTTTAATCATGCCCAAAAAGGTTAATTCTAAAGTTTGTGAGTACAACAGACATTATGATTGATGACTAAACCAAACAATTCCCTCTATTCTTTAAATGCCTCCTATACATTCCATTGGCGTGAATTAGTAATGGAACTTTTCAACAAACTAACTCTTTAAGTAATAGCAATACATAACATATTTACGAAACCCTAAATAATCATTGAATAACAAAATAGGAAACTATTAACAATTCTAGAACTGATGCATAATACTTTGTTTGCTTTTTTTTCAAATAAATACTGCATAATGAGCAACATCCTACTCTGCTACACAATCAAACAACTCCCCAAGCCAGACCACCTAATCCATTTAAGGAAGAGAATATATGGATGTCAACTTTTTTATTATGAGGAACACAACGTTTCGGGACCCGTGAAGATCCGGGGTAGAAAAGGTCTTCAGCAACACATGCTTGCCGTAAAAGGTGACTATGCGTGTCGCAAGAGATGACTAATGGGATCGGGTGGTCAGGCTCGCTGACTTGGTTGATGCATGTTATCGTATCCCAATTGCGTGGACGGATGCTCATGTTGTCAATCACTGGATTGTCTGGTCCAGACTCGATTATTTACAGACCGCCGTCATATAGCTGGACTATTGCTGAGTGCGGTGTTAAACAACAAACAAACAAAACAACGTTTCGGGGTACATGCTTACTCCTTCATCATTCACCTGATGAAGGAGTAAGCATATACTCCAAAACGTTGTGTTCCTCATAATAAAGAAGTTGACATCCATAAATTCTTTTCCTTATGTGTATCACTTCAAAATGCCTTTCGAAGACCTAATCCATTTAGTCACCTCTCAAAATAACGTCAGGTTGCTGGGGACCTATTTTAACCCTGAATCCCAACAGGGCTGTATATTATTGTTTGTCTTATGACTGCTCTGCAAAATAAAACCCTCATTTGAAGTTCCACTTGCTATTGCCTTAGAAACAAAGAACTCCAAGCATTTAATGAAAAACACTCACAAAGACATCACTCCAGCACTTGCCTGATTGGCATACATAGGTCCACATAGAAGTTTATGTTAAAATTATCTCTGAATAATTTAATGCATTTACATGTACCAGTAGATAAAACTCTTAAGAAAGTTAACTGAAACATTTTTGGTACGAAACAGGCTTCACACATTGAACCTATAAAAAAAAATGTGTTGGCTTTAAGAGTGGATTTCTTTACCACCAGGTATCCTTACGCACCTTTTGGACAAACATTTAAAGGGATGGCTATTATGAAAAAACAACTCACCTTCTTACGAGCTGCTCTTCTCTTGAATTGATCTACTTTTTCCAGCTGCTCTGGTCGCTGAAAACACGAACAATTTAATCCATTGCTTATGCCATAATCTAACACTGCAGCAGTATAATAAACTTACACTGGTTTATGCATATTAAATCCATTGATGAATTTCACAGAAAATGCCTATCCCTCAGGATATTACCATTTGATATGATTTGTTGTCATTGTCATAAATGATTGTAAACATGGTCAGTTGAGAAGGAAAAATGTGATATAAGTAATAAGTAGAAAATAATAGAATGTGTATTGTTTCAATATCCCGTGTTATCCAAACACTAATTATAGAGACAACAAGAAGCATGTCTGACTTGACACATTTACTCTAGGAGGCCATGATCTTGAAAAGCCTGCATGTACAGGGATCAGTTATTGTACTGGACAGTGATGTGATAGGGAGCAGTCATTACTCGATATTGCAACATATATAAACAATGCACAGATTCAATCTAACATGTGACTAACCTATTAACCTACTGTTGATATTTTATGCAAACTGTCGTTTCTGACCGCCTTGCATCTACGCCCGAATAGAGGGGGGTTACTTTTTCTAAGTTTAATATTTCCTACTTGAATTGGTAAAGATATAAAGCTGAATCGTTTTAGAAACCTGACTTCCGTCATACGTCATGTAGAGTTACAAGTATGACTTCCATTTTGATGACATTAAAACGTGGAGGGTCAGTCCCCGAGCAGTACGTTTCTATCTTGTCTCACATTCTAAAGTACTCACCTGTAACAAGTTGGCAACATATTTCATTGCTGCTTCCCTTGCAACTGTTTCTACTCGACCAAGATCCAGGGGAGCGGGAGCTGGTCCCTGATCATGGCCCTCATCCCCCATCATAGAATGATTTCCTCACAACTATTGTTAGATTTCAGACCTGCATGAACGAATGTCAGTCTAAAAAGACCAAGATCAGAAATAGCAGTGCATTGAGTGGTGCAGATCTAGATCTACATGCATAGTCACAATTACTTAAAAGTTTTAAAATATATTTCTTATATTAAATCTGAACATTCTAAAAGAACAGAATTTGCCCAATAATATAAAACACTTAATTATTTCATGCACTATGATCACGATGATGTATAGTTAGATCGACCAAGAATAAAAATATGATGGAGTCAGTTTCTTTATATGCTGCTTTGAACGCTGCAGTTAGGCCTATATCCCCATATGTTGGCCCAACGTGGGAGGAGAATCAGCTTTGATGTAGGGCGTAGATTGTTAAAAAGACTTCCTGATCAGTCTTATTGATACGTTGCGATTTGACATAATGTCAACACAAGACGAGTACGTAGGCGGCATCTGTGATAACATCAGATACCCAAATTAGTCGGCGACCCTCGATAACTATGAGGTCGTACCGGGGACATACCAGAACTGGCCCCCGGATTTCTGCCTTGAAATCCCCACACTGGACATGCAGCCCTAAACGCCGTTCGCTGACAGTCGGCTTCAAGTTAGGTCTTTCTTATAATAAATTCAGCATAAAAATAACACTTCTTTTTCCTACATGAACACAAAAGCTACAATATCAGCGATGTGTGTTATTGTCTGAGAGTAATTCAAAGGCTTGAATATATTAAATAGTATATTGCACAAACCTGCGATAATTATGTTTCAAAACAAAATGTCAAGAATTATGTAGGAAATTGTTTACGCCTACAACATGGGCGCCGACATATTGGATCTCGCGTCTTCACGGAATCTCTCGGTATTTTATGGACGCTTCCTACTGAAGTAAGCTGGTGTGATATTAGAGACGGGGCCCAGCTAACCCACTGATGGGGAGACGGCAAACTTCACCGCTGAAGGTGCTTTCTTGTATAGACTAGTTTGTCTGCCCTAGAGCGCTTGCTCTCCTCGGTCTACACTTTGTTCAGTCGATTGGAGAAAAAAACCAGGGTACCAATCTATTTCCTGTTTTAGAAACATCATACAAAAATAGTGTCATATGCATATCGAGAGAGATTCTCTGTATCATTTTTTTATTTACATTACATGACGAACATCATATCAATTTAAATATCCTAATTAAGTATTTTCAAGCACAGACAAAATATTAATATTTCTGAATGTTTATGAAAGTCCTCTTTGTACAGGTATATGCAAAGTTTACGTTCTAAGCAGAACTACCAACTATACCTCTTACACATACACACACACACACACACATTCGGGTATTCATGTTAAAACTGCGGGATGGTATCTTAGTGGGCTTGCACTATAAAACTGGCATTACTATAAAACTAATCCAAGCACACACACACACACACACACACACACACACACACATTCCAACCACAACGCTCTATCCAGAAGGCCACGGAGGCGGTCTTTCAAAGGTTAAAACTAAATACAGAGTATACCAGGAAAACACCGATAGGTCTTTGTAAGCAATGTATATTTCCCAATAGTCCAATCAAGATTCCTCTTGGGCACATGTGGCCAAACATCTAAAGCAAAACAATTCACCGTTTGAGTTGCACCCTTTAAACATGCCATAGGTTTGAATACAAAATCAAGTGGGTCATGATTTCTTTGTCTGCACCACACCCAACCCTGCTCGTGTGTTGTCAGATTGAGCAAACAATTTATTTAAATGTTGATGAAACTAAAACCTTTTTGAATATTAGTTGCAAGGCAATTATTATATTCCCTCCTTCACTGCTGTGTAAGAAATCTGTAATTTCACATTGATGTGGAGGAAATATAGAATACAACACTCATTCTCGTTAGATACCATTTTTGCGAAACGAGTGGACATTGTGTGGTACCTGGCCGAGTGTTATTGTTCACATTTGGGATGTTTTGGGCACAGGAACTCGTTATTGATCCGTAAACAAAAATATACCCCATGTATATAAGTATGTATAGGACCTGGACATTGATGTAAACAAATACGGCAAGATGGCGAGGGATGCTCCTTTTATCTACTTATGTATAGGGATCTATTTTAATTTACAGACCAATAACAACTTCCTGTGTTTTTTTGCCACAAAATCAGAAGTCAGGCATCAGAGTTTTCGAATGATTTGTATCCAAACTGTTCACTTTGAGTGCTTTGATCGTGCATTCGTGTACGTTCCTTCATGACCAAAATGTCATCAGATGTAGAAAATGAGGGCTTGGCCACCCCCAGAATGCAAAGCAAATTTGATGCATGTGACTATCTTGTCAGGTTTAATAAAGTGTTTGCAAATGTCTCTTGTTTTCATGAGATGCCTTAGTTCTTTCTCAAAGTGGTAAAACCTATTGGAAAGGGAATGATGTCTCGTAATTTTTTATGAATTAAAAAAGTAGTTCCAGTGGAACAGAGGTCACGGTTATCCAATCAAAACGAATAAAACAAGGTCAACCATTTACGACACATGGGATTTAGTTTCTCGCCACCTGTATCTTCACCACGTGGGTAATAAAGCCTGAGAAATAATGCAGGCCTCAGACGTTTATCATTCTGGTGAAACCCACAAGCATGGGTACTGAACTGACAAACCTAGAAACATAATCAAGGCGGACCAGGATTCGAACCCAAGATCATAGGGTTCTCGTGTGCCTAAGGGTGGCAACTCGGCACATTGAATTGTGGTGCCTAAGACAATTTAGTGGGTGATCATGGAGCAAGCCGCTGAATACAGTAACTGAAGTACTGTTCAAAGCAATCTAAGCTGCCTATTTCAGCTTTGTAGCAAGTAAAAAGATCAGTCTTTGCTTGCTATGTTAAAAAAGAAACCTCCCTGTGTGAATACTTTCCTCATACATGATGCTTGGGGAATATGTAAAAAATTCAGCACATTTACATATATTTACAGGACAGAATGTCCCTATATTCTTCTTGTGTCACAAAATTCTCCGGAGACATGACCCGACCATGCAGAGACTCCCTCAGCCATGACCTAATCTTTCAGAGTAATAAATTCATGAAACATATTCTTATGAAATCTTTATTTACAGAAGTATACATTCAACATACTGTAGAATACTAACAGAACACACTTGGGCAGTTTGAAAAATGTGTATGCAAGGCATGGAAAACATGGCAAAGAAATGCAGTTTGTGAATGAATTAGTTGAGTATGCTTGGTCTAGGCTTAGTATCATGGCTCATGGATCACCCTGAGTTTCTGGGAGTAACATACATATCCTGTTCTCACCCCAGACACACAAAACCTATTCTGTGACATCCGTACATCAAGGGCAGTCTACAAACTAGGAAAAGTATATTTCTATCCATATACATTATTAATCATCTTAGCAGCAAGAATATTAGGCTCTACAAGTGTACTAGGTTATTGTATTTTGCATTTACCCAGTACTATATGCTCCCAAGTAATACACACATTTCCAGAACAAGTATATTTTTTCTCACAGACTATTCAGCATGTTCAGAGGTGAGTGTTCCTTCAGATGTACTCCCTCGCACACAGCTACGAAGTGTCTACATGTCAAGAGCGGATCCATCATTTCTAAAAGGGAGGGTTCCAAAATATCAAAATCCTCTCTCGGTCAATTTCACTGCCTAGACCATACTACCAATCTGTGATTAGAGTTCAGCTCTGGTGATACAGAAAATAATTACTGACTCACACAAAAATCATATATATGTGCCTTGCATTTATCACAAAGAACATGAAAAAATGGACAGTTGGGCATACAATGCCCGAATAGCTGAAGGCATTAAAAAGAGGAATAGACAGAAAGGGTGAGAATGTACCCCTTATATTCTGTTATGGTCTGTTAACTGATTAAGTGCAAAAGCTCACAAGTACATCAAAACAGAAAAATAACTTCACTCTTACTTCACTCATCATTTCAACACATTTTCCCATTTTCTTTATCACATTCATATCATGTGGCTGACAATTCTTCATTTCAGGTCAATAAATATATTATTTCTAAATTTGTTGGAAGGAACATCGGTAAATGAAGTTATTACAAAACAGGGACAGAATAAAAGCATCTTTGTTTACAATGTCTCCAAAATGTACAAACATTTCACATGCCAAAGATTAGCTTTATGTGTTACAAGGCAATTCCTGTACACACCAGCAGTCTACACTACATGTACAAATACTCCAGTATGTCCCGCATGACTGATGATGAACATTAGACTGACACAGCACTAGGTATGCATGAAGTGGAGACACAAGTAATGGCGGTGGCACATGCTGCATATTCAGCCAACTCCACCATGTCCACAGAACTCACAACATGTCATCTTCTCAAAGCAAAAATTATGAAGTCTTTAGCATTTAGAATTTGGAAGAACATGAAGACATGAACTTATAAAGACAACAACTTATTATTAGTGATAAGGCGATCTAACTTATTACATTTTCATGCAGTGTTTTCTGGATAACAACTCCCCATTACTTGTTACATTTCAGGGCTACTTCTAACCTTCTTTGTTGCAAGTAATGATAACGTTCTTATCCAGAAAACATGGTATGAAAATGTAATCAGTTAGATCACCTAAAAACAAAAAACATTTTATGGTTTCTCAACAAAAATAAACAGCCCTCTGTAAAGATGGTTACTGCAATGCCATGGTCACTCAAGATTCTTTGCGTTCATGTGAGTCAAAGCTGAAGTTTTTTCCATGCTCATTGCACTAATTGGCACTTAGCATAAATTAATCTGGTGAAGGAGAAAAATCAACTTAACATTGGCATTGCATTGTCAAAATTAACTATGAAAATACAAGATTGAAACAAATTTGACAGCTTAATAAATACACATGTAGAGGATATACACGAGACATATGGAATATCCTATCTATAATATACTTTTTGTGTACTCATAGTTGTCTAATGAAAAATGAAATTATTTCATTGCAAATGTAAAACTTTGAAGTGTAAATTTTCCCTACCTAAAAGGGACATTTCACCAGCCCTTGTAATTACGACAAGAAGTAGTTCCGTGTTTGCAAAATCTTAAAAAAATATAAACAAAAGTAACCAAAAATATCAATTCTTTATCATATTTGCATATAGTATACAAAATCAACCCCAACAAAGAATATTCTTGAAATCTACAGACGTATATCGAAGCAGAAGAATACACGCTGGTCAAGTAACAGAAATGGCGCTTCATGAAACAGTCTCAAATGACGAGTAAAATGATAAATTTTCAGTTCATAATGTAACATTTTCAAGAGAATAACAAACTGCAAGAGCGATATTAACTCCATAATTGACCAACTGTCATTACTTTGTCATGTATATGAAGCCAACAGTTTGTGTACGGGCTGGACACGATAATTCTGTTAGTGTTCACTGCAGTGAAATATCACTTTTTCAACTTTCATACTGAAGTATATCATAAATAAATCCACTATCTCACTGTTAAGCCTTTACTTGAGAATAAGGATATTCCATAATTTAGTTACGTCTAACAATATAAAAAACTTAACATATTCTCAAAAGAAAACATCTGATCAATTGCCTATGGACATTTTGAAAGAAAGTATGCACATATTCTTAAATATTTCAAAATGTAAAATTTATGATAGGTCTTAAATTCAACCAAAACTTTTGTCATTTTAACAGACTTGACATGTCAGATGCTTGCTTAACAGTTCCGAATGATTGCATAATACAACTGGTAAACAGTATAATAAATATGCCACACTATCTACAAACTCAGGCATCCAAATTATTCACTTCAGCATCATCGACAGCTAAACCATAACAAAAGACAACTACAATAGATATCCACAGCAGACATTCATTGCCATCTTCAATGCTGCGAATGTGATCCAAAGGGGGATGTATGGGGCCACACACCCTTGTTTGAGACACCACACATCAACTATCACGTGTTTCTGTTCACTTGGCGACATGGAAATAATTTACACCACCTCGTTTTCATGATCCTGGGTCCACCTCTGGCATTAGCTTATCGAGGGGCAATGGGGGTAGCCTGGTGGTTAAAGCATTTGCTCGTCACACCAAAGACCCGGGTTCGATTCCCCACGTGGATACAATGTGTGAAGCCCATTTCTGGTGTCCCCCGCCGTGATATTGCTGGAACATGGCTGAAAGCGGCGTTAAAACTCACTCACTCACACACTATTAGTTCATCGAGGGGCATGTTGCCTCCACATGACAGTTCCTTCCACAGTTATCTCAAACTGTGTGACAGCCACGGACTTGGTTTGGCATAACGACCTTCATCATGTCACATTTGATCAACAAATGCACACACTGTAGCATGTTCAGAAAGGTAGCCAGCAGCCATGCTGTACATACACATCTATTCTATGTCCCAAATAAACTTCTGTCTAATTTCAGGCATATCTGAAGGTTGTGATCTCTCGATTGTGTATAGCTTGTCGGGACAGTCTGACTCAGAATCTGTCTTTCCTGCTGGTTCAGCCTCAGTGTCCACTACTTCGCTGCCACTCTTCACACCCCATGCAAACATATGGGACGTTTTGCGATTTGAGCGACGGGCATTAACTACTGGTTTTCCTGGCAGGTGTGATTTTTCCTTTTCCTCTTTTTCTTCCAATTGTGGAGGATTTTCCCGAACCCCATCAATTGGTGTCTGACAACCACTTTCAAATGTCACTTTATTTGGGTCACCTTCAACATTTGAAAGTGAAGCATCTTGCAAATCTGCCAAACTAACGTTGAAGAATTGAGTCTTTGACTTTGGACCTGGTTTCCTTTTCCTGATTTCAATCGGCTGCACAACGATATTTAGGTCCTTAGTAACTGCAGATGAAGTGATATTCTTAGTTTTCCCATTGGTTGATCCTTGAATGGGATTCTGTTGGGATTCAATTGTGACAGTATCATCACCACCTTGCTCCATCCTATCAGTTGTCGAGAGAGTGTTTGTACTGGGGTTATACGTTACACAGGTTGGGGAAATGGCTGTGCAAACAGTCTCTGGCGTAACTTTCATCGCCCTGCCCGTTTCATCACTAGCCTCTGGCATTATCTTACAACGAGCAATGATCTTTATTTTTTCCTTCACTGGTCCAGGTTTGGGGGCAGCCACCATGATAGTGTTCTCAGGCTTATTATTACCAGTGGCTTGTACCTTAGGGCGTTCAGGTAGCTTGGTTGCCATGGATTCTTTGAGTTTCATCACAGCTGCTTCTTTCAGTTTCTCGAGTGCCTCACCATCACTACATGTGTCCATCAAGACCTGACGTATTATTGTCGGCTTCTTCACAGGGTCTGTAGTCTTTGGTGGCACTGACACAGTTGCTGACGGAGGAGGGAGATTAGACAGAGTTCCTGATGATGGGGGGAGATGAGACACAGTAGCTGATGGCACATGGGACACTGTAATAGGGGTCAGGGAGTTGTTCTTAATAACAAAGCTGTTGCTACTGTCCGGTGGGAGGGTGGTTATTTTGGCAGAACACAGAGGTAACATGGGACGTGAAGACGAGCTGCTGGTGCTGGTGCTTTGTGTAGGGGTCACAGCAGTTGTAGGCACAGTGACAAATCTCTCCTGAGACTCTTCCCGCTCTACCTCCTCATCAAGTCCAGGAGCATCCATAGTATCCTCATCGTCATCCTCATCATCATCCTCATTCTCAAAGCAGACGTCAACCACCTCCTTGGAACCATAGCTATCGTCATCCTCGTCATCGGAGTCTGGGTTCTTCTCAATGATGAAAGCTTTCTTGTTGGCACTCATGTCCATGAGGTACTCAAACTTCTCAGACTTTCGTTTCAGGGCCTGCTTCCTCAGCTCAAACTGTGTCACCTTCTGTTTCAGTGCTGGAACAACAAAGCAGGAAGGAACCATCTTTAGTGTGTGTTTCTCAGTCAAATTACAAGATGAAAAGCAATAATACAACAAAAGAATTCAACTCTATATCATGTATAATATAGAGCTTCAGACAGGTCTAACACTTATGGGGCATGTGATCCCTCCTATTTGAACTGAGTTGGTAGGGGTATATAGCAATAATTCATCCATATCAAGGCACAGGACACTAAACATGGGCTTATCACTTTTATAGAACCTGATTCAATCCGCATGAGTCATGACAATCAAACACTTAAACCACTGGTTTACCCTAATTATGTGTGAAAACAATGGATCTTCCTTGAGAAATACAGGGCCAAGACGTCAGAAATGGGGATGATATATTGATACACTTGCCTTGGGGTAATGACAATCAGAAGCAGAACCACGATAAGTGATCACAAGGTCATCCATTAGAGTCAGAGCTATGACTGTCCTAATTCTATGTTTAAGTATGACTGTAGTGAAGTTACGACAATCGTGCTGAAATTGCTCTGTGAAATGGGGTCCTGGTGAGTGGATTCAGTAACTACCCCTTTGTCCCAGTGAACTTTCTATCATTGAGTTGGTGGCAGGAAACACACATGGTACAGAATGAGAGGCCCTGCATACTTAATACCAAGTTATTCTGATTTGTAAGGTAAATATTGCAAACATATTTATTAAAGAGTATCACAAGTTTGGTGCATGCTGTCTGATTGAAAGAGGGTTCAAATCCCAGATTCAATCTGGCTGCTTCTTGGTTTGTCAGCACCGTAACTGTGCTCTTGGATCTCACCAAAGTCACTAACAAGAGGTTGGCATTAGGCACTCAGTAAGCAGTTTTCTTGAGCTTTATGGCACCAGTTCCAAAATAGCGACTTCCATTCCAAATCTCTCAATTCAAAATTTAACAAAATTGTGGAACTAGAAATACAGGAAACTATTGAGACTGTGCATAAAGATTCAGAGTGACAAAACACTCTCCACAAGATTCTATGACAAGAGGTATGACTTCAAAGTTGTTTCATTACGGGTACAACATTCAAGGCCTCAGTAAAGCTTTCAAAATGTTTTATGGAGACATGTGAAACATTTCCAAAATTGACGCATCAGTGACAAAAATTATGTCCGATGCAATTCCCTATTTTGACTTGTATCATATGTTACCATTTTTTTTCAGGTGAACAATTGACTTGCCTTGCCACAGATTTCTTATGAATATGGGAGGGCTTTGTTGCTTTTATTCCATCCATGGCTATTGAAATCCTTCCATTTCAAATGTTGATCCCATTGAAGCGAGAGAAAGACGATGTCTAGCAAAAGGAATCAGTCCTACAGCCTAAGTGATCAACATTGTCAGCAGCGATCCATGTCGTCGGCGTACGATAACATACGATCAACCCGTCACCAAGTCTGACCACCTGATCGGTTAAGTCGCCTCCTATCTATGACCAGCATCGGTTGCTGGGGACCGATTCTAACCTGGAATCCCCACAGGTGTCTTCTTGACTGAATTCCATCCCTGGCATCTCACCTTCCATTTCTTTGTCAATCTTGGCCTGCTGCTGGTCCATATCAGACTTGAATGCCGACAGCCTCTCTTTCAGCTTTCTCATCAGGCCCAGGGTACGCACAATATTACTCACACGAACAGCATCTGGCAACAATCAGGGGTCACAATGATTCTCTTAAGTTTGTATGAATGCTGTTACTGTTCATTTACTGTAAGGGGTAGCTTAATATTTACAAGGAAGCAGCCCATTACATGAATCAACATCTGATCTCAACTGTCATAAAGTGATCATTAAATTGTCACTCACCACTGGCCCGGACTTGGTGTGTGACTAGGTCAGACTTGAAGATATCCAGAGTTATTTTGATTTCTCGGAAGAAGTGTTCAAGGAGTCCGAGTTCCATGATTCCGATCCAAAACTGGCGGTCCTCCTCTGCTGTCTCAGCATCGACTTCCAGGGGCTCAATATCTACTTCCTTAGCCTTGGAGAAGGCTGCAGCAACATCTGGTGGCAGCACTATAACAAAAAATCATCCAATTCATAAATCTTCCCTTCCTATTTGTGACACATGGAAAAACAGTCATAAATAATTTTGAGTGGCTGAGGGTGATAGTCACTGTGAAATCAAAGACAGGTTTGTTTCCTCGCCTTCAACAGCTGTGAGTGAGTGAGTGAGTGAGTTGGGTTTAACACCGCTTTTAACAGTATTCCAGTTATATCGCGGCGTGTCAGCTTAATGTGGGAGGAAAGCTCGAAGTGATGCAGGTCTCAGACGTTTACCACTTCGGTGAAACCCACGAGCACGGGTATGGTGCTGACAAACCTAGAAACATAATGGGGGCGAACCGGGATTCGAACCCACAATCATAGGTTTCTGGCGTGCCCAAGGGACACAACTCTGCACAGCGAATCGCGGCGCCTTGGACGACTCGGCCACCCGTGCCCCCTTCAACAGCTGTGGTGACAATTAAACATGTTTTCACTTTTTTGCCTATTGATAACGTTTGGGGCTTTTGAACTTACAAGCAATGTTCTGCTTGTGCAATTGCAGGGCTGGATTTAAGGAAATTGATTTATCTTGCACCAGGTGCATGTTGCCAAGATAACCTAGCTGCACCAGGCAAACCAGGTAGCACCATTGTCCCATAAATTTTTCAAAGTTGAAATGTGCACATAATCTTGAAGAACCCAGAGTTTGACTTCAAGCCCCCAAAAAGCATGACCAATTACACCCAACACAGGGATAACAGCATCTCCCCTAGGAAAGGGAGTTAACTGACTATAAGAGTCCAGTTTCTACCCTTGCGGAACTAGGCTGGAATTATGGAATCATATTTAGGCTTGACCTAAGTCTTTGCATAGTCGAATCAAGATCGTGTAACGAAATCGACACCCGGTTCGTAAATTGCCGTGCAGATTTCAGTCGATTGCAGAATTTGCAATGCATGTGTACCACCACTTTAGCATCAACATATGTATTTCAAATCTTTTCATGTTTTTAATCAAGGTGCTCAAATGATTTGATGCACTTCGCGAAATAAGACATGTCTTGCTACAATAAAGACCTTGATTACTGATTAGATCATCTTGACTGGGTGCCGCAATTTTGTTTGAAGCAAATGCAAGTGATATGAGAGGTGGAATCTGATTGGTCAATAGGTGGAAAGTGGAATGGACATAACTCGTAATAGCCACTGGTGGTACGATTGAGGCCAGAAATTCCAGCCTAGTTTGGCAAAGTGGAAACTGGACTTTTGGCGTCAGTTAACTCCCTTGCCACAGGAAGATGGGATTACTGATGTAGTATGACACTTTGAGGTATTGCATGTGTGTTCAATGATCCATGTTGTGTGGACATGTAAGGTTAGCCCCAAATTTGAAAGATTTTGAGATGTAGACATAAACATTAGGTTGCATTTTTCAATATAAGGTTGCCCTGGTGCATAGTTTATATAACGAAGAAATACCTGTTTTAGAATTAATTTCAACACCTTGAACAGAACCATGGAAGCTGCTGTGAAAAAAGCTCACCTTCTGCTGATGATGCAATAGGTTTCTCCAACAAAGACTGCAAGAGCGCCACATTAGGTTTAACATCCACTGGTTCCGGAATACCTTTCATCTCAATCGTCGGAATGTTGGGCAACCGCGACTCGCTGTCATCTGGCAGATGGCAGTATGTGTGTTCATTTATGCTGCTCACAAACTCCACTTTAGGAACCAGAGTTGGTGGTGAAATTACATTATTTCTGTTAACAGGTGATCTGGCTATGCATCTACCAGTGCAAAATTCATCATGGCGATAGAAATCCAGGGTGGAAGATTCAATGTATTTCCTGTACAAACATGAAGAGATAAAAATATCTTTAAAAAAGTAAACATGGTAAATCAGGGTAAATAAACAATGAAGACATCTGTATATGTAAGACATGACTCATTGTGATCAAACTGTAAGCCAAAGATGGGAATCATTGCCACCAAGCAATGGTTAATCTGGTCCAGGCTTGACTATTTACTGTCTATTATTACAAGAAATCTGAAACAGCAATAAGCCTTGAAACCATGCCTGTTATCAGAATTAAAAAGCTTTGATTATTATTCTTCACAATATTGAGTTATTTGAATGTGTGGGCATGTACGTGTATGGGTATACTTGAGAATGTACGTGTATGGGTATGCGTGAGAATGTACGTGTATGGGTATGCATGAGCATGTAAGGGTATGCATGAGTATGTACGTGTATGGGTATGCGTGAGCATGTACATGTATGGGTATGCCTGAGCATGTCCGTGTACGGGTATGCCTGAGCATGTACATGTATGGGTATGCCTGAGCATGTACGTGTACGGGTATGCCTGAGCATGTCCGTGTATGGGTATGCGTGAGCATGTACGTGTATGGGTATGCCTGAGCATGTACGTGTACGGGTATGCCTGAGCATGTACGGGTATGCCTGAGCATGTATGTGTATGGGTATGCCTGAGCATGTATGTGTACGGGTATGCCTGAGCATGTACGGGTATGCCTGAGCATGTACGTGTATGGGTATGCCTGAGCATGTACGGGTACGGGTATGCCTGAGCATGTACGGGTATGCCTGAGCATGTACGTGTATGGGTATGCCTGAGCATGTACGGGTACGGGTATGCCTGAGCATGTACGTGTACGGGTATGCCTGAGCATGTACGTGTACGGGTATGCATGAGTATGTCCGTGTATGGGTAGGCATGAGTATGTCCGTGTATGGGTATGCATGAGCATGTACGTGTATGGGTATGCCTGAGCATGTACGTGGATGTGTAGGCGTGAGCATGTATGTGTATGGGTATGCCTGAGCATGTACGTGTACGGGTATGCCTGAGCATGTACGTGTATGGGTATGCCTGAGCATGTACGTGGATGTGTAGGCGTGAGCATGTATGTGTATGGGTATGCCTGAGCATGTACGTGTACGGGTATGCCTGAGCATGTACGTGTATGGGTATGCCTGAGCATGTACGGGTACGGGTATGCCTGAGCATGTACGTGTACGGGTATGCCTGAGCATGTACGTGTACGGGTATGCATGAGTATGTCCGTGTATGGGTGTGCATGAGCATGTATGTGTATGGGTATGCCTGAGCATGTACGTGTATGGGTATGCATGAGTATGTACGTGTATGGGTAGGCATGAGTATGTACGTGTATGGGTATGTGTGAGCATGTACGTGTATGTGTAGGCGTGAGCATGTACGAGTATGGGTATGCGTGAGCATGTACATGTATGGGTATGCGTGAGCATGTACGTGTATGGGTATGCGTGAGCATGTACGTGTATGGGTTTCGTGAGCATGTACGTGTATTGGTATGCGTGAGCATGGGTATGTGCATGATGAGTGGATGTTCGTGTGAATGGTTATATGTGCTCATACATGCAGCAATCTGTGTTTGCGTGACTAAGGTGGTGTGGGGTTGAATATAAAAAGGGTATGACGTGTATTTTATTTCATTATTTCAGAAATACAGGGAGGGGGGAGAGTTGTTTATTGTACTAGTATGTGTTGCTTATTCCTAAAATGAGATATCAACATGATTTTAACCTCAAAATTACATTTCCTGAATATTCTCATAATTCCTATGTATCTTGCCCCAAACTGTGCCATATTGCCATATCTTGCCCACTTTTGGATGCAATCTTTCAGCCATTTGGTTTATCTGCGTTGCCCGGTTACATCTAAGGGGATCAACTCACTACCCTCTCAAAAACAAGAAAACAGTGTTATCACTAACCCCTGCCATGGGGCACACTCAAATTTAGTTTGTTCATATAGTAGTGAATATAAACTATAAATCCTTAAGAAGAAATAAGTACTAGGATCACTTTATGTCATCAGAAAAATTGATTATAAATGTGAAAAAAATACACATAAAAGGCCCCTTCATTATTATTTAAACAGGGGTAAATATTTTTAAAGCGCATACTTTATACTAACATCTTTAAAGAGGCTGTACATAATGTTGATATCTCATATAAGAAATAAACGACTTGTGGCTGTTGTTTATCGTGCAATAAAACTCTTCAGGGAAAAGAAACCACATTCCTCTTCCTCATATTTTTCAAAATGTTTAAAATTTCCAAATAATTAATCACAGAGTCCATGATTGATGATTTTGGTGAGAAAATGTAACCAACAAAGAAAATCAATTAATACATACCACTCAAAAGAAGTTAAAGAACACCATGACAGATAAACTATAGTAATATGAAAGAATCGGTTATTCTCTAACTTCTTTTGAGTAATACATTTAACTTCTTATAATAACTTAAATCTTTAATCCTACCTGACTTGGATGCCATTGATTCGGATTGCATTTTTCCAGTCTTTGAGTTTTTCTTTGTCCCCCATCACAGAAAAGACCTTTGGTGTAATGAAGCGCCCTTGGAATTCAATACACTCTCTGTGAATACCCGGACAGTAGAACTTGTTTTTGTGTAGACGGCCCTTCACACTGCCACAGGTGATCTTTATTATTGACATCTCTGCCATCCTACAAAATCAATTTATGACTAGACTATTTCTTGCACCTGACAGCTGTGTATATGATGTAAGAGCTTGGGTGAAACAATACATCGTGCACAGGTACATCGTGAGTTTTCATGCAACGATATATGTGATAAGTCTTTTCTGTTTCGACACAAGATGATACACTTGGTAAAATAAACTACTTACTGATCATTGAATGGCCCCTAGCAGTTTTTGTCAGTCAAATATTGCAATTTGCATTTTGAGTTCACTACTAAAAAAAGCTATTACGAACATGTGTGTACACATAGCTTTTCCTCTTCAAAACCTGCTCTGAAATATTTAGTCAAGAAGTTTCCATGCATTTTGACGAAAACGTACATATCGTATGGTAATGTGACCTATGTATCATGATACATATTGTATCGTGACCCTGCTTTATCATTTTACCCCTAGCTATAGTGACTTGTGACCACATAAGCATTTGTTACGACTCAACTTACTCAAAGATATTTCACTAGGCATTCAAATATGTAAAAACAATAAGCCTTTACTCTTAATGAGATAGGAGTGTCTTTTACATAACCTCTGAGTGAATTTTTGTTTATTTGAGGAAAATTAGAACGTTAACCTTGAATATGTTTGATGAAGCTTCTTTGACTCATTTGTGCAAGAGAAAAGTTAGGCAGTACAAATAGCAAAAAGATACAGATATTGTCAGTCTTATGCTAGTCTTCAGTTTTCTTTGTACAATCTATAGTACTTGAAAAAGTGAATACCTTTTGGCTCCCAAGTGTCAAAAAAAAAATGCTGACAAACAAGACAAATGTTTTTTTCCATATAGGATTCATATGACATTGTAAACTGACACAAGTAGGTCATATTTCTTGCGTGATTACGGACGTGACAATGGCACAGTTGCACTAGTCATTGGCTGATAGGAAAGCTGCCTGTGAAGAATAAAAGAGTACTTTTGATCATATGGTTCTTCTGATTGGGTTGATCAGCCCAAAGATTTTCTTTCTACAGTTAAAACAATCAGAATGACATTATTCTCTTTACAGAATAATTGGGCTTCAGCATCGGCAGCAATCAACATAATTTATTTATCAAGCAGGATATCAAGTAATAGCACCACACAATATTACTGTCTGTAATATTGTATACTGACACATGTTGGAGCAGAAATATTATGCCAACATTGATGGTAGCCATGTAAATATGAATGAAAGACTGTGTAAAGAAAATACTAACACATCACCTACATTGTGAGAGAATTTAATCTTAAGAAATTAAGATTTTTATTCACAAGACAGTCAAAACAGGATAATGATGAGTTATGATTGCTAACATTACGAGCAGGGCTAGGGCTTAGAAGATACACTTAATTGAGATACTAATATGTATCTTCATAGTAAATTACGTCTGCAATGTGATACGTAACAACTCCATTTTTGTCACATAAGGACCTATATTCCATCATCAACATGATCAAATAAAACAACCCGAAACACGACCAAAACTATTTCGTAAACTTAAATAAATGATTCTAATAAAGGCTTGAGAACTCTTGAGTCACTGGAAAATAGTCTTTTTTATTCATTGTCTATACATTTCTTTTATATGGCATAATGATACAATTGCAGTTGGACATGTTGGAACAAAAACATTAAGGCAATATTGATGGTCTGTCATGTATTATTTTGTACCAATACAAGTCAATACATTTATCATGATGCACAGATAATTTGAACACTTGCTAGACAACCCTAATCAGTTATGAATGTTCAATTCAGTTATTATTAATAGTAATAAAATCAACAACTTGTTTTGACATTTGAAAGTTTGGCCATATATATTTGACATTAATCCAATTTGCCAGATGTGGCAACAATGTGAAAATGATAGAATACCATAACTTTTAACTTTAGGAAAAAAAAATAGATCAAAATAAATTTTGATCAACACCTGTACATGTGTGTAGTATATTTAAAAAAATCATGTATAGCCATTTATACATTTGTTTGAACACAGACCCTATATATTACATCAATGATTGGCCTCTCCCTGTCAGATTTACATTATTTAATATTTGTCTTTTCATAATTGCAAAGGAATTACCTTTGTGAAAACTAATGACACTCACGTAAATTACAACATCACAATATTCGGGTGAGAGTACGTACTACAGATACCAGACACGCCAAATAGAAGTAAAAACCAAGGGACGGTCGAAACCACCATGTTATTTTTTTCACACCGTGTGCTTCGAAACATCATGTCTTGGAGCGACAACAAAAATACACCAAAATATATTCTCATCGAGAGTTAAACGTTCGCACTGCAATCCGCGTAATCTGTAATTCCGTTTGTCACGTCCAACGGCACGTTGTTACTTTCAACAACAGTGTTGCACATGATTTCAAATGCGAAGGTAAACAGCCGAGTCGGACAAGGTGAGCGTCATGTGAGAAAACGTATTTCACTATATTTCATAACAATCTTATATTAAAGTACTACTTACTTCTTGGACACTTTACCGAAGCCACGGCCTCGGCTGCCCACTCTATTTTTCATCATTTTGCGACCAACACGTCAAACTATGGCGGCCAGCACGTTATTTCCTACAAACCTCATGACGTCACCGACGTTCCCGCACACGCCAGTCAGAGGCGTACTATTTTCCTAACAATGAGTGTCGTATTTTAGAGCGCCAGGCGAATTCGCAATAAACGTAAATGAATGTCTTGAGAGTGACAAGTTAAAGGAATCAATTACTGAACGAAATCTAAACAGACTATAAGCAAACTCTAAGTACATTTTGAATGTTTGTCAGATACCATCACACCTTCAAAATAAAATCTTTTTAACTTCTCCCAATACGTGGTACAATATTGATTTACTACTTATAATAACTGTCTATGACATTGATTTTGAAAAAAATCTTTGTACAAACATCATTAATAATACAGTAAAATTCTCATTCGGCTTAAAGAATTCATATTATTGTTTAAAAAAATTAAAATAGAGAAAACTCTACGATTACTAACTGGACTTTTCAGAACCTAATAGATTTGCACATTGCGCATCTATAATCCAGCACCCGATTTAATCAAACACACTTCAATGTTTTTCAACCATAAAGCATTTTCTGTGCACAACATTTGCCTGTTGTGTATTATTTGCGCAGTGCTTCATTCGTATGTTTTCATTTCAGGGTTTTGTGATGCATTTATATTATTTGCATTTTATTTCCCTTTAGACGACGAGAACAATGTATACATATGAGAGTAGTTGATACGAATACACCCTCATATTGTTCTGCGCTGAGAGTGGTATTTGAGGCCGCTCGCCTTCTTCGTGGCGTGAGGGGGTAGGGGCGCTGAAATAAATTGATAACGACTAAAACGGCTCTAAATGAAGACTGTTTGTGATAAATACAACATATGATACCAAACGTTCACTTCAAAGCAACCGTTTTATTCGCCAAGCGAATAACTGCTTCAAGAATATGAAAATGGAAGGCTACGGCACGAGTTTACAAACGCCTTTGTGATTGACAGCTCGCTGGTGAACGTGATTCCGAGGTCACCATGACCTGACCTATTTTCTTCGCGCCGGTGGGTTATGTTCGATACGGCTTCTCACTCGTTTCCGGGGGGTGATTAAGGATTCGTCACACGTTTAGTTAGCTGTAATTCTGTGTATTGTCCGTTTGTTTCTAAATGTTTCAGTCGTCTCACCGACGTCGATGTTAATTTATTACCAAGAATATTAACTTTGCAATGTTTATCAACACGGGACAGAACAAATAATGTCAGGCATGATACTTAGTTAATAATAATAATGAATACGTATGCATCTCGAATCACTATTTAAATAGTGCTATACATGTAATACACATACGTTTAGGATTAATGTATACTTCCATTTTTAGCTCATTACATTACTGAAACTATATTCTGACGGATTGTTTGATAGGCATTTCGTAGAAGTTGACGGATGACAAAGCAGACAGAAGTTATGGATAACAACTTTTTGTTTTACTGTAAATGGCGACGTTTCGGTATAGATCCTTATACTGCTCCCAGGCAAGGCTATATATACGGATCTATACCGAAGAGCAAGGCTTGACAACGGTATAGGGATCTGTATCGAAACGTCGCCATAACAGTAAAATAAAGAAGTTGTTACCCATAAATTGTGTCTTCTTTGTCATATATTCTGACGTTTTGATCAACTGTTCAGAGTATATATTTAAGTGTATTAACTGTTACGCTTTAAATAACAATGTCTAGCACTGAGTTAAAAAAACCTCGTGCGGATTGTTGAGGATAGTATACTGATGTTTACTGCTTCATTTACAATGATGTCTATCTATGCTTATAAGGAAAAATATAAAATCAACTTCAGATTTAACTCCGTGGGAAAACATGCATACTAGGGGTATAAGCTGACTGTTATTAGCATGCGTACAGCTTCGTCTCGTCGTTGACTGGCATTTAGAAATGAAACACATAAGGAAGAGAGGTTATGGATGTCAAATTCCTTGTTATGACGAACACAACCTTTCGGAGTTTATACTTTCTCCTTCATCAGGTGAATAAGTGCTATGAAGCAGAGAACACATACATGTACCTGTAACGCACCTGTAACGTACGTGTAACGTTGTTTGTTGTTTAACGCCGCACTCAGCAATATTCCGGCTATATAACAGCGGTCTGTTAATAATCGAGTCTGGACCAGACAATCCAGTGATTGACATCACGAGCATCGATCCACTCAATTGGGGTCGATGACATGCATCAACCAAGTCAGCGAGCCTGACCACCCGATCCCGTTAGTCGCCTCTCACGACAAGCATAGTCGCCTTTTACGGCAAGTGTGGGTTGCTGAAGACCTATTTTACCCCGGATCTTCACGGGTCGTATAACGTTGTGTTGCCCATACCAAATAAGTCGACATCCATAAATTCTCGTCCTTACCTTTGTCTAATTTCACAGCTCAGTTTAAACTGTAAACTGGTCACGTCTCTGTTCTGACACAATGTATGGTCTTACCGGTCGTAAAATATTGCGTCCTACATATACGAATACAAATTGTTTGTTTGTTTGTTTGTTGTTTAACGCCGCACTCAGCAATATTCCAGCTATATGACGGCGGTCTGTAAAATAATGGAGTCTGGACCAGACAATCCAGTGATAAATATCATGAGCATCGAATACAAATTGAGACAGGAGGCACGTAATTAACACTGGGGGAGGAGGACGCACAACAATGTAGACGTTTAAGTTCCTAAAATTGTAAATTGCACATTATAGTACACGCACGCACGCACGCACGCACGCACGCACACACGCACACGATGGTCTTATAATATATTTAGGCCAGATAATCAAGTGAATGACATGTCATAAACCAAATCGCCGAGCCCTACCACCCGATCAATAACGCCTTTTACGACAAGCATGGGTTTCAATGCTGCGGACCTATACTATTTATACTGTTAAACATAACTGACATTAATAGTCTGGTCAGATATACATTCACACTTCAGAGTATCATTGGTCGATTTTCTTCAGTCATATATTTAAATCACCATCAAGATTAGGCTTAAAGCTTCTGAACATGTTAATTGACATCAGCAAACTTCTTTGAAATGAAATAAAGTGTGCCACATGTCGGAGCCCAGGGCCCCGTTACACAAAGCGATCTTAGCGCTACGACTGTAGTAAGTCAGTGTTAAAGAATGGGAGTTACGATCGACTTAGCGCTATGATCACTTTGTGGAGCGGGGCCCAGGGTCCCTATGTTCATGCCTTGGACCCAAAAGCAAATATTACTGAGATTCGCATGGACTCGAAAAGAGGCAGAGACAGGTAAAGACATAAAAGAAATACATATAATTCATGGCATAAAACACGTCTAATAAGCACCCACGTACTTGTATGCATATGTAGTAACCATTGCAAGGTAAATACATCTTCCCGGGACAAGGGCGTTAACTGACTGTTGAAGTCCAGCTTCAACTGGACTACTATAGTCGGTTATCTCCCTTGCCTCGGGAAGATGGGTAAATATCAAATGTTTGGTCACTCACATGTATATGCACACGTCGGACACTTTACCATGTATTTTTCACCAAAAAAGAGGACAATCTTTTGAATATTAGTATAGAGAACATGGTTAGTGAGTGAGTTGAGTTCAACGCCGCCTTGAACAGTATTCCATTATATCACGGCGTGGCAATTTTATTTGCGAGAGAAGCCCGAAGTGATGCAGGTCCTAGACGTTTACCGTTTTGGTGAAACCCACGATCATAGGTATGGTGCTGACAACGCTAGAAATATAATCGGAGTGAAACCGGATTCGAACCCACGATCCTCTGTTTCTGGCGTGCCCAAGGGACGCAACTCTGCGCAGCGACCAGCGGCGCCTGAAACAACTGGGTAATTCGTGCCCTCAGAACATGGTAAAAGAGGTCTACTTTGCTTGTTTATATAAATCACAATGGAAATCTTTTGCGAGAAAGTCTAAAGTAAGAGTCCAAGTGATTCCTTTTCCTAGCCGAGATGAGACTTATGCTCGAATTCTATCTATTCCCCTACAACCATGCATGAATACATTGAACACAGACCCTATATATTACATCAATGATTGGCCTCTCCCTGTCAGATTTACATTATTTAATATTTGTCTTTTCATAATTGCAAAGAAATTACCTTTGTGAAAACTAATGACACTCACGTAAATTACAACATCACAATATTCGGGTGAGAGTACGTGAATGAATGTCATGTGACAATTATTACACCCGAATGTGTGTTATACTGATTTTACGAAACTTGTGATCTCGTTCTCTCTCGGGAAATACAAGAATTCTGAAACTCGTTTCGTAAAATCAGTATCGCATACTAATCTTTATTCATTACCAATAGCCGCCTCCGTGGTCTAGTGGTAGCGCGTCCGCCCGGAGAGCGGAAGGTCCGGGGTTCGATCCCCGGCCGCGCCATACCAACAGACGTGAAAAGAGGGTAATTGTTGTTACCCTGTCTGGCACTCGACATTAAGGGGCTAAAACAAGGACTGGTCGGCTCGGAGTCAGTATACTGTGTCTGAGTGGGGTATTCATTTTAAACTGCGGCATGGTATCTCAGTGAGCTAGCACTATAAATCGGCATCAGTCTGGACTAGTACAAGCAGCCACACACACACACGTGCATGCACGTCGCTATATAAGTGCAATAATCTTGGACGCGACGTTAAACCCAATTTCACCTCACCTCACCTCACCTCACCTCACCTCATTACCAATACTGTTTTATCCATACGAAGTACACGTGTACAATGTTTTCAATAGCTCAAACAACATTGACACGTAACCCATACATGACGTTATAATATTAATAATAATAATAATAATAATAATAATAATAAAAATAATAATGAGGATGTGTCAATGAATGTTAATATTGTTGACGTTATATTGTCCCTGTTAGTTTCGATAGGCTTTCAAAAGACTTGTTCTTCTCTATATGTTTGTACATATTAAAAGGATTATTACATCACTGTGATTATCTTACTGATTTTACGAAACTTATGTCAGAAATCATGAATTAAAAAAAGTCTTGCACTCGTTTCGTACAATAAGTACAACATTCAAGTATATTTTATATAATATCCTCCTGCACTGCTTTGTGGCGAGTAAGTTAAAGTTTTACGTCGTGCCAACCAACCGCCAACCAATCAAAAGAATCCTAGCAATGCGGCACCGTCACGGTCTGGGTCGGTTTGCCGGGACAGCGCTCGCTGGACAAAGGGAACTAACTCTAAATTTAACTCCCGTAGTTCCTATCCCAAGATGGCTGCGCCCACGAACAACGTGAAGTAGCAGTACACTTGGATACGTTGACGCGAGAGTTCCGTTATATTCCCCGACGCGTTGTATGTCAATCAGTCATCATGGATGAAGGAGAGAGCAGCACAGGCGCATCTGGATCTGATGCAGAGTTCATACCCCGAGAAGATCTCGTCAAGAGCGTGATGGAGTTGGGCTGCAGCAGAAATGCAGCAGTCAAGGTGAGCTTTCACTGGCTTCACATAGGACGTTACACACGACTCGTTGAAGTTAAACATATTCTCTATTTTCTTTTGTTTTTCTACGTACACAGCATAAACCGAAAAGTGAACAAATATATGTATTAACATATTTCCACCTGGCTGGTTACTGTCATCGTTGAAACCGGTTGTAATACTATGGGTGCAGGCTAAAACGGCACCTCAGCAAAACGTCACCGATTTCTCTGGCGAAAATGGCACCGCATTTGGCGAAAACGGCTACTAGGCTACTATGTGTCGGGCGAAAACGACACCACTATTTTTAATAATGATAAGAACGATTTTTTGTGGTAATATATATGGTTTATTTACATGGTCACAGTTATCACAGCATGTTGTTGTTTTCTGACATTCTTCTCTCATGCAACACATCGAAAGGCCATTGTGAATAATTGTGATCTGACAGCACCATGTTAGGCCTCTTAAATACAGTTTCAGTTTAAATTGAGTAAAGGTACTTAACACTTCAAAGCATAAAGTGTTTTCACATTAAGTTAACTGCGCCTCCAAATCAGTCGGCGAGTAAATTGGAGTAGGGGTCTAATTTCGTACTTGTTTTATTTCACAATTTCACGATTATTTGTGTTTGTAAAGACGACGTGAGTTTAATTTCTATTATTTTTCTTCAAAGCATGTCATGTTTTCACAATATGTTGTGTTGTGTATAAGCTAAGTTGGATTATAGTTGGAGTAGAGGCTAATTTCTAATGTAAACTTGTTTTAGCATCTTACAATTATATTGGTGTTTGCAAGTTACCATATAAGCATGATAAGTTTAATAGCACTTTTTTGACCAAGGTAAAAAAAAAAATAAGGTGCCGTTTTCGCCAGGCAATAGTAGCCGTTTTCGCTTGAGTCGAGGTGACGTTTTCGCCCGGTGACGTTTTGCTGAGGTGCCGTTTTCGCTATAACCCTAATACTATATAGGCCTAATACAAATAGGCTTGTCGTTGGAATTCTTGTTTAGAACTGGTGCTCAGAAACTCATTCTTATTGTAAGTATGTAAGAGGTGATTAAGTGATATGGTGGTCAGGCTCAGTGACATAGTTGATTGCATTTCATCCTACTAGAACCTCATGAATCGTTGCTCATATAATAACATAACATATTAATCAGTTGTCTGGTGAAGACAATATTTACAGACCTCTGGAATATTGCAGATTGTAGCATAAAGAAAAAGCAACAATAACAGGTGATCGAGGGTTATGTCAGCATATGAATGATTTTTTATGGTCAATATCCTGATTTGTATATCATGTATATCACACCATTCATAATCACTCTGATTCACTGGTGTGAAATATCACACACGAGACACGGGAAACACTCTATGCAAGTGGTGGCAGGGTAGTCAAAGGGATGAATATAATAGAGACTTCACCATATACCTTTAGCTGTTGGCATCAGAATGTGGCCAGTCCCACCATATGACCAGCCCCGGTTGGGAACCATGTTTGTTATACAATGCAACTATCTGTCTTACTCTTTGGAGGTCAGGTGTCTTTGACTTGGTTGATTGTGTGTCACATACCCCTAAAACATGGGACATAGTTTGAAGTCATGAGATCAGCCACTGGTTTGTCTCGTTCAGACTTGATTTTGTCACAGCTACCGTAACCATGGTAACATAATAGTTGTACCCAAGATTCTGGTCTTAAAACCTGATTTGATTTGATTTAACCTACTCATGTTAATCTCGCTCATGTATGCAATTGTTGTTACTGTTAATCCTCGATCTACCATATATATTCTGTACCATGTTCATTATTCAGCCTTGCTTGACAACGGTATAAGGACCTATGCCAAAATGTCACCATTACAGCCAAATAAAGAAGTTGTTATCCATATATTGTGTCTACTTTGTCATCTGTCAGCTTCTAAGAAATGCCAATCAAACAATCCATTCATGTATAGTCATCAAGAAAACTCACCAACACAATATCAATGTTAACATCAGCTTGTACATGTTATGTGATACATGTATATGTCTTGCTGCCAATGCCAACCCTTCATTTATTTTATGGATTATTATTTCTAATTATTTGTGTGTTTCAATTTCAGAGTTTGTTCTATACCGGCAACTATAATGCAGAGTTGGCAGCAGCTTGGTTATTTGAAAACTCCGACAAAAATCTAGACGGCCCATTGGAGGTAATTCCGACAGTGTTGATGTGAGACTGAACATTCATATTCAGTCAGTATCAGAACACTACATGTTGCATGTCCCAGAGATAAAACTACTGTGTTTTGAAGTCTGAGGTCATTGCGTTGTAGATTCGATATATCATTTTATAGTTTGCACCAGAGCGCTTTATCAAGAGGTTTCAAATTATAATAATTAACAAGATGAGATCAGTATCAAACATGCAGATTGATAGACTATTAAGGTTTCCCCATGCGGGTCATCATTACTTAGAGTTCTAGTTTTGCAAAAGTCACTTACATTTTACTGAATTCTGTACTAATAATAGAGAAAAAGCAATAACATTATAATTGGTTTCATTAAATGTAATGTTAAACATGTTAAGATACCTCAAACTTTAAAAAAAAAATTGGGACTTACAAAACAATTTCAATTTTTTTAAGTATTTACTTGATTTGCCAATCAATTGCTACAGAATTACTTGCAATGTATTAATAACAAATATCAGTTTTTCCAAGTTGGATTCCACATAGTTTATTCAAGATAGAGATAAATCCCTGGAGTCAGTGTGAATGTTAGCCATGTTCTTCTGGACTGCTTCAGAAGCTGCATTTGCATTGATGTTTTCTGTTTTAATCCCCATGATCCCGTTGTTAATCCTGCAGGATGATGTTGAGAGTGGTAGCGACAGTGATGTGGAGTTCATGTCTGGTGGCGCCCTCTACAAGATGGTGTTTGTGGTGAACGGAGAGCTACAGATGGGGGTTGGCAAAGTTGCTGCCCAGGTTGCCCATGCTTGTCTGGGATTGTTCAGAAAACTCATTGATGAGCAGATCAAATACGCCGAGATGCTGATCAGCTGGGAACAGTTTGGGTGAGTTGGTTGTCCAAAATTTGCTAATGTTTTAAGAAGAAACAATCATTAAATTTCCTTGAACTGGAAGTAACTAAAAATAACTAAATAATTTTGTGTGTGTGTGTCAAATGGGAACATTAGTACTGCAAAATTAGGTAATGATGTAGATTTGTTACATTTTAAAATATATTAATCAATGTGATGAAATTTGATAAAATCTACATGTTACGTTGTGAACAAGATGTGTTTTCTTACAGAGAGACAAAGATTGTAGTAAAGGGGGAAAACATTGGCCAGCTAAAAGAACTACGAGCCAAGGCGGAGAGTCTAGGTCTGCCAAACTACACAGTACAGGATGCGGGAAGAACACAGGTAACTCAGCAATGTCTCCGTGTTTCAGTGATGCATCTTCCCGAGGCAAGGGTGTTAACTGACCCCAAAAGTCCACTTTCCACCTTTGCCAAACTATGCTGGAATATCGTGCATTGTAGCGCCACCGATGGCTATTACGAGTTATGTCCCTTCTTTGTCCCTCCTATTGACCAATCAGATTCCACCTCTCATATCACTTGCATTTGCTTCAAACAAAATGGCAATGCCCAGCCAAGACGATCTAATCGATAATCAAGATCTATGTTGTATTAAAACAGGTCTTACCATGCCAAGTGCATCAAAGATTTGAGCACCTTGATGAACATGAAAAGATTTGTAAGATATCCGTCAATGCCCTGTTGACGGTACACATGCTTTGCAAATTCTGGAGTCGATCGAAATCGGCACATTGAAATCCATGTTGTACGAACCAGATGTCTAGTTCATTGCACAATTTTGATTGGACTATTCATAGACTCAAATTCCAGCCTAGTTCGGCAAGGGTGGAATCTGGATTTTTACAGTAAGTTAACTCCCTTGCCTCGGGAAGATGCAGTTATGTCACCGTATGTCAGTTGAATGTTTGAGGAAAACCGGAAGTGTTGCAGGTATTTACCACTTCAGTGAAACTCACAAGCACAGGTTGGTGCTAATAAACCAAGAAAATTTGTCATGTCGAATCTGGGATTCAAACCCACGATCATGGGGTTCTGGCATGCCCAAGGGATGCAACTCTGCACCTTGAATTGCAGCACCTGAGACGACTGGGTCACCTTTGCATTCAATAGGATAGATAGGTAACACAATAAATAAATAAATAAATAAATACTGCATGTTTGTTTTCATCTAAAATATATCTATTTTTGAAGAAACCTGGTTATTCATTCAAAACATGTTTAGACAGTTTGTGAGACAATAAACAGCCCTACCTCAGTTACCTCACCAATAACTACCTCAATTGAAATTAGGATTACCATTGTTTTACATAATGCCAGGAAATAACGATTACACATTGTAGGTATTCATCCTACTAGCGTAATACCCCAAATGTCATACAACATATGCAGTGTATGGTGTCACAGGGATGTAGCTAGGATTCCAAGCTAACTGCCCATGGGATTTTAATTTTTTTATATTAATAATAAAAAAATTCTAAGGATATTCAGCATGTTCAGAGGTATTTAACATTGTATATAATCATTGAATTTGATGCAGTAATGTTAGAATACAAATCACCTCTACAAAGCCATAACTTAATAAAAAAAATTACATGAACAGGGAATTTTGGAATTCTGATTTGGGAATTTGTACATTTGCTGTAGATTGTTTAGGTCTAGATAAACCCATGAAGGCAGTTAAGTATTATGACATAACTGACCATTTTCAGTGACTTTCATGACATAGTTATTTTTAGCTTTTTTTGATTGACCTTGTGTAGAAAAGCTGGATTAATTCTGTGAAACATAAAATTATAAAACTGTGGCCTAATCGACAAACAAATAAATTTCTGTTCCTTTCAGATTGCAGCTGGCTCGACAACAGTACTGGCCATTATAGGAAAAGTGGATGCTGTTGATCAAGTGTCTGGGAAACTGAAACTGTTATAACGTCCCTCCATCTCCTGTGTCACATGACCGTGCAGCATCCAGTGTCACATGAACTGCTGGAGGATGGGGAACACAGCTGGCAGCAACTCATGGGGAGACTTCTAGTCTTGGTCTCACTTCAGTATGTCAGCCAAGTCTCCTCTTTTTGTAGCTTGTGCTATTGAACATGAACCATTTAAGAATTTGCTGGCATCAGGTTAGATGGAAATCTAATATTTATTTACTGTTAGCAAATCATCGTTCTCAATCACATAAAAAAGCTTCCAGTTATGACTTGAATTTATTTAGAAGATGAAATTATCACATTATTTTTTCATATTTTTTTATTAATTCAATTATTATGCTCTGGTACAGAATCGGCTTGATACCTTACAGGATGCCTCTTAGTGGGAGTTAATACACACAGTTCATGGTTGAAGAGTGAGTGAGTGGGTATGGTTTTGTGCTGTGTTTAGCAATATTCCAGCAATATCTCGGCGAGCAACACTAGAAATGGGCATCACACATTGTACCCATATGGGGAATCAAACTCGGGTTTTGGGCATGACAAGCAAACGCTCAATCTCATTAAAATCAGATCTTAGTTCTTGCTACCGCTTAACAAAGATCTGAGGACATCCCATTACGGGTCATGTCAGACCGACCTTGTGCAAACTTTGACCGACCAATGGAATGACCAATCAGAAGGCAGGTTTCTCGTGCTTTATGGCACTAATTTCAAATTGGCGACTACGCTTCGAAACATATGTTGACAAATTCTCAATTACAAATTTGAAACCTGAACAAAAGAACATTTGGAATGGCTAATAGATGGGCTAGATTGTATGGATTCAGTCATTAAACCCGTAACTATCGTTCGGAATAAAGTTTTCGAGGTTGCATGATAAGAAATCACATTCCGGCTGTCAATTTCATAATCTGGTAAGCAACGCTCTGATTGGTCGGATGAAAGGTCGTTCTGACGTGACCCCTAATGGGATGTCTTCAAATCTTTGTTAAGCGGTAGCGAGAACTAAGGTCTGATTTTAATGAGATTAAGCAAACGCTTAAATCACTAGGCTATCCCCCACCCCCTCCATTTCAGTGAGGGTAATACCTACAGCTCTCTTTGAAGAGTGAGGACATAACTAAAGATTCCGGCTGTGGTGGAATATTAACAAATCTTGTCACCATGAAAACTGTTTTGTCAACTTCAGAATGAAATATGATTATATTGAAATGACAATGTTTTAACAGTGCTGGTGTTTTAGCTGTGAGACCCTTCCTTGTGTGTAACTCACTGTAGCCATCTCCATGGGGCCATTATCAACTTTTAAGTATTGTCATGATACACAAACGAATTGTACATCTTGGGTGAATTGATAAAGACTTGCCACAATGTGACCATAGGTCGAAGATAACCATGTTATTATTGTTTATGAGTAACGACTTCATTTTGACTTGTTTTTGTTTCTTTTACATATCTTGGTGTTTATTGAAATTTGACTTGACTTTTACCTTCAGTATATTTATATTTACAACCGGGTTTGACAGATGTTATATCAGTAAGCAGGAACAGTCCACAGGAAAGTCAATGTCACAACAGAAAAGCTGTGAAGTACAAAGTTCTTTTTAGTTTCATCCCTTACAATACAAATAGTCAACAGTTTGTCCTTCCATCTTCTAAACAGCAACAAAGTGAGTTCCTTGTTGCCCCACCTCAGTTTGTAAGGGAATTGTGTTGGTTGGTGGATGTTTAATGTCATTTGTTTTGTGGGTCGGCATCTTGATTGAAACCCTGTATACCAAGTCATCTGAATATTCGATGGCAATATTTCTGTCATCACCATGATCATTTGTCGTTTTACAAATGCATTTCAATTGTATATAGAATAAAACACTGTTCCATATAACAATGTGTGTTATGTATTCATATCCATATGGGTATAGAAGATTGTTGAACAAAATCCACGTGCAGATATACAGGCATCAGAATGCATGTTTTCCTTTTCAGCTGAAACTTCTTTGCAATTGAACGTGGTTCATTATTTGGGGGTGTTTATGGGGGAGGCCATCAGATTTTCACAAATTTGTGGTCACTAACATTCACGCAAATTCACAGATCCGTGGAAGATTCTCACCTCTAGATATAGAATAAATTTGGCTGGTGATTTGTTTTTGGATTTAATCAGCTTTGAAAAGTATTTCAGTTGTCAGCTTAATGTGGGAGGAAAGCCAAATGGTGGTAACGGTCAACTCAGTTAGTGAGACTGTGTGGTGCCAACAACTATCGGTGGGAACGCCTCTGTGGCCTAGTGGTAGAGCGTCCGTCCAGAGAGCGGAAGGTCCGGGGTTAAATCACTGGCTGCATCATACCAAAATACCTTAAAAGATGGTACTTGTTGTTACCCTGTCTCGCGCTTGGCGTTAAGGGGCTAAAACAAGGAGTGGTTGGCTTTGAGTCAGTATACTGTGACTGAGTGGGGTATTCATGTTAACTGGGGCATGGTATCTCAGTGGGCTAGCACTCTAAATCGGTATCAGTCCAGACTAGTACAAGCAGCCACATACACAATTTGGATCGATGACATGCACAAACCAGGTCAGCAAGCCTGACCACCCGATCCCGTTGGTCGCCTCTTACAACAAGCATAGTCACCTCTTATGGCAAGCATGGGTCGCTGAAGACCTACTCTATCCCAGATCTTTACAGGTCTGGGTGCTCATGCTATCAATCATTGGATTGTCTGGTCCAGACCCGATTATTGACAGACTGGCTTCACAGAGCTAGAATATTGCAGAATAAGGCATTAAACAACAAACTCTGATGATGAAAGACAACAAGACAACTCTCTCGCTTTTATGATGTATTTCTGAAATATACAATTATGATCATGGCAATAAGTTAAAAGTATACTGAAGTTAGCAATAATACAATGACTGATTCACAGGCTAAGTCATATTTCTGTTACAGTTCTTTTACATCTTGTTTGTGTCCAAACTAACATAACATATTCACCATAACATATTGGTCAGAAACGGGAAGATCCATAAAATTAACAGAATGTCTTCTTCATAATACATTTTAGGCTTAAAAAAATAAAGGAATTGGTTCTCAGGCAATGACTTTTGAAAAGATAGTGCGAGCGGGTGGGCAGTGTTTTTTTGTTTGCGTGTGCAAACTAGTATGAATCCAAATAAACAGTTGTGTTCCATCTACCAGTTCTTGGGAAAGGGCCTCCCTACATAAACAAACATACAAACTCCTTTCGCCGCTATGACCATAACACAAGATGGGCAGTAAAGCAGTGTGCATGTAAAGGGAAGTAACTGTGTGCTATATTGGATCGCATTGTTTTTAAGTACAATGTATAAGGATTGTTTTATTTTTTTATAAAATGGAAATAAAAACGGAAAATGAGGCAGACTTTATGATGATACGGGCGGTACCTGATAACCAAGACTATTATGTTTTTTTAGCCTTTTTCCTTCTTCATGCAATATAATTAACTTTTCAAAAATTCATTTGTAACCAATCAACAATAAACTTAATACCCACAATAGCTGTCCCATGTCTAAAGTTTGGCTGGTAAATGAACTTAGCATTTTGCAGATTCTAAAGTTATTTCCAAATCTCGCACATAGTAAGTTTACAAGTGTAAATATTATTATGAATGTTTAAGAATTCTTCATTGCACAAGAACATCCATTGTGCAATCTGTAAAGCATAAATCACACCTATCAAATATTATAACATTTTCTGAGATTAATTTCATTGCCAAGTTATCTTTTTCAGGGATGACAAAATGTAAAATATTATCCCTTTGTGAAAAGTATCTGATCTGCCATATTTCTACTCACACCATAGCACCAAAAAGCTGGTAGAATAAAACAAAGCACAGGATCCTAAACTGATCAGCCACATCACCAACCCACATCTAGCCTTATGTAACAGCAACAGCACTCAAACTTCATATATTCTCCATTCATGGTCATTTCTACAGAATCAGAATTATATTGATGTTGATGTTCTTCACTCGAGTTCGAAGTATTGACTGGGTATATAACTTAGAATTGATTTTGAAGGTTTTCTTCAGGGTGGTGAGTGGTGTGTGTGTCATTGTAGGCAGGTCATATATATAGAACATATACAGAAAAATCCTTTCTATCATTTGGATAACCAACTAACCACTATATATACTGTGAAACTCGGTTACTATGGAAACCCTGCCTTCAAGACAAATTTGCCACAAAAATGACAAAATATTTGCGATATAAACTGACATGACCTGAATTCAGGCAATTCAAAATAGAAACCAAAATACAAAAGAACATTTTGTCCAAGAATATGGAAGATCAACCCAACCAAATACATCAGTACATCACAAATCCAACAGACTTCAGGTACTTTGGGAAAAGTAACCTCGATAACATTACCTGCTGTTGACAGTCTGGCATTGAACTCACGCCAAACAATGACTACTTCAAGTCCTGAAGCTTGCTATTCAGCAATTTCTCCATCAGGTTTCCATATTACCAGAGTCTCAGTGATATTGGTTGTCATGGATACAGTGGGGTTCCTTGTTTAGTAGGTCGGCACATGAGTGATGTAAGTATACCAAATGGAGAATTGCAGTGATTCCGAAACCATGCTTCCCTCTGCTGACTTTGAATGTCTACCAGCATCTCTTTGAATGTCTTTTGACTTATTTTGGAAAGTCTCCTGACAAAGAAACTCGATAACATTTGCCTAAGAATAGGTTGCATGCTGACTGCAGAGTGGCAGGAGATATGAGTATTGACGGGTATCTTTGAACATCCAGTGTTCTTGTATCTAAACTGATACTTCTGCACATTGGCATATGGTCACGGGTATCAGTATGCTGGGAAAAAAAAACTACTTGCTTTAGGCCCTGTAGCTCACCTGAACTTGTGAATGCTTTATAAAAAAAACAAATGATTAATTATTCATATATGATAAGGTCAAAATAAGGTCAGCTTCAGATAGGTAAATGTAAGAAGGGCGGACGACTGCTAGACAACACGCCATGACACAATCTCACATGCACCTTGTTCAGGCGAGCTAACAACTCAAGTCTACATTATGCAAAAGGATTAGTTTACAGTGACTTGTCACACATAGTTTGTACACAGGTTAGCATTTATCTGAAGTACTATGCAAGATGCACCTCTGTTAGATAAAACGGTTACTGGAAGTATTGTATTACTGGGCTATATGCAGAAAACTACATTTCACCACAATTAAGAATTAGATTTTCATCCAAATTTGTAACAAAACTTAAGAGGACAGCAAATTCATTTGATCTTTTTTGTATTAACTAAAAGTGCAAGGCATCTGTGTTGTCTGTTTTCTGTATCAATTAACACAAAGCACTCCTGTTTGGTAGGACTATGTTATGGTGTATTTTATCAAGTAAATACTGGTTTGGTTGTCACGTGGCTGGGGATGAAAATCTAACTGTTTAATAAGGGCCTAATCTTAACATACATGTGAGGTATTATATTGTTGCCATTAACTGCAATGCTGTAATCTGTGCACCTCCTACAAAGGTAAGTGGACAATACTGTTATCAATACAACTTATACAATCCCTTTCCTCTATATATATTAAGTACATATGGTGCTTTGTTATACTTGGTTTGTGAATTTGCATGATAGGTGTATATATAAACAAAACACCCTCGTCTTCATGGCTCTGATATGACCTACTACATTTGATACATGGTCTGGTGAACAGGTTTCAGTTATCCCGGTACCTTAAAGGATTTGAATCAACAGTGAAGAATAAACTGTGACATGTTAAAAAAAGTGTAATCAAAATCATAATATCGTGCATAGATGAATAGATTTCTCAGAAGTATTACAACTGTATGTACCAATGAACTTTTACTTATATCGATTTTCTGAATACAAAACTCAAAAACCTACCTTACAGCTATGTCATGAATTCCAGATAAACCAGGCTTATATTCAACCTTACTTTTGTTTTGAGTTCACCACCAACAACATAACTAAAGTTGAAAATCTTAAAGAAACACCCTTTTTTCAGGAGGGATGGAAACAGACCAAGGTTCTATTCCAGACTTAAAGGTTTCAGTCATATCACAATCTGTCAGCTTGGAGGAAAGCCCAAACTGATGCATGTCGTAGACGTTTATCTCTTGGGTGAAACCCACAAGCATGAGAAAGGTGCTGACAAACCAAGTAACATAATCAGGATCGGTCAAGGGTACAAACCCAGACAGCAGATCCTGGCACACAACTCTATGGACAATGGAGTAGAGACCACTTCTAGTTATTACTGTCATAGAATAATTAAGTCCAGATTAATAAAGTCCAGATTGATATAGTTCACCACAAATGGTACTCACTCAATCACGATGTCGTACAAATCATATGACAGAGTAGAGAGTAGAAAGTATATAAAACTTCACGCAACAGATAAAACAGACTTGTTGAGCATCACCGGAGACACAGGTCCCGATGATGAGTTAACTAAAAAAGTCACAAGAATTGAAGTAGCCACCAGGGACATCAAATATATCACATAATTCAATCACAGATTCACAACAGAATTCTTTTAAAAACTTTGTACAGATTTCAGTTGATTTTTTTATACAGAAACTTAATTTTTAACTGTTAAAGACATACACATTATTCACAAATGAAAAGGGTCAATATTCCACAAGATTGTTGTGTTTTATATAGATCCTGACTAAATGTATAATTATATTTGGTTTATTGACATCACTTATGCAAGCCCATCTAACAAAAGAAGCAGGCTTGACTATTGTATATACAGTTACAATTGTCTGGTGTAAGTATACAGCAATACACAGATTATCTCACATCCCAAACCACCACATTTAACCACTGGAACCTTAGTTCATTACAGGGCAATCAGGATAACTGTGCACAATACAAAAGAGGCCATCATACAAATAAACACACAGAAATAATAACTTGTATGTTCACCTCGTAATGAGTCTCGTTTCATGAGTGTTAATGTCAAATTATACTTCAGTGTTTTGAAGATTTTATACAGAAGGTGCATAAGGTCATAGTTGGAGTGTCTAAATTAAAAAGTGAATTCTTTACTGACATACATGCATTTCCTCACATGACAATAAGCATGAGTACTGTGCAACAATCAGCGGCTAGGACACAATATGTATATATCACCTGTCGCGTGGTCAACGTGCATCTGTATCATTCCTTGTCATCATTCTCTCAGCATTTCATCAACACTAACAGTCCAACAGGAAACACGTAACTGTATGTAAAACTGTTCAGCACTACTAAGGGTCAATGCAAGTATTAACCTACCACTTCAAGACTACGGTTACTCATGAGAGGGATTATCTTAACATTACTGAGGTTAATTGACTTCAGTATAGATGTCATGACATGTCCATGCCAGTGAAGTTTAGTCGTCAATGTGGGGATGGAGTGAGTATGGTTTTACGCCGCTTTTAGCAATATTCCAGCAATATCAGAACACCAGAAATGGGCTCCACACATTGTACCCATGTGGGGAGTCGAACACGTGTCTTCGGCATGACGAGCGAATGCTTTAACTAGGCTACCCCACCGCCCACATGGGGATGGAGAGAATCAGGGAACTTCACAACCAAGCAGAGATTTACCTGTTGTTTGTGGCAACATAACTCTGCCTCCAAAAACAATCATACAAGGACATAGGTAGAAAACTTACAAAAAATATGTAGTGAATAAAAAAATATGTATATAAGATACTGACTGAATTTACTGGCAGTTCACAAAAATGACTAAATTCTTCAAGCACCAGGATGAAATATGTGACATTTGTTTTATTGTAACATCAGATAAAGTCTGTAATGTAATAAAATGTCTGAATGACAAGTTCTGCAATTTAGTCTCTGTATGATTGACTTGTCAAGAAATAGTCTGTGATGTAGTGGAAAAAGAAATGTGTGAATGGCTCCACTGTCCTTGTAATAGTGTTCATGTATTAATGACTCAGCCATATTCCATGATGTAATGTCATCGACTCAGCCATATTCCATGATGTAATGTCATTGACTCAGCCATATTCCATGATGTAATGTCATCGACTCAGCCATATTCCATGATGTAATGTCATTGACTCAGCCATATTCCATGATGTAATGTCATTGACTCAGCCATATTCCATGATGAAGTGAGATTGACAGTCATATTCTGTGATGTAGTGTGATTGCCTCGGTTATATTCTGTCAGGCAGTGCGATTGCCTCGGTCATATTCTGTGATGTAGCATGATAGGCATGGACCGTGATGGAGTTCATATATTATTGACTGAAACACCTTCCCTGATGTAGAGTGTTACTGATTCAGACATATTCCGTCGTGAAGTGTGTGTCAATCTCCAGCACTTCCCTGAGTTTCTCCTGCAGATCAGAATCATCACTGTCTGGTTGGTAGGGTTTAAATCCAGGGACATTAGCAGGAGGCACGTCGGAGGGGGAGTCGGGGCGGTTGTCAGCTGCGTTGTTGCCATGGAACTCTGCAACACACAACGTTAATCTATGTTAATCACAATGCTTATCATTATATTATCACAGAATAACTCTAATGTAACAACACAAAGGCTTATGGTAGAGTTGTCAGGTACTATGAGTGTCAGTAGTGGGGTGTAGAGGATGTACTTGACTGTCCAGCTCATAAAATCCTCATTCATCACCTCTGAGACAAGCATGCAGTGCTGTTCTGGAATCCCCAAAGGAAGACAGGTGCTAAGATCTATTCTGCCCCAGAATTCCAAACGGGACGCAAGCATGAGGTGTTCGGGACATATTCTTGCCTGGAATCCCCACAGGGAGATAAGCATCAGGTGTTGGGAGCATATTCTGCCCTAGAATCCCCAAAGAAGACAAGCATAGTTTGCCTGACCCCCACTCTGCCCTTGAGTCCCACCGTGTGTGATGTGCCTGGCCCCCACTCTGCCTGTGAGTCCCCACTGTGTGTGATGAGCCTGGGCCCCACTCTGCCTGTGAGTCCCTACTGTGTGTGATGTGCCTGGCCCCCACGCTGCCCCTGTCCCCACTGTGTGTGATGAGCCTGGGCCCCACTCTGCCTGTGAGTCCCCACTGTGTGTGATGTGCCTGGCCCCCACTCTGCCTGTGAGTCCCCACTGTGTGTGATGAGCCTGGGCCCCACGCTGCCTGTGAGTCCCCACTATGTGTGAAGAGCCTGGGCCCCACTCTGCGCGTGAGTCCCCACTGTGTGTGATGTGCCTGGGCCCCACTCTGCGCGTGAGTCCCCACTGTGTGTGATGTGCCTGGGCCCCACTGCCCATGAGTCCCCACTGTGTGTGAAGAGCCTGGGCCCCACTCTGCCTGTGAGTCCCCACTGTGTGCGAAGAGCCTGGGCCCCACTGCGCGTGATGTGCCTGGGCCCCACTTCTTGCGTGAGTCCCCACTGTGTGTGATGTGCCTGGGCCCCACCCTGCCTGTGAGTCCCCACTGTGTGTGATGAGCCTGGCCCCCACCCTGCCTGTGAGTCCCCACTGTGTGTGATGTGCCTGGGCCCCACTCTGCGCGTGAGTCCCCACTGTGTGTGATGTGCCTGGGCCCCACTGCCCATGAGTCCCCACTGTGTGTGATGAGCCTGGGCCCCACCCTGCCTGTGAGTCCCCACTGTGTGTGATGTGCCTGGGCCCCACTCTGCGCGTGAGTCCCCACTGTGTGTGATGTGCCTGGGCCCCACTGCCCATGAGTCCCCACTGTGTGTGATGAGCCTGGGCCCCACTCTGCCTGTGAGTCCCTACTGTGTGTGATGAGCCTGGGCCCCACTGCCTGTGAGTCCCCACTGTGTGTGATGAGCCTGGGCCCCACTCTGCCTGTGAGTCCCCACTGTGTGTGATGAGCCTGGGCCCCACTCTGCCTGTGAGTCCCCACTGTGTGTGATGTGCCTGGGCCCCACTCTGCCCGTGAGTCCCTACTGTGTGTGATGAGCCTGGGCCCCACTCTGCCCGTGAGTCCCCACTGTGTGTGATGTGCCTGGGCCCCACTCTGCGCGTGAGTCCCTACTGTGTGTGATGTGCCTGGGCCCCACTGCCCATGAGTCCCTACTGTGTGTGATGAGCCTGGGCCCCACTCTGCCTGTGAGTCCCCACTGTGTGTGATGTGCCTGGCCCCCACTCTGCCTGTGAGTCCCCACTGTGTGTGATGTGCCTGGGCCCACACCCTGCCTGTGAGTCCCCACTGTGTGTGATGAGCCTGGGCCCCACGCTGCCGCTGAGTCCCCACTGTGTGTGATGTGCCTGGCCCCCACTCTGCCTGTGAGTCCCCACTGTGTGTGATGAGCCTGGCCCCCACCCTGCCTGTGAGTCCCCACTGTGTGTGATGTGCCTGGGCCCCACTCTGCGCGTGAGTCCCCACTGTGTGTGATGTGCCTGGGCCCCACTGCCCATGAGTCCCCACTGTGTGTGAAGAGCCTGGGCCCCACTCTGCCTGTGAGTCCCCACTGTGTGTGATGAGCCTGGCCCCCACCCTGCCTGTGAGTCCCCACTGTGTGTGAAGAGCCTGGGCCCCACGCTGCCCCTGAGTCCCCACTGTGTGTGATGTGCCTGGGCCCCACCCTGCGCGTGAGTCCCCACTGTGTGTGATGAGCCTGGGCCCCACGCTGCCCCTGAGTCCCCACTGTGTGTGATGTGCCTGGCCCCCACTCTGCCTGTGAGTCCCCACTGTGTGTGATGAGCCTGGGCCCCACGCTGCCCCTGAGTCCCCACTGTGTGTGATGTGCCTGGCCCCCACCCTGCCTGTGAGTCCCCACTGTGTGTGATGAGCCTGGCCCCCACCCTGCCTGTGAGTCCCCACTGTGTGTGAAGAGCCTGGGCCCCACTCTGCGCATGAGTCCCCACTGTGTGTGATGTGCCTGGGCCCCACTCTGCGAGTGAGTCCCCACTGTGTGGGATGTGCCTGGGCCCCACTGCCCATGAGTCCCCACTGTGTGTGATGAGCCTGGCCCCCACCCTGCCTGTGAGTCCCCACTGTGTGTGATGTGCCTGGCCCCCACTCTGCCTGTGAGTCCCTACTGTGTGTGATGTGCCTGGGCCCACACCCTGCCTGTGAGTCCCCACTGTGTGTGATGAGCCTGGGCCCCACGCTGCCCCTGAGTCCCCACTGTGTGTGATGTGCCTGGCCCCCACTCTGCCTGTGAGTCCCCACTGTGTGTGATGAGCCTGGCCCCCACTCTGCCTGTGAGTCCCCACTGTGTGTGATGTGCCTGGGCCCCACTCTGCGCGTGAGTCCCCACTGTGTGTGATGTGCCTGGGCCCCACTGCCCATGAGTCCCCACTGTGTGTGAAGAGCCTGGGCCCCACTCTGCCTGTGAGTCCCCACTGTGTGAAGAGCCTGGGCCCCACTCTGCCTGTGAGTCCCCACTGTGTGTGATGTGCCTGGGCCCCACTGCCCATGAGTCCCCACTGTGTGTGAAGAGCCTGGGCCCCACTCTGCCTGTGAGTCCCCACTGTGTGTGAAGAGCCTGGGCCCCACTGCGCGTGAGTCCCCACTGTGTGTGATGTGCCTGTGGCCCCACTTCTTCGCGTGAGTCCCCACTGTGTGTGATGTGCCTGGGCCCCACGCTGCCCGTCCCCACTGTGTGTGATGAGCCTGTGGCCCCACTTCTTCGTGTGAGTCCCCACTGTGTGTGATGTGCCTGGGCCCCACTCTGTGTGATGAGCCTGGCCCCCACCCTGCCTGTGAGTCCCCACTGTGTGTGAGAGACTGACCTGAGTTGGGGAGCACCTCCTCCCACTTGTACTGCTGGATGTCCACCTCCTGCTTGACCCATGCATTCCTCTCCACATCCTTGATGGTGGCCCGACACACAGGGTCGCGGTGCAGCATCCATGTCACCAAGAACATCAGAGCTGGAGTCACAGAAAACAACGGCTACCTTACTGGTTTGTGTGCAATAATAGACACAAGCACAAAAGCCCTAGTCATGTATTATTCTTCTGCCCAGCTACTAACAAATCTCATTAAAATCAGATCTTTGTTCTTGCTACCGCTAAACAAAGATCGAAGGTCATCCCATTATGGGTCACATCAGACTGACCTTTCGCGAATTTTGACCGACCAATAGAATGACTGACCTGAATCAGAAGGCAGCTTTCTTGTGCTTTACAGCACCAGTTTCAAAACTTATTTTGACAAATTCTCAATTGAAAATTTGAAAACGGAACAAATGAACATTCTGGAATAGCTAATAGATGGCCTAGATTGTATGGATTCAGTCATAAAGCCCGTAACTGTCGTTGGAATACCCCTTGTTAAATCTTTCGAGGTTGCATGATCAGAAATCACATTCTGGCTGTCACCTTAATGATCTGGTAAGCGACGATCCGACTGTTTAGATAAAAGGTTGTTCTGACATGACCCGTAATGCAATGTCCTAAGATCTTTGTTTACTAGCAAGAACTAAGATCTGATTTTAATGAGCTACTAACAATCTATGCTAACAGACCTAAAGGTTTACCAACCTGTAGACTGGTGTGTTTTTTTCTCGTTTTATTTTCTACAGAACTATCTTTGGGGAAGTCACATACCCCACATCTAAGACAAAACAGTCCCTAATTCTTCAGCAATGATTCCCACCAGAAGACAGGATTAAAACAAGAGTGCTGTGCACTATGATAGGAAGGATTGGATGTTAGTGTAGGTGAACGTCAGTGTTAAACTATTCTCATACATAAAACATCAGTATTGTTAGATTTTTGCAGTTTGTAAGTGTGTATTACTCTATCTGAAGTAAGTACTGAAGCATCATGAGCCAACAGGTAGACCTGGCTAGTGTCAGCGACATGCTATAATCCAGATGTCATATCTGGGCCCACTTGCACAAAGCAATCTTAGCACTACAACAATTGTAAAAGTATGGGAGTTATGATCATCTGAGCACTAAGATCGCTTTGTGCAAGTGGGCCCAGATATGACATGTGGATTATAGCATAAGCAAAACATCTTGATGTATTCTATTTGGTACTTACATCTGGAAACACCAAAGGGTGGTTTCAGTTTACTCTGTATTGTTTCTTCCACATCAAAGAAAGGATTCTCTCCAAACACCAGCGTGTAGAGAGTCACTCCCATAGACCACATCTCAAGCTCTGGGCCACGGTATCTGAAGCAATAACACATGAGTGAAAAGGAGCAAGCAGCTGCCTGTAGTAGTACATCTTCCCGAGGCAAGGGAGTTAACTAACTATAAGAGTCCAGTTGCCACCCAACCCGAACTAGGCTGGAACTATGGAGTTATTTTTTGGCTGGACTAATGAGTCTATGCATAGTCCAATTATAATCGCGTAACAAAATCGAAATCAGGTTCATATATTGCTGTGCAAATTTGCAGGATTTACATAGCATGTGTCCCGCCAACTCGGAATCCCTGACATTTAATCAGCCAGGTGAGACATTGTAACCACCTAATCACCATTGCAGTCAGCTCTTACTGACTGGCTTTTTGCTGTTTAACGCTGCACTTAGCAACATTCCAGATATATGATGGCGGTCTGTAAATAATCAAGTCAGGACCAGATAATCCAGTGATTGACAACATGAGCATCGACCTACACCACTGGGATATGATGACATGTATCAACCAAGTCACCAAGCCTGACCACCCAATCCCGTTAGTCGCCTCTTACCACAAGCATGGGATGCTGAAAACCTATTGTAACAAGGATCTCACAGAGAAGTATAGGGAACTGGGGAGGTATTCTGTCCTAGAATCACCACGGGGTGATTCATACAGAATCTAGTACACTACACTGCCAGAAAACATACACTATCTAAATGTGGAATCAGGATGCACATGTACACACTTCAAATCCTACACATGACTCATGTGAAATCTGGATGCACAAGTAAACACTTCAAATACTACACATGACACATGTGAAATCTGGATGCACAAGTACACACTTCAAATCCTACACATGACATCTGTGGAATCAGGATGCACATGTACACACTTCAAATCCTACACATGACACATGTGAAATCTGGATGCACAAGTACACACTTCAAATCCTACACATGACACATGTGGAATCAGGATGCACATGTACACACTTCAAATCCAACACATGACACATGTGAAATCTGGATGCACAAGTACACACTTCAAATCCTACACATGACATATGTGAAATCTGGAGGCACATGTACACACTTCAAATACTACACATGACACATGTGGAATCAGGATGCACATGTACACACTTCAAATCCTACACATGACACATGTGATATCTGGATGCACAAGTACACACTTCAAATACTACACATGACATATGCGAAATCTGGATGCACAAGTACACACTTCAAATCCAACACATGACACATGTGAAATCTGGATGCACAAGTACACACTTCAAATCCTACACATGGCACATGTGAAATCTGGATGCACAAGTACACACTTCAAATACTACACATGACACATGTGAAATCTGGATGCACAAGTACACACTTCAAATCCTACACATGACACATGTGAAATCTGGATGCACAAGTACACACTTCAAATCCTACACATGACACATGTGAAATCTGGATGCACAAGTACACACTTCAAATCCTACACATGACACATGTGAAATCTGGATGCACAAGTACACACTTCAAATCCTACACATGACACATGTGAAATCTGGATGCACAAGTACACACTTCAAATCCTACACATGGCACATGTGAAATCTGGATGCACAAGTACACACTTCAAATCCAACACATGACTCATGTGAAATCTTGATGCACAAGTACACACTTCAAATCCTGCACATGACACATGTGAAATCTGGATGCACATGTAAACACTTCAAATCCTACACAACATAGCGCATGCTGCAGTACTCACTTATTTCCCAGCAACACCTCGGGACTGCAGTACTCCAGGGTTCCACAAAATGTACCAAACAGTTTCTCGCCTCTCATGTAGGTGGCAGCACCGAAGTCTATCAGCTTGATACGAAACCTCTCGTCCACAATGATGTTCTCATCCTTAATGTCCCGGTGTACAATATTCTTGCTGTGGAGATACGAAACACCAGCAACCATCTGCAGAGGACAAAAGGTAAGGCATAAGTAGGACAAATGGTAAGGTATAAGTAGGACAAATGGTAAGGTATAAGTTGGACAAATGGTAAGGTACAAGGTAGGACAAATGGTAAGGTATAAGTTGGACAAATGGTAAGGTATAAGTTGGACAAATGGTAAGGTATAAGTAGGAAAAATGGTAAGGTATAAGTAGGACAAATGGTAAGGTATAAGTAGGACAAATGGTAAGGTACAAGGTAGGACAAATGGTAAGGTACAAGGTAGGACAAATGGTAAGGTACAAGGTAGGACAAATGGTAAGGTACAAGGTAGGACAAATGGTAAGGTACAAGGTAGGACCAATTGTAAGGTATAAGTAAGACAAATGGTAAGTTATAAGTAGGACAAATGGTAAGGTATAAGTAGGACAAATGGTAAGGTACAAGTAGGACAAATGGTAAGGTATAAGTAGGACAAATGGTAAGGTATAAGTAGGACAAATTGTAAGGTATAAGTTGGAGAAATGGTAAGGTATAAGTAGGACAAATGGTAAGGTATAAGTAGGACAAATGGTAAGGTACAAGTAGGACAAATGGTAAGGTATAAGTAGGACAAATGGTAAGGTATAAGTAAGACAAATGGTAAGGTATAAGTAGGACAAATGGTAAGGTATAAGTAGGACAAATGGTAAGGTACAAGGTAGGACAAATGGTAAGGTATAAGTAGGACAAATGGTAAGGTATAAGTTGGACAAATGGTAAGGTACAAGGTAGAACAAATGGTAAGGTATAAGTAGGACAAATGGTAAGGTATAAGTAGGAAAAATGGTAAGGTATAAGTTGGTAAAATAGTATGGTCTCAGGTAAATTAAGTCAAACATGGTGCCAACCATGTTTCTCTTACTTCAAGAACCTGGTTGTGGTCACTATTGGGTTGAATTTACATCATGACTTTGTCAAGTCTCATTGACATGATCATGTCATTGTCAAGTCTAAACCAATGTTGGATGAGTGAGTGAATGTTGTTTACCTTACACAGTAATATTCAGCATCAAAACTCACTTGTCTGAAGATGTAGCTCGCCAGGGACTCATCCATCGTGGGGTTGCGATCAATAAACTCAAACAGATCCATCCCACTGCCATGCTTCTCCATGACCATCTGCACGAACTCCTCGTTCTGGAACACGTCTATTACCTGGAGATCAAAGAACAGTTCCACACTTACAAAGTCTGCTCCATATATTGTTCTCAAGGACTGCAGTGAGACATACAGCAACCCAATTAGTATCTCTTGTGCATTTAGTAGCAATAGTAAATTCCAGTTCTATCCTAGTTGTGGGGGATATATTCATCATTGTATTGTGGCACAATAGTCAATGACTATCACACAATTGCAAGAACATTTACAAGGAAATGACAGTACACACTTTTCATAGCTGTACACCTTCCCATGCCTTTTACACTGTCAAGCAGGTACCGTATTTTCTTGAGTATAGTGCGCACCCATGCATAATGCGCACCCCCCTCTAGCAGGTTCAATATTTTGGAAAAAAAGAAATTTGAATATTATGAGTAGAAAAAAATTACACCGTACCCCTTCAGCGAAGTCCAGCAAACAAACGGGTGATGAGAAACTTTGTCAGTACAAATTCAAAATTTGAGATAAAAAATCACCAGACATGTTGATTAACCGTTTAAATTGTATTTTTTGTTCAGCTAGGCATTGTTTTATATCCAGGGATTAAAATTACCTTGTGTATTTTCTCGTAAACTAAGCCAGACACAGCAATCAGCTGTACACACATTTTCTTGGAATCTACCAGTGATTCAGTCAAGACACACCCAATGATTTAACTTTACAATATAAGGATCGGCAAAAGTTGTATCTGAAACTATTTTCTTTATCAGGAATAATATATTCCAATATCTTGTTAATTTAGATGCAGCTTTTACTAAACATATTTAAGATAATAATAACCCTAAGCGAAGCAGCTGATCGCTATTGCCGGGTATTATTTTTTACATGGAACCAGTCTGACCAGTCACCGTCAAGGCTCCCATGCAATGATCGCGTGATACGTGTTGACATAGAATCATCCAACAAAAACAAATATGACTTTTAACGAATCAAAGTATGGCATTTATGATATATGTATCCATTCTCTGTCAACTAAAGTTCGTTTCAAGGCGTCAATAGCGGTAATCTGACCGTGGTTACTGTTAATAACGGTGAGTTGTGCGATCTTCCGATCGCTTCACACATGATTTCGCCGAAATTAATTAAAACAATATTAAAAGGAATTTTGAATAAAATTAATGAAATAAGTTACAAACATAAGTCCAGATATACAAAGAACACTTTTCATAGCACGACAGTGTAATTACATGAATAATTTGCGAACTTCAGTATGGATCTGTTGACATGGTATTTCCGGTGTTACGTGCTCACGGTAATGTCTTTCCATGGGGGAAAAAACATCAAAACTCATTAATTCGTGTATAATGCGCACCTCCTTCTACACAGCTGTGTTTTTTTGAAAAAAAAATGTGCACTATACTCGAGAAAATACGGTACTCTACATTTAAAGAGCTGATCAAATATGTTTTGACATTCTGTTATTTTATTGTACATAATAAACAACCTTTTATGTTTTGCTGTAATTCTTCTTGGCATAAAGATAACATTACATTCAGTGTTTGTACAAAAATAGTACATCAAACAGGTACAACTTCACAAGAGATACAGACACATCCAGTTTGTTTGTCTGTTTATTTAACGCCACACTCAGCAATATTAAAGAAGGTGGCCTGTAAATAATCGAGTCTGGACCAGACAATCCAGTGATCCATACTGTGAGCAACAATCCATGTCGGTGGCTACTATGACACACAATCAACCATGTCCCTAGGTGCTGAGTGAGTAAGCCTGAACACCTGATCCACCTGGTCGCCTCCTACGACCAACATAGGTTGCTGAGAACCGACTCTAACCCAGAATCCCCACCAGGGTGACATAACCAGTACCCAGTACTAATGTTCTAGGTGTACACAGAGGCCTCTCACATTGACAATGTTGGGGTGGTTCAACTTGAGCAGCAGGCTGACCTCCATCGGTATACGTCCATGTGCATCATCAAACACCCAGCAGTCCTTCAACACTTTCCCTCTCCGGATAAACTTGACCACCACCTGGGACAACAACGTAGAGCATGGACATATCACAAGAATACAGATATAACTGTAAATCATGAATCATATTCTAGCAACCCTATTATGATATGAACTTATAGCATCTTGCTCACACCACAATCTCATGCTTTCCCCTCACTCTTACCTCCACCCTATCTTGGTCTCACCAACCTATACCCGTCATCCCTCCCTCAACACGACCCATCTCCCACCCTAACAATCCCCTCACACCTTATACACCACCACCCTATCTTGGTCTCACCAACCTACACCCATCATCCCACATCTCACACCTATTATACCACCCATCCCCATTATGGACTAACCAAATTACAATGCCTCCTCCCACCTTACAACAGCTGTCCTCTTCCCCAGCGGTCCCTTCCCGTCCCCTTGTCATGTGACCCTACCTCCTCCTTGTCCTTCTTCCTGCAGCCAAGCTTGACAAAACCAAACGCTCCCTTCCCAATGCAGTCGTGAGTGTCGTAGATTTCGTCATAGAGCCCCGAGCCGAGCATGTCAACCTCTTCCTTCTTCTCCTCCTCCTCCACTGCATCATCATCGGCCTCTGTCTCATCCAGAATGTTGGTCTTGGACTCAGAGTTAGCCTTGTCTGCCAATAGCTGGTTAAATAACGCTAAGGTGAATAGAGTTTACATCACTTCCATAAAGTCAAAATGGGGCACTTATTTCAGTATTTCAAAAGGAAACAAACTTGTTTCACACGGCATGTTTTCTGTTAAACATGTTAAAATCAAAAACATCATTTTCTCATTTCTAATGAGCACTTCTCTTTCATCCTCTAGTACATAACACACAAGTCAAGTTGAAACTAAGAGCTGAAACAATGAAATACACTGATATCACAAAGATGTATCTGCAATACTTAAATGGTTTTGTTTGTTTGTTTGCTGTTTAACGGCACAATCCGTCTGGACTAGACAATCCAGTGATCAATACTGTGAGCAAAGATCCATACAACAAGGACAGGAACACATGTATCAAGCAAGTCAGCCTGCATAACTCTGCGATCCTGTTTGTCACCTTTACAACACATTGTAGCCTGATTTAACCCTGAATCCCCACGGGGGCACAAAATAACAAATCACACAAGAAGTCAAGATGAAAATAACATCTATGAAAAACATTGATAATTTACAAGTTGAAGACAGTAATAATGATAAACAACACCTATTACACAAGCACCAGTCCATCTCTCCGTATACTATATACAACTTACAAACAATGGCATGCAATCATAGCCTGAATTCCTGAGTCAGAAAGGGGATGGTGTGAAAATGTACCCACCTCTCCAAGACTCATGTTAGATTTATCCAGAGTGCTGTTGAGACTGGAAGCGAGGGTGAGACTGGCGTAAGACCTTCCTCCTTCCCCCGGCTCTTCTGGGTCCCGGGACGTCCACATGCAATACACAAACTGGCCATCGTCCAGCTCCACTCGCTTCAGTTGAAATATGATACCTACACACACGAAATAAATCTACAGTGAGACAGAAGTAATGGAGACATACTCAAAGTTAACACTTTCTTTCCCATGAGGTGGGATTTAAAATCGCGTTCAAGATCATTGCACTTTTTTGCGACGTGAATGGGATATGCCTGTACTAGGCTGGACTAATGCCAATTTTATAGCGCTAGCCCACTGAGATACCATGCCACAGTTTTAATATGGATATCACAAAAAACTGAGTCCTGAGACGACCAGTCCTCAATGCCAATCGCCAGGCAGGGTAACAACAAGTAAGATCTTTAAACGTCTTTAGGTAGGACACGACCAGGGAAAGAACTGACAATCTTCCATTCTCCGGGCCGACTTTCTATCCACTAGACCACAGAGACAGTCCTTTTATCACAAAAGACCAAATCTTAATCAATATACACCCTGATCTGAGACACAACATGTAAGTATTGTTACCTAGCCTGTGTCCATCTTTATGTCGACACTGTCCAGTGAAACTGCCCTCAGGAAACTGACTGGGACACTCTGTGTATGAGGTCTGTGTGCCTGACTGCCGAGAAGATGGACGGGCACTGAAACTGTTGTTGCTGTGATTGCTGTAAAATAGGGAGATATATTTCAAATCATAATGGCATTTACCTGAAATCTTGTAACCTGTTACAAAATGGCAGAAATACCTAAAGGTAATGCTATTTTTAAAGCTGAGCTGGGTCCTACAGCATATACAGGGATGCCTACCATGCCATGTTCATGATACAACACTACAGGTGCTATTGCTCTCAAGTATACTGCATAGAGGTACTGAGACTAAACATTTGACAGATATTGCAAGTGCATCATAATTTTCATTCATATTTTTAAACATTTCTAAGCAGAGTGGGAGAAGTGTTTTCTCTAAGTATCACAGAATAAAATTTTAGGCATAAATGGCTCAATTCCGCAAGTGAGGTAGTTTGTGAGTTGCTTTATGTCACTTTTAGCAATATTCCAACCATATAACAACTGGGAACACCATGAAATGGGCTCCATACATTGAACACATGTAGTGAATCAAACCCGGGGTGAGTCAACACTTAAACCTCTTGCATATACCACTGCCCCATAGTTCATAGTGTGTTTCCCTGCTAGTGGACTCACCTGTTGCATGTTTCATCTATGACCTGACCAGACATTTGTTGAGGCTTGTCACCACCAGCCTTCTCACTCAGTCTACTATGAGCAGACTTGACAGATCCACTCGAGTCCGTACTTGGGTGAGATTCTAACCCATCCCGACTGAAATAACTGGACTCTTCATCTAGATGAGTATCACCAGTTGAATCTAATGTCTTATTCATATACAGAGGCAGCAAATTTGTCATCTGTTCCCCAAACTGAGAATATGATCCTTCAGGAGAACTGGAACTTATGTCTCCGTTGTTCATTTCATGCTTCCGAGCTATTTGTTTCTGAAGCTCCATGAGCAAGTCTTTTTGTTTGCGTTTTTGGCAGTTGATTCCTTTCTCGGAAGACATGGCCAGCACGTCTCCACTAGTGTCAATTTCATTGCTGATGTCCCCATTGTTGCCATCCTGGCTGCTCTCCACTCGCTGTGAATCTTCTGAAATGCAGCTGTCAGTGTCCGAAGACTTATGAAAGTCAACCTGTGGGGGTGTAGTAGACAGAAGCTCCTCCATGCTCTCACTGACATAAGACATATCTTTGTCTTCTAGGTAGGAACCACTGAGGTCCTCTTCTGGTTCTCCTGGAGACTTGACACTTTTAGCACTGATATTAAGCTTGTCCATTTCACTCAACACCTTGTCAATTTCCCCATTCTGACTGTTGTTTTTATTACTGCAACCTGTAATTGCCATCTTGGAATCCTTTGCCTCATCTTGCCTAATTGATCAAAGTGGAAAACATGATGAAAGCAAACATAAATAACTGCAAATTCATAATTAATTAATTTAAATATCTATCCTTTTGGCGCATAGGACACTGAACAGGTTCCAAATAACAAATATATCTAACAAGGGGGGGTCACAAAGTGGAATAAAATATCAGAAAGTTTTTGGTTATTATTAGTTACAAGGAAGACAACGATGTTTTGGCATTGTACAAGATACTAAACCTTTTGAATGACATCATTTTATTATCAAAGATGTCTCTTAAATAATTTCACTTTTAACCTATCATCAGCAAAATGACCAAAAAGTGAGAAGCAAGGCAAAGACGTAACCTTGAACTGTCGGCTGATTATTGTCAATTCATCAAGTGAATCATTCAACTGATAAATGTACAAGAGTGAGTGAGTGAGTTAATATTAAGTCACATCGGCATTATTTCAGCCATATCGTTACTTGAGCAAGTTATGCATTTATATAATATATTAAGAGCTGTCATTGAAGAACAGTACAACAACTAGCAATATATCACAGACTATAATTGTAAAACTAGTTTTAGAACAATAAAATAATCAGATAATAACAGACGACACAATATAAAAACGGGCTGTAGATCGCCAGCAACCAAAGTTAGGCCACCATACTAGGGACCATGGGGACTTACGGTACTTCTGCTACCTACATGGTACCCAAGCAGGATTTACACCATCCCTCTGGCCACTGGCGATGATCAGAAAGATTAGCCAAAGAGTTAAAATCAACAATCACAGAGAAATGTAAAGATACTTTGAATGATACCGGACCCAGGGGGAAATGTACAAGAGGTAACCATGGTAACCTCACATCATTGTAAGAAACAATATAAATGATAAAGTTACACATCTTCCAGTACAAGTATCAAATAGCCCTTTAACATTATGGTCAGAAACAGCTGTCAACCATAAACTTTCACATCACCCTAATTCAAAAAGCAGAGTAAACATTTGTGTCCATTAGGTCTACCCAGGTCAGCTGAAAGACAGCATTAACAGGGGTAGAAACCTACAGTTTCAGTCCACTAGTCTTATAATGATAACATATAGCAAAACCCCTAAAAATGGCAAATTTCTACGAGCACTTATGATACCTTAACTATTGGGCAGTTTGGCAGGACTACAGGACTGATGCCAATTTCTAACGCTGATTAAACTCTGAGTATTCTGTGGCTACCTGTGTTCTGATGTCTCTGTAGGTATTTTGGGCGTGGAAGTGACACCTGGTTTATGCACACACAGCTCCTTGAGAAGATCACACCTCTCTCCATTCTCTTTCACAGGTGTTTCTGTCAGCAGGAAGCACAAGTCAGTCATAGTGTCCACAAGTCCACAAGTCCACATTGCAGTAACACTGTTAATAAGCTTTGTTTGTTTGTTTGTTGTTTAATGTCGCACTCAGCAATATTACAGCTATATGACAGCGGGCTGTATGCAATCAAGTCTGGACCAGACAATCCAGTGATTGACATCATGAGCATCGATCTATGTAATTAGGATCCTGTTCATCGCCTATTACAACAAGCACAGTCGCCTTTTATGGCAAGTATGGGTTGCTGAAGACCTATTCTACCCCAGATCTTCACAGCAATAATAACCACTTTTATTTTTGTCTTTCCCATTACCATGATTACTTATTGTTGTACCAATATTTCACCAGCTCAGTAGTAATTAGAGGTGGAAAATGAAGGTGGAACACGGGTGCGATACAATTTGTATTCTGATACAGTATGTTTATTTCATAAGTTGATATTCTTTCCTCTTGCAGGTGCATCACAACCCTGAATTATTGGTTTTTAAATTCAGAGATCGAAATGGGATATTGTAGGGCAGAAAATATATGCAGGAGGGCATTGTGTCATATGTAAATTGATGTATTGTATCATGGGCCTTGTATCAGGATACAATACTATATTGACGTATTGTTACACCACTTGCAGTTATTTTTACATAACTGGGTATTGGGAATTCTCGGAGGTGACTTCTTAGATTCTGGAACAGTGACAGGCTTTTTTTTATATTGGAATACTGATCAAGATATTAATAACACACCGTGTCTCATTTGATGAAGTATGTTTTTGTAATTAGTGCCAGAAAGCTGGTGAAATATGCTACTTGTGAATCTTTCTTTTCTTATTAACATCAATACTGACACAGGTCCATCACAAAATATAAAAGTCATCCCAAATAACAATTACACAGAAAGCACTGCATATCTTGTACATGTACATATGTAATAATCATGATTCTTACCAAGTTTCCCCTGCAAGATATCTGGCTTTAGAATAAATGGTATTATCTCTTCTTCATCCTCGTCATCAAGCGGAGGAAGAGGGATCCCATCGTCGAGGTCCAGGATGTCATAGAAGTCTGGGATCAGACAGGAGATGTCCTGCAACAGCATGGATTTATTCACTACCACTCAGGCTTGGTGATCTCATTATTACTGACTACATGTATATATAACGTATTAGGATGTTTGTTTGTTGTTTAACGCCGGATTCAGCAATATTCCAGCTATATGACGGTGGTCTGTAAATAATCGAGTCTGGACCAGACAATCCAGTGACTGACATCATGAGCATCGATCTATGCAATTGAGATACAATGACATGAATCAACCCAGTCAGAGAGCCTGACCACCCGATCCCATTAGTTGCCTCTTACGACAAGCATAGTCGACTTTTACAGCAAGCATGGGATGCATTAAGAGAAGAATCTACAAGCTATAAGGAATTATGGATAATCTGCCCCAAGTGAATTCATTTTGTAAGTTCTGAGCCTTGGCAAATTGCAAGTGGGTTTCCTTATCCCAAACGGAGACATCAGCTCAGATGGCCTATTGCTGGATCGAAGTCACATACATTTGTTTGTGGCGTCTTCAATTATTAGTGACAATACGCTCACATGATGCCACATTGCTGTAGGCCTCTCCACAAGACAATGAAAACAATGAAACAGTGGTACGAACTAACCAATCAGCATTGAGCAAAAAGTATAATGTTCAGTGAGAATTACTGAAAATAACTGCACCGACATCCTTACCCCTATGGGTAATAGCATGAAATATCAGGCCAAATCACCACTAAAAGACAAGTAGCACCAATATTTATGCTAGAGAAAACAAGTGACTCAATGTAATGAGAATAATAGAGATGTTCTTCAGGACACTTTCTTCACTTCTCGTCAACAACCTACCTTGCCCACTAGCTCTTCCTGGCTGTACCCAAACAGCATGCGGGCGAAGTTGTCATTGACGCTGTGTATGGTGCCGTCAGGGAGGAAGGTGATCATCCCACTGATGTTAGCAAACACCCACACCACACCCGTGAACACAACCTCCTCTCCTGCAAGTAGTAGTGATTCATTGCTTCCATGAACTTTCATTTGACAATGTTTTGAAATTCTATACATTTGGGTACACAAACTGAATTAGTACCTTCACTGAGCATTTACATCTTACATTTATATTACTGACCAATCTAAAGCTACTTTAATCACTGTTAATTCTTTAAATTTCCTAAGTTATTATAAGGATGTTTTTTAGAAAATGTTCAGAATGGATGTGGTCAAGTTTCAACTTGTGTTTCATTAGTGATGTGTTAAATTCATCCTGGCAGTAGTGAGTGAGTGAGTGAGTTGGGTTTAATGCCGCTTTTAACAGTATTCCAGTTTTATCACGGCGTGTCAGCTTAATGTGGGAGGAAACCCTGAAGTGGTGCATGTCCTAGACGTTTTCCACTTCGGTGAAACCCACGAGCATGGGTATGGTGCTGACAGACCTAGAAACATAATCGGGGCGAACCGGGATCTGAACCCACAATCATAGGTTTCTGGCGTGTCCAAGTGACGCAACTCTGCACAGCGAATCGCAGCACACCCGTGTCCCCCCATCTCGGCAGTAGCATCTATCCACTAGAGATAAGTGAGCATAGCATACATGAGATATGAACACTTCCAGCCGCCTGTGTTTTAGGCCTACATTATTTCCAACACCCAGCGTCAGGGATTCGTTTCACAGAGAGATGGTAGTTCTACGACTGTCGTAAGTCTATGTTAAAGAATAGGAGCTACATTGCACTACAATTTCTTTGTGAAATTGGCTCTTAGTCTTTTTCATGTCTTTTCATAGCAACTCAAAATACACCTCACTGGTATTGTTACAAGGATTTATATGACATTTGAGAATTTGTTTTCATTCTCAGCCAGATACCAACAGAATTTTACTAGACTCGGGGTTTGGATGAGTGGCTAAAGTTACAGACTGCATTTCTATCCTGCCACGTATTGCAAAACCTAATAGATTCCAGCATGGAGCCTGATATACAGTATACAATCCTTCATACTTTCATCCGGGGGGATGTTCCTCCTGTCACGGTCCTCCTCGGTAGGTTTGACTACTATGCTGAGGGGAAACATGGACCCATCACGCGTCCTCCCTGTGGCTCGCTGCTTCCGAGTGTCCTGTAACCATAACAATTAAGCAGAACCAAGGTTACAAAGCATCGACCAGCTGCAACTACTACCTCGTTCTAAATGTTTAGCATGGCACTGTAGGACACCTGGACTTGTAGTCCAAATATTGCTGTCGTCATTGGTATCCAAAACATTCATAAATAATGCCAATATTTGAAAATACTGCAAAAAATGTTACATATACAATGGGCCCCACAACTTACTACACATTAGGGCTGGGACGGGTAACTCAGGTCGGGTGGGTCCTCAGTAGGACCCGGGTACCCACAGGACTACCCAGACCCGTGGTTAGTCATGTGATTAGTCGTGTCATTGTTTAATGACAAAAACTCACTATAGCTCAGTGGTTACACTACATATCGCTAATGTTCACATTTCTTTCTGACGATACACACATTCCTTTTGACTTGCATATGTTTGAGTAGAGATAAAACTTCAGTCAACTTCCGTGTACGCTTGATCTGATCGTTTGATACATGTATCTAATTTCTAAATAGTTTTGGCCAGAGCTGCGGTAAAACAATTCCCAATCAGACATTTTGTTCCCAACTCTTGAAACCTGCAGTGGGTACCCAGGTAGGGTCGGGTAATAGGGGGTCGGATACCCGGGTAGTAAATTTGGGCTCGTCCCAGCCTTACTACACATGTACTAAATTTCATTCCACTTTGATAAAACAAGGCTAAGTAATGGCCATCAATAGCTTTTTTTATTAAGGCTGCTGTGGCAGACATTCAAAAAATCCCATGTGAACCCGTTGAACAAGTTTGGGTGTCCTCATGCAATGGTATGTCAAGTTTCAGCTTCCTTGGTTAAGTGGTTTCTGTAGAGCTGAACAGTGAGTAGAATGACGAGTGTGGAGCATGAATAAATACCTTATCTAGTGACAATCTGGAGACAGGACATTTGAAGGCAGGTATGAGATCCTTCATGTGAAGCCCATTGATTTCCTCAGGGTTGGGGAAGCCATACAGTGAAGCCAAAGTCTGGTCACAGCTCAAGATGCAGCCCTGCAAATTACATATCATGGATTTATTTGTTTACTCCTGTCATACAAGAAGGTTGCTTCACTGTAGGTGTAGGAGGAAAACACCAGGGCCCACTTGCACTAAGCGATCATAGCTCCCATACTTTAACATAGGCTTACAATAGTCTTAGCGCTAAGATCGCTTTGTGTAAGTGGGCCCAGGAGGTCACTGATGGATAGTTGATCCCTGTTACTGATAACAACAAAGTCATATACCATTTCCAGAATAGCTCGTGTGTGTGTTAAGTCAATCATTTCAGAATTGAAGAGTTTCGCATGAAGGTGAGTGAGTATGTTTTATGCCGCTTTTAGTAATATTCCAGGAATATCACGGCGGGGGACACCAGAAATGGGCTTCACACATTGTACCTATGTCAGGATTCGAACCTGGGTCTTTGGCGTGACGAGCGAACGCTTTAACCACTGGGCTACCTGACCGCCCCTTCGCATGAAGGCATTTTTCTTACTTACAATGTGCTGCTGCCATGGCTTTTGAAAATGAAAGCATGACATAAGGCATGCAACTCTGCACAGCCCTGGGCAGTGCCTTTGTGTGTTAACATGCATCCTTGTTTGTTTTGTTTTTTTGTTTAATGCCGCATTCAGCAATATTCCAGCTATATGCAGCAGTCTGTCAATAATCGAGTATGGACCAGACAATCCAGTGATTGACATCATGAGCATCGATCCCCGTAATTGGGATAGGATGACATGCATCACCAGTCAGCGAGCCTGACCTCCTGATCCCGTTAGTCCCCTCTTAGTCTTACAACAAGCATAGTCGCCTTTTACGGCAAGCATGGGTTATTCTGAAGACCTATTCTACCCCGGATCTTCATGGGTCACATGCATCCTTGAGTGCTTACAGACGATATACAGATAGATGGATGACAGGTGAAGTCAATCTCAATTAGCCTCTGTGAAAGGTACACAAAACATTGGCTAAGGGAATGATTCAAGCAACCTTACCTCTGTATTAAACTTGACTGTTGCAACAGTTCTCTCAACTGGCTCCATGACACACAGGCATCTCGGCTCCTTCAGGATCTCCAGCTTTTTCACCCACATCGACACAGGCAGGATTAGTCCATTACTGTCCACTGCATCGACCTGAACAACCCAAACATACAGACATACAACCCAGCAGTCCTTCAGTGTCATCTTGTAGGACATCTCCCCACAAAGGAGTTCCTCCTTCTACACCTGGCATCACCCTCACGTGACAACAATAGACCTCCACCTGTGCTTTGTCCGGGTGGCCTCTTTGATTACAGATACAAACTGTGGAGGCTGACACTCGCCATGTGCTACAAACTGACAAGTCAGGCACCAATGGCTATCTAATAATATAATATCCATTCACTTTTGTGGCTTTAGTCTGTGTTGTAAACCAAACATGGGCAAATAAATGCCTGTTTTCGGTACAAGTCATTTTGACTTTGATTGTATAAAGTACCTTTATTTGGTGAAGTCATGCCCAGTGAATTAAGAGAATGGGTTAACATGCAGTTGGCAGCATTACAGTTGTATCCTGAACCAGAGTTTGATAGGGTGAGAGTTACTTCATCATCATCATCACACAACTACTGGGGTGGGGGTCCTATTCCACTTCATAATCCGCACTGAATGAGTGACTCACAGTCTAGATTTCACTGCAACTTACCACTTTGCCTGAAATGTCGATGAGTTCCCCGTTCAACTCGAGATGAGACTCTACCATAGTCTGCTGGTCACGGGGCTTCAGGTGGATGAGATCTCGGAGCCTCCTTCCCAGCAGCTCATCCTGCTCATAACTGAACAGCTCGCACGCCATCTCATTCGCCACCAGGATCTGAAATAACACATTGATTTCAACACATAATTTGAGAAATGAAACAAAAGAATATATACTTCAGACAAATACTCACAAAGGTAATCATAATCTTGAGAGAGTGAGTGAGTGAGTCGAGTTTGCTGCCAAGAATAAGACAGTGTGGGGCACCACGCATGAGCTTCACAGTGTACCATGCCATGCACGAGGTGATCAAACCTTGGTCTTCAGCGTCACTAACTGAACGCTGAATGCTTCTCCACACAATTTGGTTTCAATTTTAATTAAGCTGATCAATAACTCCAATTTTTATCTCTGTACTTGAAAATATATCCTTCCCTGTACAATAAAATGAAATCACTGAAACCAAAACTCTACACCATATTTCCTGCACATGTCCTTATTGTGAAATGTGGCATATTATGGTCTCTCACATCCTTATAATGACATTTACACAGCACACTTGAAAACATCTGTATAATACTCTGGAAAACTTGAATCCCAAATGTCTTGTTCTATCATCATCTCACACATACGTCTTAGTCTTGGGTCTCCAAACTTGAACCTACCTCGGACGTATTGGCATCTATGGTGCAGATGGCCTTGTTAGGGTTTCTCACAGTTGTGGGGAAGGCCATGCCAGACTGACCACCCCCGATGTAGTTGTAGAATGACCAGCTCTGGTTCAGTGACATGCCGCTTGAGTAGGGGTCAGGGGTTGCTGCAAATGACCCCTTGCACAGTCCCGGAGAAAAGCTGACATCATTCAAACCATCACCTTCAACGCAAATATAATATGTTGAAAATGGGATTATTTTCTTTACAGACCTTAAGGCCAAGTGAGAGTGACATGGAATGAAACAAGGGTCATCAGTAGATTACAAATCCTTCGGGCCCCAACAATATGTAGGGGGAGGAAAGAGAAAAGAGGGGGGGGAGATAAAAAATATACCCAACCAAAAACGACCCTGCATTATGTGCGATATTGGTCCTGAAACCCTACTGAAATGATGACAAAAACATGTGCACAAAATATTATTACCATGATTACACTGAAATTTATTGAAAGTGACACAACAATACAGGTATGAGCAAATCTAAATAACTGACAAATCAAAGTACAGTATTGAAATCCATTTGAAGCCACTCTGAAAAATGTTTTCATCAAATAAGGTATGAGTTACGAGTAAAACTTTGCCTGGACCATCCGACTGACAGCCTCTTTTAAGGTTGCTTGAACTTTTGTCTTCGAAGTAAAGTTTGGTTCATTAACGACGAACGTATGTATAGATGGGCAACCGGACAGACGACAGACAACGCACAACATAAGCTCATTTGAGTCAGCTTAGCTAAAAAATGGCTATGGTGTTTATAGACAGAAGCCAATGTGGCCATCCAATACACAGTTTACACAAGATACTCACATTGAAAGTTTTTAAGCTTCACAGGTGTGGTAGTTATATCTGGCTGTAGTTTTGATTTTGTGACCTTGGGGAAGGACTGATTAGCTTCAAAGGACTCCTCCCGGCTGGCAGCTATCCCCATCTGTAAGGCTCGGTCCCTGCGTCCCGTACGTACCCGGTCCAGCGGAGAGGGGTAGGAGGGGCTGCCAAACACCATCTTGTCCATGAAAATGGGTTTCCCAGTGATGTTCAGGTGCTTGTTATTCAGCTGAGATTTCTGCAAGCAAGTGAAGATGAGTGAGTGAGTGAGTGAGTGAGTGAGTGAGTGAGTGAGTGAGTGAGTGAGTGAGTGAGTGAAAAAATATGGAGTCTGGACCAGACAATCCAGTGATTGACATCATGAGCATCGATCCACGCAATTGGGATACGATGAAATGCATTTACCAAGTCAGCAAGCCTGACCCATTGATCCCATGAGTTGCTGTGAGTGAGTGAGTGAGTGAGTGAGTGAGTGAGTGAGTGAGTGAGTGAGTGAGAGGAAGTTTTTAGTTTTCAGTAATATTCAACCTATATCATTGCAGCTTGTAAATTAACGAATCTGGACATCACAAACCAGTACCTTAAAACAGCAGCATTAACCCACGCCACGCGGGCCGATGACACAAGCAGCTGAGTCACAGAGTATGACCTCTGCTGAACTGGGCCCCGTTCAGCAAAGCGATCTTAGTGCTACAATTGTCTATGTTTACATGTGGGTGTTATGATTGTCTTAGCGCTAAGATTGCATTGTGGAACAGGGCCCTGTAATGCCCACAGGGGTGTGCATACTGTACTCTCAGCTATATTGGTGTTCAGACTGATTTTCCAAAATAATTTTACTAAACAGGACTCAAAAAATTTCTTAAATCTAACCTGTCTTGCAGGTCAAGTATCAATTATTTTGTACTAATCATGCAACATTTCACTTGCCCTCTTAAATTTTAAAATGTTTTATGTTCTCAGTAATGATTACCATTTGCTGTAATTAACCTTTGAGTTGGAGGATATTTACGACAGACAGTACAAAATAATTCAGTCACTGCCAAGTACAATCATCTCTGCCCATTCAAACCACCTTCCTGAGGCAAGAGAGTTAACTGACTTTAAAAGTCCAGTTTCCACCCTTGCCGAACTAGGCTGGAATTCCTGGGTTCGATCATAGCGCCACCAGTGGCTATTACGGGTTATGTCCTTTCTATGCCTCTCCTATTGACCAATCAGATTCAACCTCTCGTATCACTTGCATTTGTTTCAAACAAAACGGTGGCGCCCAGTCAAGACGATCTGATCGATAATCAACATCTATATTGTGATAAAACGAGTCTTACATCGCGTAGTGCATCAAATCACGTAAGAACCTTGATTAAAAACATGGAAAGATTTAGAAAATATCTGTTGACAACAAGTTAGCGGTGCACATGCTTATCATATCCTGCAGTCGACCGAAATCTGCATGACAGTTTACGAACCGGATTTCAATTTCGGGGCAAGATTTTGATTGGACTATGCATAGACTCGTTAGTCCAGCCAAAATGTAACTCCATAATACCAGCCTAGTTCGGCAAGGGTGGAAACTGGACTTTTATAGTCAGTTAACTCACTTGCCTCAGGAAGATGATTCAAACTTGCACAATACAGTCCAAAGGGAACCATCAAACACATTCATTAGGCTTAACATTTTCATTTCTACACCTGACAATATTCAGGAAACAAAACTACAGACTCAAAGCATCATGATAATCTGTTTCTTATTAAGGGGTCCCTGATGTTTTCTGAACTTGTATTTTCATCTAAGACCCTGTAATTGTTAACTTTCAAAATCTGTTTAGACACGGAACTTTTTGGGCTCAGCTTTCATGCTTAATTTGAACACAGTTTTACCAGCATCATATTTTACTGATTCACTGAATGACAGGGCTGACAGTTGCCATTAAATCTGACACTGGCATCCCAACATTTACATTTAAATTAAAATTCCTATCAAAAATGACAATACACCCACCTCTCATCACAAACCAAAAACAACAACAAACCATCACTTGATCAAGTGATAATCTATTTGTTCAAATAGGAAGGGAAACAATGAAATAAGTTTTACTTATTCCCAGGGGCCACCTGGCTCCTTAGTTATTTCCTGGGAGTCATAGAAAGATGTTAGGAGCCAAAAGAACTTGACACAATGAAATTCAAAATAACATGAGTGAGAGAGTGAGTTAAAATTTTAAGTCACATCGGCAATATTTCAGCCATATTGTGACTATCAAGGGTATAAATACATTGAGTGATACAAAAGCCTTCCAACGAATCAAAATAATGAGGTCTCAATCATACTGGCGACATAAACAGTATTACCCAGACAAAATATCAAGGCAAATATTTTATGGGGAGTTTTGAAGAATAAAATTCTACAGGGTAAAACCTGAGAATAATATTTAAACAATTGCAGTCGGAACTTTACATGGGGAAACTTTGTAATAAACCACTAGTGCCAAATGGAGGTAGGTTACCAAAATTATTCTGTTAATCTTGTGAACATGTGGTTTGTTACGACGTTTAACACTCCATAAAATATATACTCTGACACTAAATGTCAATCAACAAACTGAAACATAAACCAGTTTATAACCTGTATATGATATAATATTACTTTCATAAAAACGTCAGAGCACTTAACAATAACACACAAAAAAACACTTGCAAAAGAGTCACACCTTCCCTACCTGATGAAACCATAACAAAATACAAGACGATGAATGATGAAACAATCCTCCCTGCACACCCCAGGTGCAACTCACAGGTGGCCATCCACTGAAGACATGCTGCTGTGTACACCCCTGCCATATGCCACTGTCATGCTATAGACGACGTACCCATCCATCCATTACACTACACCATCACTGACAACTGTGTTATTGACGTGATGTTTACACTTGACTCAGACATACTGTCCCTAGCAACTCATTCATAATTCACAGTGGGATCTTGAGGTGTTTACATGGTAACCAGCAAAGAGCCAATAAATTCATTCAAGTATTCTACTCCAAGGGTTTTTTCTCAAGACAAATGACAGTAAATTCTGTTAAGAAATTACAAAGCTGAGTCAGTGTTGAAGGGCTGACACTGATGTAATTTTCACAGCTATTTTTACTCAAGCGAGGCTCCCAGCACGAGGATTACCACACTGTTCAGCTGATGAATCAATACATGTGTCAGTACTGACATGCCTGGCACTGACAGGAGGGGGCACCAGATAGCTGGCAGCAACACACTGGCTGGGCCCGGTCTTAATGTCATGCCAGGTAGCAATTACTTTCATGGAAATGTAAACTTTTTCTTTCCCTTTTTTTTAGCTGAAATGGAAATGTCTGTTGTTACATGTATTCCGTATTTGAACCTACATAAAACTAGTCTTACTTAAGCCGTACTTGTTCTTTGGTTTACCGATACTGCCAACCATAAAAAAAACAAAAAACAGAATTCATTTCTATCTTTATTGAATGTAAACACATGTGTGCAGCACAATTTATGTTGCGTAAAATAGACATAATAAGGCTATCCATGGTTAAAGCCGCAGTGCGTCGATGGTTCTGTGTGTTTTTAAATCATACATGAAATAATTTCTGGGTGTGACGTCACATGCCTGGTTCAATTCTCAAACCAAAACAATAGGGCTCCGAACAGTGAAGCCGTCAATGCAAGTGCTGCGCAGATTAAACTGACTTCAGCTTCATTTTTTTAAGGCAAATTGGAGAGAAAGTTTGTGTGATTTTCTCACGAATGAGTTACAAAATACTAATTGCCAGCTTGATTAGATTAGAAGCCAGTGTTGATCAAAGCCAAAATTACAATATACATATGCCTCGGTCATATGAAGCCAATCACTCTCCAATCTGGGGTTTCTTACGGCCATCTGAGTACCTGTCACATCGTCACATCGTCACATCTCGCACAGTCCATTTATGTGTTTTTCATCAGTTTCATTTTGGATGAGTCAATGCATTTAGATAAACATACATCATGAAAAGTTTAACTTTTATTGAGAAAATGTCCTAAAACGTGAAAAACTATTTCCATTTGCATATTTTTTTATCCTCCACCTCTTTTCATCGAAGCTAGTGATACAGTCATTTTGATGTGTAAAGCTATATTGCCATGTACCTCATTGTTGCAGTTGTAGTAGTGTATCTATATAGTCATGCAAAACTGCATGTATGGCACACCCAAAGGCTTGCATTTGGCCTGTCTGTTCTTATTTCAGAATAAGTTGGTTTGATTACAAACATGAGAAAAGTCTGGTCACGTGAAAAGCCTACACGGTGTGGTCACTTGAGCAGAAACGAAATAAGGCGAGCAGAGCCGAGTAAGCTCAGGGATTATCCTCTATTGTTTATAAACAAAGCTTTTGACATCATGAACATCAATACACGCAATTTGGATATGATGTCATGGATCAACATCGTCACCTGATCCATTTAGATGCATGTTATGACAAGCTTAGGTTGCTATGGACCTATATTCTCACCCGGAATACCCAAGAGTGTCCTATCTTCCCGAGGCAAGGGAATTGTAAAAGTCCATTTTCCATCCTTGCAAAACTAGGCTGGAATTTCTGGGCTCAATTGTAGCGCCACCAGTGGCAATTACGAGTTATGTCCTTTCTATGACTGTCCTACAGACCAATCAGATTCCACCTCTCATATCACTTGCATTTGCTTTCAACAAAATGTCGTGACCCAGTCAAGACTATCCATCTTCCCGATGCAAGAGAGTTAACTGACTATAAAAGTCCAGTTTCCACCCTTGCCGAACTAGGTTGGTATTATGGAGTTACATTTTGGCTGGACTAACGAGTCTATGCATAGTCCAATCAAAATCTTGCAACGAAATTGAAATCCGGTTCGTAAACTGTCGTGCATATTTCGGTCGATTGCAGTATTTGCATTGCATGTGCACCGCCAACTCATTGTCAACAGATATTTTCCAAATCTTTTTATGTTTTTAATCAAGGTGCTCACGTGATTTGATGCACTTCGCGATGTAAGAGACGTTTTATCACAACATAGATGTTGATTATCGATCAGATCGTCTTGACAGGGCGCCGCCATTTTGTTTGAAACAAATGAAAGTGATACGAGGGGTGGAATCTGATTGCCCAAAGGAGAGGCTTAGAAGAGACATAACACCTAATGACCACTGGTGGCACTACGATCGAGCCCCAGGAATTACAGCCTAGTTCGGCAAGGGTGGAAACTGGACTTTTAAAGTCAGTTAACTCTCTTGCCTCGGGAAGATGAGACTATCTGATGAATAATCAAAATCTATATTGTAATATAACAGGTCTTACTTCGCGAAGTGCATCAAATCATGTGAGCACCTTGATAAAAAAAACATGAAAAGATTGAATATTTTACGCAAATAGCTGCATATCTGGAGCTCTGTACAATGTTTAAAAATCTGCAAGAATGAACTACTATTGTACATGCTGTAGAACATTGTTGCAATACACAGGTTACCGTATTCAATGTAATAAGCGCCTAGGGCGCTCTCAAAATTAGAAATAGGGGGCTCTTATAAGAATATTATTTTGGTGAAAAAATAAACACAGTTGAAAGACTGTAAATTTCGTGGTTTATGCTGACAGCCTGAAATGTTTATATACAACAGATATATTTTTCCAGAATTTAATTGCCCATAATTAAGAGACATATAACACACGAGTGTGTACTATACATGAATAAATAAGTTGTGTGTACATTGATCAATCGGAAGGGTGCCAATTGGGATTGTTCACTAGCCAATATATTAGCAAATATCGCAGTGGTCGCTTATTAGAGCAGGGCGCTTATTACGTTGAATACGGTAAATTTATTTAACACAAAGTTATAACTCTGAGCTTCATGCATTCCTTCTAATAAGATTTTTTTTCTACTGCATACAATTTCTAAAACTGTTTCACAATAACACAGGAAAACCCTTATGCTCTTAACAAAATGTGATGTCATCATGTCTAAAAGTAACCCATACATGCCAAAGTTCAGCTTCCTTAGTGTGGCAATGTCAGAGATGTTTGAGTCTAACCTGCATCTTGAGTGAATTTAAGATCAATACAGTACATTTAAACCAGAAATGGCTGTGGTTAAAAATAGGGTTTTCAATATTAAAACCTCTAAGACATATTCATTTGTTATTGGTGGGGACAAGCATTTGAAGTTTTTGCAGACGATGAAACCGCATAGTAAATTGTAACTCAAAAAGACAAGATGTGTTTTTGTGCTCAAGATTCGAACCCGTACGACGACAGCGTTATTTGATTATCAGATTATCTCATGTCTAAATGCACAGAACTTCATTTGATTTTTGTGGCCATTTGCCAAATATAACAAAAATTTGAATATTTGTTGTCAAAGTTTGTTGAACCGTGCATTTTCAAATCTGGGTTCAGGAATAAATATTATTGAAATAATTGAACCTTCTCATAACATTATGAATATTACACCACATGACATAATCACACAAGAAGAACTTTCATGATATTGGTCGTCTTTTCCTTCATATGTGGAAAGTCCAAGGAGACCAATCCTTATTTTATCCCCATAATGCTGAGCACCAGGCTGGGTAACAACAAGTACCATCTTTGAACGTCGAGCTAATGTCTAGAACATGGAGCCAGTCCAATGAGTTAAAAACAATTGGTGTAAAAAGTACTATGAAAGAGGAAAAAAAGAGTATTTTTGGCATGTTTGGAGCATTGTTTACAATGATGTTGAATGTAAAGGGGTCAGTGTCATTGTGTTAAAAATTAAAGATTAAGGGTCCCTAGATTTAAACACTGTAGGAATCCTGTTGTGGGGTCTCTATTAACTTATTTCTATATTTTTACCCATAAAAGTATTAAAGTCAATAAAACATGTTGTGAAGTTCATTTCAGGGTTTGCCTTGATGCACAAAACCTGCGTATTTGACACAATCTTAGTAAAGAATATGCAACATAACTTCTTCATTGTGTCAGTCATTATGCAGATCTCTCTTTCAGTCTGTTAAACGTGTTAAACTCAATAACTATAATAATTGCACAATACTGTCGGAATATTAAAATTTGAAAATGACATATCCCCGGACAATAAAATACAACTGATATCAGCTTTGTCTAATGCTGGAAAATGCAATGTCCAAATACAGAACATCTTTACTGACAAGCTCTCGGGAGCTCTCAGAATTGTTTTGCATGGATTGATTACAGACAAAATCTACTCCTGATTTAAAATTTTAAACCGAAACGTAATAAATTCAACAAATCATTATACATGTACCTCAAAGAACAGGACAACAGGCTGACCACTTACTTCAGGAATGAAACATGTTGATATTGATTGGGAAGTCAGTTATATTCATCACTGTTCTAGATTATGTCTTGTGGTTAAAAAACCAACACAAGTAAAGAGATTGATACCTTATTGTGTACAGAACTGAGTCAGGCGAGTCACAAGATAAGAGCTATAATATTATACAGCAGTTGCTGTCTTAAAGTCTATATCAATCTCTTATAGATCTACAAATAAAAAAACAAATATTTAACATAATCATGATAATGATTTAATTAGATAACTGTGTAGATAGTACATAAATATCTCAAACATGATCTAAAAAGCATGATTAGTTCAACAGTGGAACAAGTTAATATTGTAAGATTAAAATTTAATCTACAAAAAATACTTGTGACTTAATTATCTGAAAGTGAATTGACATACAAAAAATACCATTAAGTCATCAGTTAAAACATCAAATTTTCCCAAATACGATGCTTTGGCTCTACGTTTGCAAACTTCAGCACATTGTCATGGCTGATGAAATTTACAATATTTTTTGGTATGAACACCTTGTCAATCTTATCACACTCTCTGGAAACAATAGTCACTTTACACTACACAAAGTTAGCAAAAACCACTATGACATGTTTAAATTATGGACGAAACAACAGAAACAAACAAAATCTTGTATGTCCAGTAAACCAACAGACCAATAACTTCACTTGCAAACACTACATTCTACTAAAAGGCATGGTGCAATAGTGTTAAGAAACATTTAACAACACAAACATACATAAATAACATGTAACAGATCATGAC